TTTTATAAGTTACACAATATACTTTGATACATTGTTTCCGTTTCACTTTTATTATACTTTAAAGACAAACAAAATAAATAAACTGACAGAAGAAAATAAATTATTGCTCGATCCACATAATGAATAAATTAAGGGAAAATATCAACACTTTTGTTTTTTGAATTTAATTTTACGAAAGATGGATTACAAAATTAACTTTGTAAACTAATTTTAAATAAAATATTTATTAAAAATTATTTTTTGAATTTTTCCAGAATTTTTCCACGAAACAATTGTCAATATAGAATAAAATAAAAATAAATAACAAATGCTCAAAAAAATTATTATTATTATTTCAAAATTCCCTCAAATGAAAATTCGTTTAATTAAAAATCCGCCCAAATAAAAATTTATTTAATTCAAAATTCGCTCAAATGAAAATTCGGTCAATCGAAAATTCGTTTAATTAAAAATTATTATTATTATTATTATTATTATTATTATTATTATCATTATTAATATTATATATTATTATTAAAACATTAATATTAAAAAACATTTATTAAATATAAATAAAAAGTTAATAAATCATTGAAGTATAAATAAATAAATAAAAATTTATTAAAAATAAAAAAAAGTTTAACAATGAAATAAAATTAAAAAAAGTAAAATAAAAGTAATTACTAATATTGTTATAAATAGTTTTGACTAATTAATATCGATTAGAAAAAATAAATTTTCTTTTATCTCACAAATACGTTTTAATTTCTTTTTTCACGCGGGAATGTTGATAACAATAATTGAGCTGATTAAATTTCTGTCTCAAGTGCATGCTACAATCATATCAATATCAATTAGGATTAATTTTTTTTTCCTTTTTTAAATCGCGATATCAAATTTAAATCCAATTAAATAATTATTTCATCTTTCGTACTCAATGTAAGTTGTTAAAATATACTTCTTATAAATTTTTTTAAATTTATTAATAATTTTTTTTAAATAATTACTATAATTAAATTTTTTAATTAATTTAATTTAATTTTTCAATAATTAATTAAAATAGCTATAATTTTTTATTAATTGGTCACTAATTAATCTTTTTACTAATTAATTACTTAATTTCTTATCAATAAATTACTTATTAATTAATTACTAATTAATTTCATATTAATTAATTACTGATCAATTTCTTAATAATTAGTTGCTAATCAATATCTCAGTAAGTAATTACTAATTAATTTCTTACTAATTTTTTAATAATAATTATAATTTAAAAAAAAATTATTAAATATTATTTATTCTGTAATTTATGTAAATAATTAATTATAAAATGAAAATTAATAATTAAAACAATTTTTTCTTTAATTTTCTACAGATAAAAAACTATTTTTATTCCTGATTATCAGAAAAAGATAGTAAAAAAAATTGTTATCGATTAAAATTAATAATTTCATTTTCTTTCTCTCTCTCTCTCTCTCTCTTTTTCTCTCTTACTATATATTCAGTAAACTTAACTGCGCAATATTCTTTGACGTTAATAATATTATTGGAATAAATTTACAGCGAGTTTGAAATTTTGGCAGTAGATCAAAAATCTCCTTGAAAGACCGGCGCGCGAGCGCACGAAATAATTTTCTTTTTTTTAGGAATGAAAATTTATTGTAATAAGAGGGGGGAGAAGGAAAATTTTCCAAAACAATCTTGTTATGATTGCAGAAAAGTAGAGTAAAATGAAAAAATTCTGGCATAATTTCAATAAAAGTAGTAATTAATCAAAGATTAATTTGTTTCTCTATTTCTGTATTTTCAAAAATTCACGAATTTATTTCCAAACTAAATTTTCGGTATCATTACCGAAATTATTATTAAATAATAATTAATTTAAATAATTAAAATTAATATTAAAGAAGAATTTTACCCAATTTTACACTAAAAACAAAATATTAAAAATAATCTTCACATCGAAAAAATTATTTTCACTATAATTTAATTTTTTGCTTCTACATTTATTCGCGACGCGTCACATTTTTATAATCTTTACATAATTTCCAATCCATAAAGTATTTTTAAAATTAAATTGCTTTCAATTTCTTTGTATAATAAATAATTATTACAATATGTGTTGAAAAAAAAATTCCATAGAGACAATAATAATAATAAAAAAAAAAAAAATTAAGCAGACGAGAGAGAAAGAGAGAAAAAAAATCTATATCAAGTGATAAATAGTGCAATCTTTACGTGAATAATTTATTGACAGGTCGAGGCATTGACACTCGTTCTCCAATCGATTGCACTTCGTTTCTAATGGTTTGCTTATCATAAATCACGTTTTCCACTTCAATTTACAATCGAAGACCGGATATCAATTTATAAACCTTATTCAATCGATTGACAACTTTATTCAAATCAAATGTGCACGTTTTTTTTATAAATTAATAATGGAAAAATATCAATAAAAGTTTTTTAAAAATATAGTAAAAAATAGCAATTTGCACTTAGTAAAAAAAATAATTGTTATTAAAAAAATATTATTAAAAATTATTAAAATTATTATTAAATCATTAATTAAATTAAATTAATAATATGGTTATCATTTTGCCATAATAATTAATATCACTCGTAATAAAATTAACAAAATAGAGTTAAAAATTGGGTGTAAAAAATTTATTAATTAATATTAATTTAATAATTATTAATTAAATTAATTAAATTATTATTAAATTATTAAAAAAAGTATTTAAAAATTATGCATGAAAATTGTATAACATTTTAATATTCTGAACAATTTTTAAAGGAGATAAATAAATTTTCCGTTTTTAAACAAACATTACCGCTTTTTGTTGATAAATGTATTTTAGTTACGTTATATTTAACGACAGGAAACCGCAATCTTTTATTTTTATACATATCATCAAATAATCAGCGTATAAATTGTCGCTAAATGTATATTTTCAGTTTCACAATATTAAATTTCTTATTCTCTTTAACTCGAATCAAGAAAAAAAATTTTATTCCCAATTTTTAACTCTATTTTGTTATTTTTATTACGAGTGATATTATAATTATTATTACAAAATATTTTATCATCTTATTATTTCGAACCCAAAAAGAATTTTATACTTTCCGCTCGTTTTTCTTCCACTTTTTTTATCTATTTTCAATTTTTGTTCTTTAATTTGCAATTTTCGAAAAACAAATTTAAAATTAAATACTTTCGTTTCTATTTTCCTCATGTTTTCTGTGTTAATTTTAATTTAATTTTAATTTAAAAGTGAACTTTAGTTTAAAATCGAAGGCGAATGACAATGACCGAGAGAGAATGAATTTGCAAAATTGTTTTTTTTCTCTCTTTCGTTTTTATTGTTTCGTGTATCAGTGACCGAATAAAAAACGGCGCGACCCTGAGGAATCGACTGCGTCTTGATTACCTTTTTTTTCGTGCGAGACAGGAAATGGAGAGCGACAATAAGTCACTGTATTGAGAGAATTCTAATTACTGTTTTTCGGTCTCTTGGAATATATAGAAAATTTCTAATAAATAAAATAATAGGAGAAAAAAGACGACCTTCCAACAGTTTGTTTACATTTAATCGACAAAAAAGAACTGTGTATAGGAAATGACTCTTTATTCTTAACGCTGAGTTATTAGCGCACAATTATTTAATTTGCAAACTGAAAAAAGAGGATTTTTTATACTCTGACCGTCACGAACCGTTTGAATTGAAAAAACCCGTTTGAACTCAAGATCATTTCAATTCTTTTCCGTTCGTTCATTTCAATTATTTTTCGTTCGTTCGTTTCAATTTTTTCGTTGAAAATAAAAAAGGAAAAAAAAGAAAAGTAATTGAAAATTGAAAAAAATAGTTTAAATTCAAGTTGAAAAATTTTAGAGAAAATAAAATTGTTTAAACATTTCGAATCGAAGGGACAAGTGAATATTGCTGTAGAGAGAGCAGAAATATGGAGAGAGAGAAAAAAGTATCGACCAAATACGGAAGTCGATCTGGATTCACTCGAGTAAATTTCATCCTCTTGCGGAGGAGGGATAAAAAAAAGGTTAACACGTACGCGTAGGCTCGGAACGTAAATATCAAACTTTGCATTATTTTCATCATCAAGGTTGTGAAAAATCGAAAAAAAAAGTTTTAACGGCGAACGGCCGAAACCCGTTTTGGTAAAAAAACCGAGGAATCGAAAAAATTGTCTATAAACGAGAACGAGAATGAAAAGAACAGAAAAAGTAAATAAAAGCAAAAAGTAAAAAAACAAGAAGTAAATAAAAGCAAAAAGTAAATAAAAAGCAAAAATAGAAAATCATGTTAGAGATAAATTTAATAACGAATTAAATTTCTTTAATTTATGTAAAATTCATTAATTTCGTTTATAATTATTTGAAAAATTAAATTATAGCTTATGAACACTCCAAACGTTAAACTTTAATTTTCGGCTAAATTTTAATTCCTTCCACATTAAAAATGTCTTTTCTCTTGATTATTGCTCGGGTGCCAATTTACCGATTTAGGTATAAATTTTTTCATGTTTAAGATAAATGTATACTCTTTACGAAAACATCTCCTCACCTCCCACCATATAATTTTTATAAATTATTCCCTATTACCTTTTAGGGCAAAAAGGGATTTTTACCCATGTGGTTTATCAGATTTATGGTTTAATTTCAATCCAGAGTCTTCTTTTTCCGACAGTGATCTCATTCTTGAACAGTTTGTTTTAATATCTACGACTGATTATACAACTATTAAATGTTCTGTTGACATTCTAGTTAAAATTCTTTATGAGCCCTGTAATGATTGATTATTTATGTCTTTTAATTTTTAGAGTAGTATAATTTTTATTTTATTGTTCTTTTAATGGGATTTTTGGGTAAGTCCCTTGTTTCTGCAACTCTTTGTAATTATAACAAGTGAATAAATAAAAAATATATTTTTCGCGCACTATCTACAACATAAAAAATAATTAACAAGCAGAAAGTAAAGACAAGAACGAAAAGCAGAAAAACTTACCAATCCGCAAAGAGAACCTCGGCATCTTGAATAATATCATTGAGAAGATTCGTCGCCGGCGGAACGTGGGGCAAAATTACGGGGGCAAAAACCAAAGAAATACCCGCATTCCTCTCGTGTAGTCTTTCATATTTATTGAAATAATGCGCCAAAAAGCCGAGCAGTCGATAATTACATGGCGGCAAAGTCGAGATCAATTCCTTCGTTCCCTTGATCCAAGATTCCCGATCTACCGCATAATATTCTGCAAAAAACAATTTTTCTTTCAATTATAATAAATAATAAAAATAACATGTAAACCAGGAAAAAAATTAAACTTACGATTATAAACTTGGAGAAGTCCATCGACGAGTGTCGTTGTGACGAGTGGACTCGGAAGTTCCTTGAGATATTGACGGAGAATTGTGGCCGCTGTCGATGGACATGCGGCATTCTCGAGATCGGCATCACCGCGATGCTCGAATCTCAATCGCAGCCGTTCGGCAAGTCGTGGATTACCACCCGATAATCGAAATACACTTGAACAATTAAAGCCATGATTCTCGATGTACGTGCAAAGACGATAGACGACAAATGGCACTCCAGAGTCTAAATACGTGTCGCTCGTCTCCAATGGCACGCCAAACACTCGATTCGATCCCGATGATCCTCGGCCCAAAAGCGATCCAGTCAGCGCGCGTTTCACTCTCGTCAAGCGTGATTCGTCCTGCAAATTGATTTAATATTATGAATCTTGTCATTACCTAATAAATTTTTTTTAATATTTGTCTTAATATCTCGTTAATTGCGCCAATTGATTTTCAAACAAATAATTTCTTTCGATGCTTACATTTCGGAAAGAGGAAAATATGGAAGGGGGCTAATTACCTTTTCATGCATCTGATTCGTTGTGATTCCATGATGATTGTGTTGTTCAGGCTCCTGCTGAGGTCGTCTCATCCCACTTTTTCTGCACCGCGACCCACTGCCGCACTGTCGAAACAAAAAATTTCCTTTACCAAATCATCAATTTTTTATTTATCAAACAATTTGTAAATACTCACAATACACTCTCTCGCTACCCTCCACAGGTTGGCGTACGCGCTCAGCCTGAAAGCTGATTCCGTACCAAGTGTCCCTTTACTAAAAAAGTTTCCTTAATTGTTTCTCTTTTTCTCTCTCTCTTTATCAACGAAAAATCCAAATTTTTCTCAAAGAAAAAAAATTCAAATTTTGGATTCTCTTTCCGAGTCGGGTTTATTTTTTCAAAAAGTGTGAGACGAAAAAAATCATTTGATCAAAAATGAAAAATGTTCCCTTTACATTATTTATACTTTTTTTTATCGACTAGTGAATGTTTTTCTTTTTTTAATTCGCGGTAGATGAAAATTGTGAAATTTGATGAGGAGAAGCCCGTACGTAGACGTGATTATAAATTTTGTAGTTCCTGATCAACCAGGAACTATTTTGTGGAAATATCTTTTTTATGTTTGCGCTTCTGTCTATATTGTTTGTCTAGACAATTATTACAAATGGTGAAATGTAAAATTTTCGCGGGTTCATGTCCCAATCGCGGCACATCATAGGCCCTTTTGCCAGGCTCAGGGCACTGTCTATGGCTGTTTTAAAAAGTGAGTTGACACCAAGCGTAGCTTAAGCATCGAAGGTCGGCCCTAAAATGAGGATGCTAGGTCACCACAATGTTCCTAGCTCTGACATCATCCAACTCCTTGCTCTTGTTCTCTAACACTCGATCCTGTAAAAAAAATAGTCACATTTATTTTCCATAATTTTTTTTTTGTTAATATAAAATCTGGTCGTGTAGGGATCATGTTTTTGGTATTTCGCGTAATACATGGTTCTTCAGCAATTAAACTTTATAAAATTTTGCAACACAAAACTCCACGTTATCTGTTTGATCTCTTTGAGTTTAAAGTATTTGATGATTTAGTTTTTAATAAACTTCGTGATAGAAGATCCGTCCTTAAAATACCGTTTCATAGAACTTGCAGGATGCAGGGGTCATTCACAGTCATAGGATCTAGACTGTGGAACAAAATACCACATATACAATAAGAGATGCGCAAAAACATTGTATTTTCAAGAAATTGCTTTTTTGTTGTTTAAAACTAATGATACTTTATTCAACGTCACTTACTGGTGAAAATATAGTTTTTTATAATTAATACTAATGAGTTTTGCTCCATAGTGCTCAACATTAAAACTTATTTTTGAATAAATATTTTTATTCCTCTTCTTGCCTTGATGCAAGAATCATGGTTCTTGCATCAATGCAGAAAAGCAGAATGGCCTGTCTGGTTCATTTATTAATAATCATCGAATTGTTTAGAATCAATAGTCAACGACATAGAGGGAAAAGTTGTTCGATTTCTAAAAAGCGATGAGTAATGAAGGAAATAATAAATGACTAATCCGATGCTAGACAGTCGACAAACTTTGGATATACTATAAAGAAAATCGACCTTAACCATTCAAGTTTAATCGTATAAAGTTTATGTCTATAACCAGAGAAATACCTACGCCACGAATTAGTAAATAAAAAAATTCTTCACTTATACAATTAATAATAAAATAAACGAGGTTATTCGGGTCCCACACGGATTTCCTCTTCAGGAAGTCAAAGTTTGACAACAAAAAATTACACTGTCACGTCAAATACAATAATTAAGACCTTATGAGCACTAAATCGACCGCTATTTACAAAATAAAGAAAAGTTAAAATGCCCCGTCCCAATTTTATTACGAAATTATAAAAAACGCAGAAACAGCAAACAATCTGGGAAATATACGCATAACGGAAATCGAAGGACAAAATCAGTAAAAAAAAAACCGGTTTTTCAAAAAATAATACATAACAAATACGTGAATAATATATTAATACCTGACACAAATTTGGTGTCTCATGCCCTTAATTGAGAACAAATTGTTAAATGTTTTCCGTTTTTTCTAACTTGAGAAACGATAAACGACTGACGGCGGTGTCGTCGGGAAGATTCTAAAAAGGGGGGGGGGATCACCTCATACCACCCCTTTTTTCGAGAAATATAGGCAAGTCTTTCGGTTTAACCGCGGAAACGTCATTCCCTGGCACCAGAAATTGTGCAAGGGCGCATGCACCCCCCGTGTAATCAATAGAGAGGCCGGGTCACGTGAGTCGTCACAAGACGAGAGATCGCGAGAGAAAGGGAAAAACGCGACGAGCCGAACGACTTACTTGTTTTCTTGTAGATTTTATTCTCTCTCCGTGTAAACAACCCTAATCGAGGACTCGAGCCTCTCTCGTGTATCCTGACTCCCGTTTCTTATCGATTCTTTCCCTTTATAAATAACATTGAGGAAGATCAGTCTCTACCACCCCCTTTTTTTTATTTATTCGCTTCTTTATATATATATACAAAAAGCGGAAAATTTTCGTCTTTTTTACTGCGGAAAAATTCCAAAAACTTGTTTTTTAATTTTACTAAAAAACCTGAGGGGCAGTCCATAAACTGTTACCAATTTTTCAGACTTTTTAGACCCCCTACTAATTAAAAATTATAATAAAATTTTCTTTTCTGTAGAATGTTGTTGAGCAACATTTCATCAACAAATTAGGTTGTTAGCAATCCATAACAAATAATAAAATTGAAAAGAATTTAATTTAAACGTCTTTTTATGACAATTATAATCTTCTGCTAGCGTTCGGCTGTGGTTGCTATTTGCTTGTGCCGAATCTAACCGATTCGTAAAAACATGTCCCAAAATCAAAATAAAAAATTAATTTTTCTAAAAAGTGTTATAATAAATATTTTAACCCTAATCCTAAATTTATGCATATTAAAATTAGGTCCTAATGTTACGGGAATAAAAATATTGAATGGGGAAATATAAGTCGAATGATGAATCGCATTTAGCAAAAAAGAGGGTCGCGACTTTCGTCCATTCATGAATTCTATATACTACGCCTCAATGGGGAAAGCAGTGAGAGAAGGCCTATGTTGTTTGTCTTTGTCGACATTCCATGGGGGGAAGGGTCTCAATGTGAAGGTCACGTGCCCCTTCGCAAAAGTCGAGGGTGTTTATCTCTTTCGGAATTTAGCCAAAAGTGAGTAAGCGAAAAACGACTAGGAAGCCAAAAGCGAGGCCAAAAGTTCCCCATTACCCCCACTTTTCTCTCTATTACTCTCGTTATTATGCTTTACACCTCTTTATATTCTCCATCCTTTCTATGCTCTCTATATCAAAACGTCATTAACTTCTTCTTCTTCTTCTTTCTTCAATTTTTGATTGGTGTGGTAAACATCATTGACAATAAGGTTAATCGGTAAATTTTTTGTGTTTTGGCTACCTGCTTTGCAAAAAGCCATTAAGTTAACACAACAAACATATATCTATTCTACAGTGTGATACTACAATACAAAATAGTGTATTTAATTCACTTTTTCGCCTAGGCGAAAATCTGCCTTACCGACAGTGACTAAACTCTCAACTGTTTATTTTCTCGTGTAGCTCGTGTATAAAAAGTACATAAACAATGCCTCACGGGACTCACGTCTTAAATTACAAAATTCAAGAATAAATTCCACAAAAAATATTTTCTAAACAGTTTTCGTAAAAATAGAAAAAAATAGAAAATTACATAATATACTATAGAGGGAAAAATGAATTATTTCCATTTATAACATTGTATTGAGAATTGACAAACTATGAGAATAATAACTGAGATTGTTATGAATCGTGGAATTTATAGGTCGAGGAATCTATTGACGTCGATAGATCATCAACGGTCAATGACCTCCTCGCGGTGTTCTGTATATATACAACATATATACATATATATGTACATTTGCAAGCAGGTATGTGCTTATAAATATAAAGGCCGCCTTTTCAATAGGTTCTCGTAATAAGTCCGCTCGTTTCACCTGAATAAAAGACGACGACGTTGACTACTATTACTACACGACTATACTACTTATATGTATTCAACCACTCAAGTTGAAAGTTCTCTTTAGAAAACAAAAAGAATAAATAAAAGAAAAAAAATCAATTTTCCAAGAAAAAAAAGACGACTTTTTACTCGAAGACAATAAATTGTCTGTTATTCAAACATTTGTTGCATTTTAGAAAAATCAAACAAAATGATACATTCAACTTTTCTATTATGTCAATGTAATTACAATCACGAGTTAAAAATCAAACGACGAAAATTCTTTCTAAGCATTTTTTATTTGACTCAACAAACTGATAAAATTAAAATATTGTTTATATTTAAATTTAATAAATAAATCGTTCGTAATTTCCAATTAGCTTAATTATTATTTTCTATAAGTAAATTATTAAAAAAAAAAATGATTAAATATTTATAAATTATTATTATTATTAAATAAATTATTAAATTACTATTTAGTATCACAATCATTATTTAAATTTTGCCTATATTATTATAAAATTAAATTTGTTTATTTAACGCCCGAGTAAAAATTATTTTTTAATTATTTAATTAATTGCTTTGTATTTAATAAATAAATCGTTGATAATTAATTATTTTTAGTTATAAAATTATTATTTTATTTATTATTATTATTTATTATTATTAATTATTGTTGTTATTAATTATTATTATCATTATTATTAATTATTGTTGTTATTAATAATAATTATTATTATTAATTATTGTTATTAATATTAATTATTTGATTATAAACTACTTGAAATTCATTTTTTTTAGTCTAAATTATTTGGTGACTTAATAATTAAATTAAATTGTCAGAGTTCGTAATTTGAAAAAATTCTGCAATGATGAGTATAGTCTGCTTGTGTCATAAGTCAAATTGTATTTAAATTATTATAACAGAAAAAAGAACATTTTTTTTGTAAAATACACTTTTTTTCTCCAACTGTTACGAAATGTAAACAAAAACGATGTAAGAGTGAATGTGATTTGAAAGAAAAAAAAAGAGAAGAAGGAGAGAAATAAATAAATACATAGACAGAAGAGAAAAAAAATGTTTAATTTGTATAAAAAATTTTTTATATTTTAATAACAATAAAGAGAATTTGTACAAACCTTTAATTCAAGTCTCTGGTAATATTACGACTTCCTTCCAGGTTCCAGGTCAAAAAATAAGGGAAAAAAATCGAATTAAAATGATGCTTTGGAAAATTTTTAAATTAACTTAATTTTTAATTGTATTTAGGGTTTATTTTGAAATTACACTTTCCACTTTGACACAATTTGGAAATATTTAAGAAATACTTGATGGTAGCGTTTGTTAATTTTTATTATAAACTAAACCACTAAACAATCGACCGGTATGTACTGAATAGCCACCATCTTTAAACTACACTTTTGCGAAAAACTGCAACAACGACAGGAGCGTTTTAAGGAACCCGCTAACCCAGGGCAATAAATTAAATATTTCGAAAATAAAATTTATTGTTGGATTCTATATGAAGAATTGTTGCATTAAATAATTGCAATCGCAAAAGAAACAAATTTCGTTTAAAACTTCTATGCGCAATAATTTATAATTTACGAAAAAAAACATAAAAAAAAATCGTGAATTTAACATCTCAGGAAAGTATCAAGTATTCGAAAGGCCCCGGGGAAATATAAAATTTAAGATATGAATATGGGAAATGTAATAAGTATGAAAGTTTAAAATAATAAAAATTATAATAACGTAAAGGAAGTTAAATCAAAAGTGGAAATCAATAAAATAATTAAAATAAAAATTCAAAAGTGGAATTTATTATTGAAATATAAATATCTAGAATGTTTGAAATAAAAAAATTGTAAGTTATCGACTTACCGAGTTTAGTTTTTCGTAATTAAAAAAATGAATTCTTTCATGAAATTTTATTAAAATAAAAATTCATATATTTGAAAATAAAAAAAGATAAGAATTTATCGTTTTTTTTTTTGCATTTTATTGAGAAAAAGAAAGAGTTTGAAAAAATTAGTCAATAATTGAATTTTTTTCTAAAGTCTGAATTTGAAATTATTCAAAAATTCATATTTGAAAATAAAAAAATGCCAAGAATTTACCTTTTTTTTACATTTTATTGAGAAAAAGAACGAGTTTTGAAAAAATCCCCATACAAATAAATGCTTCATATCTATTATAAAATCTATCACAAGAATAATAACAATGATTAATATTCACGTAGAATTTACGATACGAAAAATTCGTCTTACAATATTTTCTTATACAATATATAAGTCAAAAATTATTTTTAAGTCTATCGAATTAATAATTAAAATAAAAGAATAATATATCTTTGGGGGAAAGAACATCATTCACAAATTACTTCACACTATCGATTTTCAAACTGAATAATACAAAATAGTGTGACGTATTTTCTAAACAATCCCTTGAGAAAAAAAATATCAGAATAGCAAAAGTAATATTATTTGATTATTGATAGTAAAATAAATCCTTTTTTTTAAATGATAAACCATTATAGTATACATAAGTCTAAAAATCTCTAAATTCTAAAAAAATATCAAACATCAGACAAGTCAATCGCTGATTTCTTAAATAATTTACTTTTCAATTTTTTTTAATGAAAGTTATTAAAAAAAATTTTGATCACTTAAGCTTCTATTAAAGCAATAAAAAAATACTGATAAAATAGAGAAAAAAAAAATTTCCTTTTTTTCGGAAAAAAGGAAAAAAAAGAGCGAAAAATAAAAATTTGAATTAAGAGATTTTTTCTTCCTGGAGAAATTTTTTGTTCTTAGACAAAGAACATTGGATTGTCTTTGAAATTTTCCTTGATTGTCAACTTCATCTTTTGCTCGTGTTCGAGATTGTTGACATCGATTGGAATACTGAAAAAATAAGGAAATATTGTTAACTTTCAAAATTCTTTTTCAATGTAAGAAATTTCTCTGTACGTAGTTTTCTACGCGTAAAAATTTTTTAAATTAGAAAATTTTTTTTAATTTTAAAAATTTTTTTAAAAATTTGAAATTTAATTTTTTTTAAATTGCTTACTCTTGAGTCAAAGCTCGGGCTCGGAATGCGGCGAGATGGGCATAATAAGTCGGAGTCGGATAGCTCACCGATCTTGTGCATCTAGAGAACATGTGACATAAATAATATGTCAATTGTTCGATTTCATCTTCAGTCATGTTGCTGTCGTCCCAAAGACATCTGTATTTCGTGGGTCTTGCTGTACCCTAAAATAAGGCAAATCAAAAATTAGGAAAATTTTCGAAATTCTAAATTCTTGAATTTAGATAAAAATATAATTGTAATTTGGTTTTTTTTTACCTGAATACTGGCATGAGAGACGAGATAAAAATCGATGTGAGACGGATGCGTGATTTCGGAGTCAACAATTGTTCCCGCTTGTACGTTAAAATTTCTATCATCAGAGTTGCGTTTGTCAGTTGGAAATAGACGAATGTGATGTCGTTTTTGTACAACGAAAAACGAAATTTGCGGCTCATAATTCGGATTCAATTTCTTGCAGGCACTTCGAATAGCTTGCAATTCAAAATGCATCACTTGCGGGAATTGTCCTTCACTCACTCCGTCTCTGTAAAAATCAATTTTTTTTTACATTCACAAATATTTTATTATCTAAATTTTAAAAAAAAATTACAAAAATATTACAAATATTTTCTATTTTAGATCCAAATAAGTAACTCACCTGTAAAAGACAATTTTCTTCGGTTGATGACCAGTTTTTTCTCTAAATGTTCGCAATTGAATGCCCATGATTTCCTCCAGGTTTTGAATAATTTCCGCCCTTGGTGGTTGTAATCGAATGACAATATTGTACTTGAAAGCTTTCGGATCGTGACTCGCGGCCACCTAAATTTCAACAGAAGATTGTAATTAAATATTAAGTAAAGATTGATGAAAAATTGATTAAAACTTTAAAAAAAGTTAAATTTGAAATAAAATAAAAGTTTTCCTACAGCTGCAATCGATGGTATTCCAATCGCGTCCGGCGATGGATGTGTCACATCAGCGCCAACAATCATACACGGCTCGAGTAAACATTTAGGCCTGAAAAATAAAATAATAATAGGGGGTGAAGAAATTTATTTAAAATAATTATTTAATAAATAATTCAGTGTTGCCACGCAAATCTGGAAATGTCAGGGAATTTTATAAACCTTGAAAAAAACCCGAAAATGTTAGGGAATTTTGATCGAAATCCTGGAAAATGTTGTTTTCCAAAAAATATTCCGTCTACTCTTGAAATCTAATTTTACTTAAATATTTCAAAATTAATTCAATTCTAAAAGAGTTGCGTTTACAATTTTCATAAATAGATGAACATCAAAAGATTTTGTTTTAAAATTTTGTAAAATTTCAATTTTGAATGAATTTAATAAAAAAAATATAAAAAAACTTAAATTAAGAAAAAAATTTTAAAACTAAAATTCTTCTGAAATTAGTTAATTTTTTAAATATGTATTTAATTGATTATTAAAAATAATGGATTTATAGAAGAATTTTAGGTAAAAACACTAAAAAAAATTGAATTTTGAAAAAGTTACGAATGATTGCGGAAATTCAATTATTTTCAAAAATTCTTTGAAACAATTTAATTATTTTTATGTATTGTAAAATCCTCTGCAAGAATTCAATTAATTTTAGAAATAATAAAATTCTTCAAAAGAATTCAATTATTTTTGTAAATAATAAAATGTTTCTGAAAAAATGCAATTATTTTCAGATACAGTTTTAGTAAAATTTTTGTAGGAAATAATTCAATTATATTCAAGATAAATTTTAATAAAATTTTTCTCACAGGTTTAATTATTTTTAAAAATTGTAATAGAATTTTTCTAAACAATTCAATTGTTCTCAAAAATTTTTAATAAAATTCTTTGTAAATTTCAATTACTTTCAAAATTTCCAATAAAATTTTTTTAAAAAATTACATTTTTTTACGAGATTTAATAAAATTCTTCAGAAAAAAATGCAATTATTTACAAAAACTCTAATAAAATTGTTGAAAAGAATTTAATTTTTTATAAATAATTTTAATATAATTTAATGGGAAAATATTTAATTAGAATTAATAGTAAACACGATTATTTTAAAGACTTAAAAGAAATTCTTCATAAAATTCAATTACTTTCAAAATTTTCAGTAAAAATTATTTTAAAAAAAACTTATTGTCAAGAAAATTGAAATAAATTCTTCAAAACAATTCAATTATTTTAAAGAATTTTAATAAAAATCTGCCCAAGAATTCAATTATTTTTAATACAATTTTAATAAATTTTCTCTATAGAATAAAATTATTTATAAAAATATTAATTGAATTCAACTATTTTCAAGAATCTTTTTATAAATTCAATTATTTTTATCAATTTTGATAAAATTCTTTTTAAAAAAATCATTATTTTTAAAATTTTTAAATTAAATTCCTTCAAAAAAATCCCATTATTTTCAAAAATTCAGATAAAATTCTTTGAAACAATTTAATTATTTTTATGAATTGTAAAATCCTCAGCAAGAATTCAATTATTTTTCCATAAATAGGAAAATTCTTCGCAAGAATTAGAATATTTTCTCATAAATAATAAAATCCTACGAAGAAATTAAATTGTTTTCAATACATTTTTAATGAGATTTCTCGAAAAAATGCAATTATTTTTAAAAATATTATTTAAATTCAATTATTTTCAACAATTCTAATATAAAATTCTTCGAAATAAATTATTTTTATAAATTGTAAAATTCTTCTGAGAAATTCAATTATTTTCAAATACAATTTTAATATAATTTCTAGGAAAAAATTCAATTATGTTCAAGATTAATTTAATAAAATTTTTCTAACAGATTCAATTATTTTTAAAAATTGTAATAAAATTTTTCCAAACAATTCAATTTTTTTTCAAAATAATTTTAATAAAATTTTTCGTAGAAATTAAATTGAATTTCAAAAATTTGTCAAAATTCAATTATTTTCAATGTCTACTATTTGAATAAAATTTCACAAATGAATTCAATTATTTAAAAAGAAATTTTAATAAAATTCATCTCTTGAATTCAATTATTTTCAAATGTAATATAATTCATCGCAGAAATCCAATTGTGTTCAAAAATTCTCCTAAAAATTTCAATTCCCTTTATAAATAATAAAATTTTTCCCCGATATTCAATTATTTTCAAAAATTTTAATAAAATTCTTGGCTGAATTTCAAATTTTCAATATTTCAAGTTTTATTACAATTTTTATCAAATTTCTCGAAAAATGAAATTATTCTTAAAAATTATTTTTAAATTTGCCGAAAGAATTAAATTATTATTTAGAAATTTTGATAAAATTCTTTATGAAACTACAATTTTAAGAAACATTTAGTAATTTAATAAAATATTTAATTTTTTTCGAAAAGTTTAATGTATTTTTTTTTTTTAATTATTTCAAGTTTTTATTTTTTAATAGATAATTGAAGAATTTCTGAATAATCGATGAAATTTCGTATAAATTGATTCGTAATGAAAAGAATTTGAAAATTATCAAAGAACTTTTTCAAAAATTATTAAAAAGTAAATTGACTTAAAGAAGAATTTTAGTTGAAATAAAATTTTTCAATTTTATACTTATGGTCGTTTTGTACGTTAAGTTTGCATTCCGTATAATCGTTAAATCCGTATATCGTTAAAACTAATTGTCAACTAATCGTCAAAATTACGATTGACGCTCGAAATTATCAATGTCGTTTTACGTGTTTTACTGTTAATTCTCGCGATGTCTTTTTATTCATCAATTACTGTCTCAGCGTAGACGAGTTTGTTTGTTTCGTATTAATTTGTATTTTCACGTCTATCGTTTTGTTCTTTTGTAAATATGTTTTGAAGTTTGACTGTAATCGTAATGTTTGGAATTTTCTTGAAACGAACCCTGACCGACGAGCATTCCCTCCAACCCCCAGTATTTCCTTGACAATTGGTTCCATCCTACCCAATTATTAATTATTAATTAATATTCAAGAATAATTTCAATTTACTAAAATTTATAAAATTAGTTTCTTTTAATTTATGTCAAAAAAAAACTCACTTTGTTCTTGGACTGAATGTGTGATTAATTCCGTCGAGTTTTGCGTTGACTTTCAACAAAATATTACCAATTGTCGCTCCATTTAATTTTTTGAAAACGGTAAATGCCTTCAGGCACTGAGTCAATACGCCGACATTTAATTCAGCCACTTGCTTCACTTTGCCTGTAAATGCGATAAAAAATTTTTAGAAACAAAAGAATGACAGGGGGCAAAATTGAAAGAAAAAAAAAGTTTTAGAGATTAGAATAATCAATATAAAAAAAAACTCAACTGTAAATATTCGGTGGCCTGTCAGGAACAACGACAAAGACCAATAGCAGCTTATCCTTTTTGACATCATTAAAGAATCTAATGACTTCTTGTAAATTTTGTGTCGGTGCTCTCATTTGGCCATAAGGCGTGCGTGCACAGCCAATTTGCATCCCCAAACTACCAGCTGCAATAAAAAAAAATTAGAAAAACAATTGAAAAACTATTGAGAAAACTTGCCTCTCTATTAATAATTGATTGATTCCACGATCGATTTTACTCTTCCCTAAAGTAAAAAAAAATGTTTTCCTTACCTTCTCTTCGGAGCATTTGCTCTAAATTTCTCAAGGCATCTTCTCGTGTTCTACTATCAAGACAAAGAATAGTCCAAGAATAATCAGGCAATTGTTTTGGTGCCAAGAAATTCGTTGCTCTCCACGTTCCCTTCGAAACACGAACATCTTGATTGTAAGTCAGCATTGGAGGATCCAAAACACGAGCTTTCACCTTCTCGAATTCTCCACTAATTGACAAGCCAAATTCATTCAGACAGTTATTCTGATTGTGACGAATTTTATTGAACTGCAACAAAATAAAAAAATTGCTCTTTTTAAACTCCATTTTTGCACACGACACATTCTTTTAAATGAAGAACAAATATAAAAGCAGGCTTCGCATTCAATAATTTCTTTTAAAAAAAGTAGCAAAAAGTAACTTTAAGACTGAAAAAAGTATCAAAAAGCAGTAAAAATTTACTATCGAAAAATTCAATTTTGCTACTAAAAAACTTATTTTAGACGATTCACAAAGTTCATAAAAACTCATAAAAATTTAATTCTGTATTTTTCTGTCATTTTCCCGATTTCCATAAAAAATTATGATTTTTTCCTGGTAGGAACTTCAATTCTAAATTCTTAACTTCAATTATTTTCCAAACTTTTAGTTAGAAATTATAGAAATTTTAAAATTCTTCGAAACATTCGATTATATTTCAAAAAAAAATGTTTAAAAGTAAGAAAAATTAATTTTTCTAAATCCTAAAATTTATTTCTATTAAATTTGACCAAATTTTCCATTAATTGGAAATTTAAATAAACATTTTTAATTTAAAAAATTTTTTTTTAATTAAAATTTTCCAAAAGACAAATTTTTTTCCCCCTAATTATTAAATAAAATTATTTAACATTTCAATTTTCTGCTCAATAAGTAATTAAATACTTATTTTGTTTTTCGAGAAGAATTAAAATTTGAAACAATTTTGAATGTAAAACTTTTTTCAAATTGTATAACAATTTCTATAAAAATTCATATTTATAACGCATTTAATATTCTGTAAAAAATTTTATTATTTAAAAAAACAAATGAATTCTATCAGCGAATTTTATTATTTAGAAAAATTTGAATTCCTGTGAAGAATTTTATTATTTATGAAAATAATTGAATTCTTGTAATGAATTTTATTAAATTATTTTTAAATAATTAAATTTCTGGGAAAAATTGTATATATAATTTGTAATAATAATTTAATTCTTTTTTTCATTTCATAAAAATTTTAAAGAATAATTCAAATATTTCGAAAAATTGTATTAAAATTGGATAAAAAACAATTGAATTGTTGCAAAAAATTTTATCAAACGTTTTAAAAATAATTAAATTTCTCGGAAAAAGTTCATTATTTTTATTTATTATTTTATTTAATATTTTTTTGAAGAATTGAATTTCTGCTAAGAATTTTATAAAAAGTTTCAAAAATAATTCAATTTCTGTGAAAAATTCAATTATTTTTTGAAAATAATTCGATTCCTGTAAAAAATTTAATTATTTTTCGAAAATAATTCAAATTCTATGAAAAATTCAATTATTTCTTGAAAATAATAGTTAATTCCTGTGAAGAATATTAATAATTTTTGAAAATAATTGAATTCTTACTAAGAAGTTTATCAATTTTTAAAAATAATTGAATTTTGGCAAAAAAATTTTTATTAAAAATTTTGAAAATAATTGAATTATTGCGATGAGTTTTATTATTTACGAAAATAATTGAATTTCTGCGAAAAATTTTATAAAAAGTTCTAAAAATAATTGAAATTTTACCAATAGTTTAATTAATATTTAAAAATAATTCCTGTAAAAATTCAATTATTTTTTGAAAATAATACAAATTCTACAAAAAATTCAATTATTTCTTTGAAAATTATTTTATTCCTGTGAAAAATATTAATAATTTTTTAAAATAACTGAATTTTTGCAAAAGAATTTTATTAAAAGATTTGAAAATTATTGAATTCTTGTGAATAATTTTATTATTCTTTTTCAAATAATTGAATTTCTGCATAGAATTTTATTAAAATTTTTAAAAATAAATTGAATTCCTAAAAATAATTTTATTATTTATCAAAATAATTGAATTTTTGTGAAGAAATTTATGAAAAATCTGTAAATAATTGAATTTCTGTAAAATTTTTATTATTTATCAAAATAATTGAATTCTTGTAACGAATTTTATTAAATTTTTTTAAATAATTGAATTTCTGGGAAAAATTTTATAATTTGTAAAAATAATTAAATTTTCTTTTAATTTTATAAAAATTTAAAAGAATAATTAAACGATTTCAAAGAATTGAATTAAAATTGTATATTGAAAATAATTAAATTCCAGTGGAAAACTTTTATTCTTTGTGAAAGTAATTGAATTCTTTCGAAGAATTTTATTAAAATTATATTTTAAAATAATTGAATTCATTTAAAAAAATTGTATTATTTATGAAATTGAATTTCTACGAAGAATTTATTAAAATTAAAAACAAAATGAATTCATGCAAATGTTTTCGACGAATTAAATTAAAATTGCATTGAAAATAATTCAATTCGTATATAGAATTTTATTAAAATTTATTCATATTATTTGAATTTTATTAAACTTTTTCTAAATAATTGAATTCTTTTGAGAAATTTTACTAAAATATAGAAATTTGGATATCTAAATAAATAAATAAAATAATATTGAAAATATTTAAATTTCATTATTTGTGCGTGAAAATAACTGATTTTCGAAAAAATTTTGAAATAATTGAATAGTGTCAAAGAATTTTATAAAAAAATTTCTAATTCTTTCTGAGAAGAATTTTATTAAAATTTTCAAGAATAATTTCTTTATTCCAACTATTAGCGAATTTAAACTCGTGAAAATTCTCGCAAAAATAAGAAAAAGTAGCAAAGTAGAGTTTGAAATTTAAAAAAAAGTATCTAAATAGTATCTAATTGGAAAAAAAGTAGTAAATAGTAGATTTTACTAGATGAGTGCAAAGCCTGAAAAAAAGTGTGAAAAGAAGAAATAGTTCGATTCAACGATTCGGAAGAAAAAAGATGGAAAAAGAAAACATACAGAGTCCATGATTTTCTGCCTTCGAATGTCAGTTCCTGTTGCTGCTTGTTTAATCATATTGGACGTTTGATTCTCGTTCATTTTCTTATTAGTCGCTTGTCCGGGAAGAATGGTGCACAACTAAAATTAATTTAATAATTTCAATTAATTTCGTTAAACATTGAGATTAAAAATATACAAAAGATATACAAATATAAATATAAAACAAGATATAAATATAGATAAATAAATAAATAATAATAAATATAAATATATAAAAGAAATGTTTTCTATATTACCTCGGGTGGAACGTGAATGTTCTTTTGCTGTGGTCCAACGTGAAGACAGGGCAAATCGGGATACTTGATTTTATACTTCTTCTCGATCTGATAATACATCTCGACGCTGACTTGTTTATCTTGATGTTCAAAATAATTTTCTCTAGGGCACTTCACCAATTTATTAATGGTATAAGTGCGCTTCGATTCCACCTGTCCTGGAATTTCGCACTTCACTTTCAATCGTTTGAGGAACTTTTCAATCTCCTCACGATTGTAATCAATGTCTCTTCTAGTTGGAGCGCCTTGAACGCGGCAAAGTTCGCTCATTAAATCTATTACATTTTGCGATTTTGGAAAACCTTTGTGCGCAACTGAAACAACATTTTTTCTTTAATAAAAAAAAAATCATTTAATAAAATCATTTAATAAAAATTAAAAATTCAATTTTATAAAAAATACAATTACAAAGCATCAAAGTACCTTTTATTGTCAAAAAAAAAGGTGGAAAAGGGAATTTTTTTCCTCAATAAAGGAAACAAGGGGACAAAAAATATCCCAAACAACAAATTAAAATTTGTCAAAAGTTATATTAACAATTAATTAATAATTTTTATATTTACAAATTAAAAATATTAACAAAACTCAAATTTTCTAAAATTTTCAATTCTTTGATAGAAATTTTATTTTTCCCTGATTTCCAGAAAAAATTTTCACTTTTTCCCTGACCCTAAAAAATATTCTGATTCACTCTAAAAATTTTTAGATACTTAAAAAAAATTTCTATTACATTTATTTACAAATTTCTTCAAAAGTAAAATTATTCGAAACCATCAATAATTTCTTTTTTAAATAAATATTTAATCATTATTATTTTTCCGTAGAAATTAAAATTCTTCAAAACATTCAAATTCAAACCTTTTTTGAAAATCAACAACTTATTAGAAGTTAATAAACTCCGAAGACTCGGAGTGATCGCCTTCTTCATGTTTTGTTATAATTTAAATTACATGAAATTGCCATGAAATTTTTCAAAAAAAAATTTAATTATTTACAAAAATCCTAATAAAATCCTTCGCAAGAATTCAATTTATTCATTTATTTTTACAAGTAGTAAAAATTCTCAAAAAAAATTCACTTATTTAAAAAAAAATGTAATAAAATTCGTTGCAATAATTAAATTGTTTTCATAAATAATAAATTGATTATTCGGTAATTCATTTTTTAATTAACTTTTATTAGAAAATTCTAGAAGAATTCAATTATTTAAATAAAAAAATAAATAATTTATTGAATAATTGAATTAAAATTGAATTCTCATAAAGAATTTTATCAACAAATTTTTAAATAATTGAATTCTTTTGACAAATTTTAATAAAATTTTTAAGAATAATTACATTTTTCGAGGAATTTGATTAAAATATTGTATCAAAAATTAATTAAAATCCTGCGATAAATTTTATTATTTATGAAAATAATTAAAAAAATTTCCCTAAAATGTTATTAAAATTTTTCTAAAATAATTGAATTTCGGTGAAGCAATTTATTATTTCTAAAAATAATTGAATTCTTGAAAAGAATTTTGTTTAATTTTTTTTAAATACTTGAATTCTTGGGACAAATTTTATAAAATTCTTTTCAAATAATTGATATTTTTCGAAAAATTAAAAAAACTTTTTATATTAAATAATTGAATTCCTGTGAAAATTTTATTATTTATGAAAATAATTGATTTATTTCTCGAAGAAATTTATTAAAAATTTTGTAAATTATTGAATAACTGTTAAATTTTGCAAAGAATTTTTTTTTCAAGTTTTTAAAAATTCAATTAAAATTAAAAATTTTTAAACTATTGGCATTTTTCACGGAATTTATTTAAAATTATATTAAAAATAATTGAATTCCTAAAAAAGAATTTTATTATTTATGAAATAATTGAATTCCTGAGAAGAAATTTATTAAAATTTTTGAAAATAATTGAATTCCTGTGAATAATTTTGAAAATAATAATTGAATTCATGCGAAGAAATTAATTAAAATTTTCCAAAATAATTAAATTTCTGCGAAGAATTTTTTTATTTTTATGTAAATAATTGAATTATTTTGACAATTTTTATTAAAATTTTTGACAAAAATAATTGAATTCTTTCGTAGAAATGATTAAAAATTGAATTGAGTTAAAATAATTGGAATTCTTTCGAGAAATTTTGTTGAAAATAATTGAATTCTTGCTACGAATTTTATTGAAATTTTAGTCAAATAAAATTTAAGGTGTTGAAAACACTCTACGTTATTGAAATTTTAGAAAAGAATTTTTTTTTTTAAATTATATATTAAAAATAATTGAAATCTTTCCAAGAATCTTATAAATATTGAATTGAATAAAAAAAAAGTGAAATTTTTCCGAGAATTTTGTTGAAAATAATTGAAATCTTGCGACGAATTTTTTTTACAATTGTTGAAAAAAATAAAATTGAATTCTTGCGAAGAATTCCTTAAAAATTGAATTGAACAGAAATAATTGATAACTAAAAAGAATTTTAGTAAAATTCATGAAAATAATTGAATTTTCTAAATAATTTTTATAAAATTTTGAAGAATAATAAATTACATTTTTCGAGGAATACGATTAAAAATAATTGAAATTCTGCGATGAGTTTTGCTATTTATAGAAATAATTGAATAGTTGCATAGAATTTTATTGTTTATGAAAACAATTGAATCCCAAACAAATTTCATTGTTTATGAAAATAATTAAATTATTGCGGAAAAATTTATAAAAAGTTTGTAAATAATTAAATTTCTAATAATTTGTAACTTCTCCAAAATTCAATTTTTTTAAAAATATTTTTAACTAATAGGATTCTTCTATAAATCCATTATTTTTAATAAATTAATTAAATACCTATTTATTAAAAATATTAACTAATTGCAGAAGAATTTGAATTATTAAAATTTGTTTCCAAAAATCTAAGTTCTTTAAAATTTCGAAATTAAATTTATTAAAAATTGAAATTTTCTAAAATTTCCAATTAAAACCGTTTGAAGTTCATTTGTTTGTGAAATTTGAAAACGCAACTGTTTTAAAAATTTAATTATTTTTGAAATATTGAAGTAAAATTATTCATTAAATAATTACAAAGTAAATAATTTTATGATAAGAATTATGTGTATTTAAAAAGAAATTATTGTCAGAAATAGAAAAAATCGGAGGTTTTTTTTAATACAAAATAACAAAACCTTCGATTTTTTCTATTTCTGTCAATAATTTCTTTTCGTGAAAAATTTCAATAATTTGAGGTAATTTCACAGTTTATGAGGCAAACAAACAAGAAAATTATGTTGTTGTGTTAATAATCTAAATCAAAAATAAAACGCACTGAATTTAACATTGAGTCTAAAATTTTATGCTTAAAACTTAAAAAAAAAGATTTAAAAAAAAAAGAAAAACTTGTTTATCTTTTTTTTAGAAAAAGGTAAAAAAGGGGGAAAAGGTGACGAATTATGAAAAAAGGTAAAAAAAGGTGAGAAAATTGAAAAAGGGGACAAAAAAGGGAATATCTGTGATGCTTGAATTAGGGATGCAAATTTCCACGTACCATCGACATTGAGTAGAGGTTTCCATCCAAGAACAGCAGATTGGAACAATCCAACCCACAATTCAACGCCGTCGCCGAGATAAGCGATGTGACCAGTTGGCGGAGTAAAGAAGGAGCGTCCCACCTGAAAGGAACGGGAATAAATTTTTAACTACTCTCAGAAAAAAGGCACAAACGATTAAGAGTGAAAATATTTTACCGCAGTCACGTTCAGAGATTGAAGTGGCGCTTGTCTTAGAATTATATCCAAAGCTTGAATACTGATCAAGTCACGTTCAGTTTCTGGTAAACCTTTCTTGACATTTCTCAACCAGCCAATGTCAATGTCATTTACTCTGTTCATAGTTATCTTGAACTTTTTCATTCGGCCATCGTCGTTAGGCACTTCAACCTCTTGTTCAGTCTGGAAATCATTAATTATTATTTGCTACGAAATTTAACTAATTTCAGATGAATTTGAATTATTAAATAAAAATTATTATTATTAGGTCTGTAATTTTACTTTTAAATTTTGAACCTATTTATATTAAAGCATACAAATATTTGAATTAAAATTGGAAGAAATTAATCATTCGTTAATATTTCATTAAATCTGAAACAAGTTTTAAATAAATGTATTTTGTTTAAAAAAAGAAGTTTTAACAAAAATAAAAAATACATACAGTGTCGCCAAATGGTAAAATTCCAGCACTGAAGACATTTTTGCGACCATCAAAAGCCGGCCAACGTTTGGGAAAATGTAGAGAGCGCATTTTTTCGAAAGCCCTTGGAATCAAATAACGCGGGACATCGGGATCGAAAGTTATGTCATAGTGCACAACATCGGAGCAGAAATTTTTGCCGAACTTTATTTCCATCATGTTGACAAACACTTGAATCGGACGGCCAAGTTTGCCCTCACCTTTTCTCAGTGGAATACTCTTAATCATTTGCCTGGCAATTGCGTCCGAAACTGAGGCTTTATATTCCACCTTCACCTTCGGCGATGCCTAAAAAAGCAGAATATGACAACATTTAATATATTTAGTCAACAGTTGAATAAAAAAAAAAAAAATACGAAAAAAGTTGTTTCTTACCTGTTTTGGTGAGGATTTTTCTTTGATGCTCATATCTTTTACATCTCTTGTCAGGGATTTTGTGTCCTGGAAAAAAAAGATTAGTTAATAAAAGTTCAGACTTTGCACTGGATAATTAATTTTGAAAAAAGTGTCAAAAAGTAGCTTTCAAACTAAAAAAAAAGTAGTAAAAAGTAGCTATCGAAAAATTAAACTTGAAGACCAAAAATTCAATTCCTGAGAAATTTGTATTATTCATGAAAAAAATTGAATTCTTACGAAAATTTATAAAACCAATTTTTTAAATAATTGAATTCTGTTTGGAAATTTTATAAAAATAGAAGATATTGAAAATCATTGATGTGGGAAAAGTTTTTAGTAATAAAATTTTGTAAAGAATTCTATTAAAATTTTTGACAATAATTAAATGTCTGTGTGACATTTTATTTAATTTTTTTGAAAATAATTGAATTTCTAAAAAGAATTTTATTATTTATGAAAATAATTGAATTCCTGCGAACGATTTTATTGAAATTTTTTAAAATAATTGAAAATAATTGAATTTACAAGAAGAAATTTATTACGTGTAAAAATAATTGAATTCTTGTGATGAATATTTTTATTTACTAAAATAATTGAATTTTGCAAAGAATTTTATTAAAATGCCTCAAAATAATTGGATTTCGGGAATAATTTTGTTATTTATCTTTAATAATTGAATTCTTTCGAAGATATATTTCCACGTAAATAATTGAATTCTTGGGAAGAATTTCATTAAAATCTAATAAAAAATAATTTATTTCAAAAATAATTAAAATAAAATTGTATTTAAAATAATTAATTTCTTTCGAACAATTTTATTAAAATATATTTGAAAATAATTGAATTCCTGCAAAAAATTCAAATATTTTTGTAAATAGTTGAATTCTTCCAAAGAATTTAAAAAAAAACATTTTTATTTAACTATATATTGAATTTCTCGAGGAATTGAAATTAAATTTTTAAGAATAATTACATTTTTCGAACAATTCCTGTAAAATTGTATTAAAAATAATTAAAATCCTGCAATGAATTTTATTATTTATGAAAATAATTGAATTATTGCGAAAAATTTTATTAAAATGTTAAAACAAAATTGAATTTCAGTGAAAAATTTTTATCTTTGAAAATAATTGAATTCTTCATAAGAATTTTATAAACATTATTTCAAATAATTTTTTTCGAAATATAATAAATATTCTAAAAATTTTATTTTAAATAATTGAATTCTTTTTTGGAAAACTTTATTTGTGAAAATAATTGAATTTCTCGATTAATTATTTAAAAATAGTATTAAAAATAATTGAAATTCTTCGATGAGTTTTATTATTTATGAAAATAATTGAATTCTTGCTTAGAATTTTATCGAACATTTTTTTCTTAAAATTGAAATTCCATGAAAAATGTTATTATTAGTGAAAGTAATTGAATTATTGTGATTTTATAAAAATTTTGTTAAATAATTGATTAATTTCATTTTTTCGAATTTTTTTTTGAAAATGCAATTCTAAATTAATTGAATTCCAGTGGGAATTTTATTATTTTTGAAAATAATTCAATTTTATAAATTTTTTTTTTAAATAACTGAATTGTTTTGCGAAATTTGATGAAAATACTATAGAAATTGAAAATAGAATTTTGAATAAATAAATAATTGAATCGCTTTTAAAGAATTTATGACTATAATTTTTCAGAAGTTTTTAGATCTCTAGTAGTATTGGCGAATTTAAAAGTAGTGGAAATTCGAAAAAAAGAAAAAGAAAGAAATAGTAGCTTTTAGTGGGTGAAATTTAAAAAAAGGAGCCAAATAGTAGCATAACGTAAATAAATAGTAAATAGTAGGTTTTAGTAGATGATTATCTAAAAAAAAGGTTGAAAAAAATTGTTTTAGTTTGACAGATAGTTTTACCGATGAAGTGGAAGATGTTGGGGATTGTGGTCGTGGTTCTGGTCGAGGAGTTCTTTGTTCCTGTTGCCAAGCAGATTCAGGTCTTCTTTCTCCTCCTCTGGCGCCATCATCTCTTCTTTCTCCTCTGCCTCTTCCACCACCTCCTCCTCCTCTGGCGCTATCGTCTCTTCTTTCTCCTCTGCCTCTTCCACCACCACCACCTCCTCCTCCTCCTCCTCCTCTGGCGCTATCGTCTCTTCTTTCTCCTCGTCCTCTTCCACCTCCTTCTCCTCCTCTGGCGCCATCATCTCTTCTGTCTCCTCTTCCACCTCCTCTTCCTCCTCTAGCGCCATCGTCTCTCCATCCGCCTCCTCCTCCTCCCCTTGCGCCATCGTCTCTCCAACCGCCTCCTCCTCCTCCTCTTGCGCCATCATCTTCTCTTCTGTCTCTTCTCTCACCACCTTCTCCGCCTCTACCTCTTCCACCTCCTCCTCCTCCTCCTCTGCCTCTTTCTCCTTCTCCACCTCTACCTCTTCCACCTCCTCCTCTGCCTCTTTCTCCTTCTCCACCTCTACCTCTTCCACCTCCTCCTCTGCCTCTTTCACCACCTCCTCGATTATTTCCTCCTAGCGCAGGAAAATTTTGCTCCTCTGTTTACAAAGAAACAAAAAACACAAAAATTTAGTTTTTCCAAAATTGTCAAGAATTTTCGTTAGTTTACACAACAACAAGTTTTTAATTCAATACAGTCGACTTGATAAACTGAGAACAATGTAAATTTGACGCGCTCCCAAGAAATATCGAAGCAAAATCATTTTATGATCATGTTTGTTATTTTTACCCTTTTTTTTACCTTTTATCATGGTTGAGATAAAAATTTTATTTTCTTTCTTCCTTCCTTATTTCTCTAATTTCTAGCAAAAAAGTTTTTCAACTTCTTTCCTGTCCCTAAAGAATATTCTGCATCTAATTCACAAATCACTCTAAAAATAATTAGACAATCAAAAAAAATGTTTCGATTACATTAATTGAAAAATTATTCAAAAACATCAATAACTTCATTTTAAAATAAATATTTAATTATTATTTTTGCGTAGGAATTAAAATTCTTCAAAAAATTCAAATTCAAACTTTTTTGAAATTCAACAAATTGTAATAATATTTCTTCATTTTTTTATAATAATTTAAAGTTTTTATAATAATTTGAAAGTTTAATAACTTTCAAAAAAAAAAATTCCATTATTTTTAAAATTTATAAAAAATTCTTCCCAAGAATTTAATTATTTTTACAAGCAATAAAATTTTTTACATGAATTAAAATTATTTTCCAAAAATGTAATAAAAATTCTTTTTAGGAATTCAATTATTTTCATGAATAATAATTGAATTCCTGCGAATAATTTTATTAATAGTTTTGAAAATAATTGAATTTCTGCGTGAAATTTTTATTATTTATGAAAATAATTGAATCTCTATAAAAAAATTTCATTATTTATGAAATTAATTGAATTCTTTTTGAAAATTTTGTTATTCATCAAGATAATTGAATTTTTTCTCGAAAAATTCTGTTAAAAGTTTTGAAATAATTGAATATAATTCAAACATATGTTTTTTTTTATCTTAAACTTTAACTGAAATTATAAATTTTAAATCAATTTCTCTTAAAAACTTCTACGACAATTCAATTATTTATGTAAATACAAAAATAAATAACTTATTTTTTATTGACCTCATAATTCAATGTTTTTTGAAATTGAATTTTCATAAAGAATTTTATAAACAAATTTTTAAATAACTAATTGAAAATAATTGAATTCCTTTAATGAATTTTATTAATTTTTTATAATATTGAAATTCTTGCGAAGAATTTTATTATTTTTTTTAAATAATTGAATTTTAGCAAAAGAATTTTATTAAAAGTTTTGAAAATAATTCAATTCCTGTAGAAAATTCAATTATTTTTGGAAAATAATTAAATTCATGTGAAGAATTCAATTATTTTTTAAAAATAATTCAATTCCTGTAAAGAATTTTATTTTTTTTTTAAATAATTTAATTTCTGGCAAAAATTTTATTATTTTTTTTTAAATATTTGAATTTCTGTCCAGAATTTTATTATTTTTTTTAGAAATAATTGAATTTTTAGTCAAGAATTTTATTAAAATCTTAGAAAATAATTGAAATTTTGCAAAGAATTTTATTTATAAAGATAATTGAAAGTTTGATGAGAAGATAAAAAAATTTTTTAAAGTAAGTGAATTTTTGCGAAGAATTTTCTTAGTTTTGAATATAATTGAATTTCTGCAATTATTTCTCGAAAATTCAATTTTTATTAGTATTTTTAATTAAAATTCTTCCACAAACCCATTATTTTTTATAATTAATTAAATATACATTAAAAAATACACTTTTATTAAAAAAATGTATATACTTAACGAATTTCAGAAGAATTTGAATTAACAGACTTTTTCTAAATTCTCAGTTATTTAAAATTTATAATTCAATTAATTTTGAAACATTTAAGTAAAACTATTCATTAAATAATTTATAAACAATAACTGAATTATAGTTGTTTAAAAATTAAGTTATTAAAAAGTTATTGTCCAAAATAGAAAAAATTACAAACATAACCTCAAATTTTTTGCTTTTTAAAAAACCTTTTCCTTTGGAACCTTTGGAGCGCGTCACGAATATTAAAAGAATGCAAGTAGAGATAATGAAATGTCTATCGAAATGAAAGTTCTGTTAAAATGAATCATTCCTTGAATTGAGTTGAAAAAATGCGATCATTCCGATGAATAAAAATTGGTTAAATGCGTTGAATGCGTTTAAGAAATGTCAAAGTCGAATCAGCTGTTCCATAGAAGATTCAATGGGAAAATTACATCGACTTTGACACTCCAGTTTTTTAAAATGGAAATTCAGCAGAAATAAAAATTGTGCTTATAGAATTCGGCGAATTAGAAATTGTGCTAAGAAGAATTTGTCTAAGATTTTCTCTAAATAGAAAATTAGAATTCACATAAAGTGCAGACAGGTAACAAGAAAAAAATGTCTAGTTTTTTAATTTCGAAGATGATTGAAACCTTGAAGTGCAGGGGGTGGAGCAGCTCTAGGTGCTGGTTCTGCTGCCGGAACACTCGTTTCCTTCGGCGAATCCGCATCTCCTGGTTTCTTTTTTCCTGATTTTAAATTATTTGTTTTACTTCAAAAATATTTAATAAACAAAAAATAAACAAAAACAAACACATTCAATATTTTTCAGGTCATAAGAATTAAAATATTAAAATTGTTCAAAATTACAAAAAATACGAAAAAGTAAAAAAAAAAATACTTAAAATAATTGTTTTTGTTTAGAAAATATACAAAATTTTGACTGGTTTTGACTTTCAGATACCAGCCGGTAGCCAAGTCAAAATATTTACGTCGTTTAATCGTTTTGTATATATTTTGAGGTTAGAAATAAATAAAGTTTTTTTCAAAAACAAAAGAATTAAATATCTATCAGTGAACAAGGTAAACAAAAACAAAATTTTATCAAAAAGGGATATAAATTGTAAAAATACATTCACGTAAAAATATTGTCAAAAATATTGTTAACTATCGTGTAAATAATTGTCACAATGGAATATTTTCTTCTCGCAATAAGTTAGACAAAGGATATTTGCCTCTCGATTGAAAGAAGGCGGAATGGAATCCGAATAATAAAACAATATTCAAAATAGGTAAGTAATCGAGATAAGAAATTGCAATGTAAAATGGCGTTACAAAATTGCATCATTTTACTTCATATACTAAAAATTTAACTAAACTGTCAAAATAATTACCTTTTCGTCCCATATTCAATGTTTACGAGCTTCGGTGAACTTCACTATTTTATTATATATGAGGAAAATAATGAAAATATCTATTTTTTGTTCGATCAAACACAACTGCGAGTTTTCCTGTCTGAACAAGTCAAAGTTTTACGATAATATGCCGAATAAACAGGGAAAGCACAATTTTCAAGGGTGGGGTTAAAAATAAATTCTCCGATGGAAATTAAACCACGAAAAGCATTCTGATTGGTCGAAATCGTTCAAGCATGAAGAAATTGTCCAGTTTTAGCGAATCAGAGAATAAGGCGCTTGGTTTAAAAAGGCCTAAGTATCGATAAAGTAGAAATCTTCTTAAGGGTCAACTCACAACGTTTTCGCAAAATTCACAAATTGATGGAAATTGGACAAATTTTCTAACCAATCAGGACTAACTTTTCGAAAAACAAAAAAATTGACAGAATTTTGTTTATTTTTAACCATTTTAATTACTTTACTTTTCTTTTATTTATTTTCAAATATAAAATTTTTAGAATGATTTCATACTCAAGAATTCAATTATTTTAATAAATACTAACATTCTTCGAAAGAATTTAATTAGTTTTAAAAATAGTAAAACTTCTATGAAAAAATTCAATTATTTTCAACAAAATTCGAATAAAATTTCAGGAAAGAATTCAATTATTTTTTTATATAGTAGAATTTTTAGCAAAAATTATTTTTCAATAAAATTTTTCAAAAGAATTCAATTTCTTTCATAATTTCTTATAAAATTTTTCAAAAAAATTTAATTTTCTGAAATTTTACTAAATTTTTCAAAACAATTCACGATAGAATTCAATTTTTTTCTTAATTTGTTATAAAACTTTTCAAAAGAATTAAATTATTTTCAATTCGCTTTTAATAAAATTTCACGAAAAAACTCATTTATTTCTAAATTTTTTTTAATAATTCAAACAATTCAATTATATTTTTTATAAAAAGTAAAATTCATCACAAGATTTAAATTATTTTTTATAAATTATAAAATTTTTATCATGAATAAATATTTAATTATTTGCAAATATTTTCAATTAAAATTATTCAAAAACTACATTATTTTCAACAAAAAAAAATTTTTAAGAAATTCTTCAAAACAATTTAATTATTTATAAAAAAATTCTAATAAAATTCTTTGAAAGAATTAAATTATTTTAGAAAATTGTAATAAAATTCTGAGAATAAATTCAATTATTTTCTTAAAATTATAATAAAATTCAATAAATAAATGTTTAATTTCAATTTTTAACAAACACGATTATTTTAAAAACATGAAAGAAATTGTTCATAAAATTCAATTATTATTTTCCAAATTTTTAATCAAAATTATTAGAAATTCCAATATTTAAAGAAAAAATTCAAAGAAATTCTTCAAAAGGAATTTAATTAAAATTTTCAAAAATTTTAACAAAATTCTTCGCGAGAATTCAATTATTTTTCAGGATCAATTATTCTTCTCAGAAATTCAATTACTTTTGAAAATTTAAAAAAAAATTCTTCTTAGGAATTAATTAATATTTTCATAAATAATAAAATTTATCGCAGGATTTCAATTATTTTTAAAGTAATAAATTTCTTCTTGGAAATTCAATTATTCGAAAAAATCGTTTGCAAGAATTTAATTTATTTTCATAAATAATAAAATTCTTCGAAGGAATTCTATTATTATCAAAATTTTGATAGAATTCTTTGCAAGAATTCAATGATTTTCAATAAATTAATTTTAAAATTTAAAATATTTAAAAACGAAAAAAAAATTAAAAAATGTTAATAAACAAAAAAGTTCAAACTGTGAATAGATTTCCGGAATAAAAAAATTATTATTATAGAAGATTTCTCTAAATGTAGGTAGTAATTAAATAAAAGGCAAAGAATTATAAATAGAAACTGAAACGTAAATAATTAAAATTTATTAATTTTCGAAGACGAAAAAAAAGTACAAAAAAAAAAATTTGTAATGAAAATTTCGCTTCTTATTATTATTTCTCTCATAATTTCCAATGAAACAAAGAAACTGTTAAATTTCAAATTATTTAATTTGATGAGAAATTTATGAAATTTGTCAATATAAAAGCAATACCTTAAATAATTTTAGTTTCCCTTTTCTTCTTTTTTGTATTTAATTTTCTTCCTGTTGCATTTGTAATTCGCGAAGAATTTGTGCTTTTTGTTTTTCTAATTCGTCTTCGGATAGTTCGTGCTGCTCGACATTGTCATTTAATGAGCCGTCACTTTGAATTGAGGCTCGTCGATGTTTATCTTCTTTCCTTCGTTGATCCGGTGAGCCTTCAGAGGACGGAAGCCTCGAGTGTGATCTCTGTTGAAAGCAAACGAAAAAGAATTTTAGTATTTATTTATTATTAATATTATTTATTATAATTTCAGTCTATTTGTATTTTTTTGTTTTTATAGACAGTACCGAATGACTGCGACCACGTTTCTTTTTATTTTTCCTCCTCTTCTTTTTTGTTTCCGATTCCGAACTGTCGGATTTGCTGCCTGGACTCGCCGATCTCGATCTGTGTCTCTTTTTCTTAAGGCCCTTCTCACTACCCTCGGAATCCTGAATAATTAATAATTTTACATCAATATTTTCAAAATTAATTGAATTTCAAAAGAGTTGTGTTTACAATTTTTAAAAATAGATCAAAAAGTTTTTATTTAAATTTAAAGAAATTTTCAATTTAATGCATTTAATTAGAAATTTTAATAATTCAAATTCTTCTAAAATTAGTTAAATTTTTTAATGTATATTTAATTAATTATGAAAATCAATAGATTAATAGAAGAAACACTGAAAAAATATTGAATTTTAAAAAAGTTACAAATAATTAAAGAAATTTGATTATTTTCAAAAGTAATAAAATTCCTTGCAGAAATTCAATAATGTTCTAAACTTTAAAAACATTCTCGTCAAAATTTCAATTATATTTATAATTATAATAAAATTCTTTTCAAAAAATTCAATTTATTTTCAAAAATTATATTAAAATTCTCATCAAAATTTCAATTATTTTCAAAAATTTTATTAAAATTCTCGTCCAAATTTCAATTATTTTCAAAAGTAATAAAATTCAATTATTTTTAAAGATTTTAAAAAAATTCTTGGCAAAATTTCAATTACTCTCAAAAATTTTACAAAAGAAATCAATTATTTAAAAAGAATTTTAATAAAATTTTAAGCAAACATTTAATTATTTTCATAAATAATAAAAATTTCACAGGAATTCAAAATTTTTAAAAACATTTCTTCGCAATAATTCAATTATTTTAAAGAATTTTAATAAAATTCTTCACAGAAATTCAAATATTTTATAAGGAATTTTAATAAAATTCTTTGCAAAATTAATTCATTTTCATAAATAGCAATATTCATGATAAGAATTCAATTGTTTTCAAAAGTATTAAATTTTTTTACAAAAATTCAATTATTTTCAGGAATTTGAATAAAATTCTTCGCACGAATTCAATTATTTTTCCCTGGAATTCAATTATTTAAAAAATTTCAATAAAATTCTTCTCAAGAATTCAATTCTTTCATAAATTATAAAATTCTTATTAGGAATTCAATTATTTTTAATACAATTTTAAATGCATTCTTCCAAAAATTCCATTAGTTTAAAAAATTTTAATTTAAATTGAATCTAAATTGAATTTTAAAAAGGTTTTCAATTTTAAAACTTTGAAAATTTTAATTTTTCATACTTTTTATTATGAATTCTGAAAAAGTAATTTTTTTGAAAAATTTTAATTTCAATTCTGTTGAAATTAGTTGGATTTTTTAAAATTATTAACGAAATTCTTCGAAAGAATTCAATTATTTTAATAAATAACAAAATTTTTCCCACAAATTCAATTATTTTCAGAAATTTTAATTCTTTCCAAGATTCAATTACTTATTTTCATAAATAACAAAATTTACCAAAAAAATTCAATTACTTTCAAAAGAATTGAAATTCTTCGCATGAATTCAATTATTTTTACAAAGAATAAAATTTTTCACTTGCTATTCAATTATTTAAAAAATTTCAATAATATTCTACTCAAGAATTCAATTATTTCATAAATATTAAAATTCTTTTCAGAAATTCAATTAATTATTTTCAAAACTTTTAATAAAATTCTTTGCAGAAATTTAATTATTTAAAAAAAAATTAATGAAATTCTCGGCAAAAATTTTAATTAATTTCAAATAATTTCCTCAATTCAATGATTTTCAATAACTACTATTTTAATAAAATTTTCCAAAAGAATTCAATTATTGATAAAAATTTTAATGAAATTCTTCGCAAACATTTTAATTACATTCATAAAATAATTAAAATTTCACAAGAAATTCAATTTTTTACAAAGATTCAATTATTTTCAGAAATAATAAATTTCGTTTTAGGAATTCAATTATTTTCATAAATAATAAAACTCATTGCAGAATTTCAATTATTTTTAATACAATTTCAAATCGAAATCCTCAAAAAATGTAATTAATTTAAAAAATTGATTTAAAAATTAATTTTCTATAATAATTGAATTTTGGAAGATGAACAGTGAAGAATTTTATTATTTTGGAAAATAATTGAATTATTGCAACGAATTTTTATTTTTTTTTTTTAAATAATTGAAATCCATGAAGAATTTCATTGTTTGTGAAATGTAATTGAATTATTTCAAAAAATTTTTTTGAAAATAAATACATTTTTCGAGGAATTTATTTAAAATTGTATTTTAAAAATAATTGAAATCCTATGAAAAATTTGATTATTCATGAAAATAATTGAATTCTTACAACGAATCTTTATTACATTTTTGAAAAATAAATGAATTTATGTGAAATATTTTATTAACTTGTAAAAATAATTGAATTCTTGCGAAGGATTTTATTAAAACTTAAGAAAATAATTTAATTTTTTTTTTAATTTTATAAAATTATAAATTATAAAACTTGAAAATATCGATTGGTCTGAGTCGAAGACTCGGAGTGATCGATATTTTCATGTTTTATAAATAAAAATATTTTTCGAAGTTTTTGAATTTCAAAAAGGTTTAAATTTTAATTTCTATGAAAAAAATAATGATTAAATAATTATTTAAAGGAGAAGTTATTGATGTTTCCAAATAAGTGTACAATTAAAGAAACTCGTAAATAAATGTAATAGAACAGTTTTTTAGTATCTAATAATTTTTAGAGTAAATCAGAATAATTTCTAAGGGAAAAATCGAAATTTTTTTATGAAAATCAGGGAAAAGTCAGGAAAAAACAAAAAATAAATTTTTGTGATAAAAGAAAAATAGAAAAATGTCAGATTGCAAATTTACACTCACGCTATGTGATTTGGAACGTGATTTTCGTTTTGGTTTTTTCGTCTTCTTCTTCCGACTGCGAATATGATGATGACTGCAACTCTCCTCCAATTCATGTTGATATTCCTTGAATATTCTCAATCTCTCGCTCTCCAATGAAATTGCTTTAAAATCCGGCTCCTCCTCGATTTTCATTCTCACATCGTCCCACGTCATTTGATAATCGACACCCAATGTTTTTAATAAATTCTTAAAACCTGACTCGAGTTTTTTGAATTTCCTCGTCTCCTCCTTGACTCTCTCCTTCTCGCGTGCCTCCGCCTTTTCCAGCAGTGAATTATAGGTCAACTTCACATTGCCCGCGTCGAGTGTCGCCGATTTTCTGTCCTCGCAAACAACAGTGGCGAACTCCTCGAAAGTCGTGTTCACCTGAACTTCGAAATTGCGATCCTTGAGAATTTCGCGAATTATTTTCTTCTCGTCGTGGAAGCGCGATTTCAAATCGGCAACGTAGAATTTGAAGAGATCGAGGGGCGTCGATCCTGATTGTCCGAGCATGGCCGAGAAACGAAGGTCTGCCGACAGCATTGGATACAGTTCGACCCAGAGGGACATTGAGGTTAATTTCCCCTGTTCGTGCAGTTCGTCGAGAAGACTCTGAAATCGGTTTTTACAATTAATTTTATTATCAACTAAAATTATTTATTATTTAAAAAATTAAAATTAATTATTTATTATTTTTATTTTTATCACAAAATTATTTATTATTTTGTAAATTCTAATCTAATAACCGAAAATTTTCTAAATCAAAAAAATTTAATTGAATTTTCCCAGGATTTTTCACGAAACAATTGTCAAAATTTTTAATTTTCAAAAATAAACATCAGTTTCTGAATAATTAGATTTAAAAATTAAAAGAATTCACTTAGTTCAAAATTTTCAGTGAAAATTATTTAAAGAAACTCTATTACTTTTAAAGAAAATTGAAATAAATTCTTCAAAACAATTCAATTATTTTAGAGAATTTTAATAAAAATCTTTCCAAGAATTCAATTATTTCCATTTCAATTTAAATTACATTTTCTTGAAAGAATTCAATTACTGAAAAAATTGTTGATACAATTCTTGCAAAGAATTCAATTATATTCAAATTTTTTTATAAATTAATTTTCAGTACATTGACAATTTAATTATTTCTGGAAATAATTGAATTCTTGAATAGAATTTTATTAAAACATTTTTAAATAATTGAATACCTGCGGCAAAATTTATTATTTCTACAAATAATTGAATTTTTGCAAAACTAAAAAAAAGTAATTGAATTTTGAGAAGAATTTTATGAAAATTGTATTTAAAATAATTGAATTCCAGCGAAAATTTTATAAAATTTAAAAATAATTAAATTCTTGAATTGAATTTTATTAAAAGTTTTTTTAAATAATTGAACTCATGTGTTGAATTTTATGAATTTTTAAAAATAATTGAATTTCTGCGAAGATTTTTATTATAAGTTTTGAAAATAATTGAATTTCTAGGAAGAATTTTATTAAAAGTTTTGAAAAAATAGAATTAATTGAAAATAATTGAATTCCTGTGATGAATTTTATTTGCTTTTAAAAATAATTTAATTTCTGATAAGAATATTATGGAAATTTTTTTAAATAATTGAATTCCAGGGAATAATTTAATTAAAAGTTTGAAAAATAATTGAATTCTTACTAAGAGTTTTATTAATTTTTGAAAATAATTCAATTCCCGTAAAGAATTCAATTAATTTTGGTAAATAATTTAATTCCTGTGCTGAATATTAATAATTTTTGAAAATAATTGAATTTTTTCCAAGAATTTTATTTTTTAAAAATAATTGAATATCTGGCAAGAATTTTATTAAAAGTATTGAAAATAATTGAATTTCTGGGAAAAATTGTATTAAAAGTTTTGAAAATAATAATTGAATTCCTAAAAGGAATTTATTATTTATGAAAATAATTGAAGTTTTCGAAGAAATAAATTAAAATTGTATTGAAAATAAGTGAAATCAAGATAAGCATTTTATTATTATTTATATAAAAATAAAAATTGAATTTTTTTACGAAGATTTTTATTATTTATAAATTGACTTTTTGCAAAGAATTTTATTCTAATTATTGAAAATAATTGAATTCTACATAAAATTCAATTACTTTTAAAATTTTCAGTAAAAATTATTTTTAAAAAACTTTTTTTTTAAAACTTTTTTATTTTCAAGAAAATTGAAATAAATTCTTTAGAACAATTTAATTATTTTAAAGAATTTTAATAAAAATCTTGCCAAGAATTTAATTATTTTCAATACAATTTCAATTCCTTTTTCTCGAAAGAATTCAATTATTGCAAGAAATATTCATAAAGTTCTTAAAATGAATTAAATTATAGCAAGAAATATTCATAAAATTTTTAAAATGAATTCAATTATTTTCAATTTTTTTTTATAAATACTTTACAAGAATTCAATAATTTTCAGTAAATCGAAAATTTAATTATTTCTCAAAATAATTGAATTCTTGAAAAGAATTTTATTAAAACTTTTTTTTGAATAATTGAATCCCTGCGAAAAAATTTATTTTTTCTACAAATAATTGAATATTTGCAAAATTTAAAAAAATAATTGAATTTTTGAGAAGAATTTTATGAAAATTGTATTTAAAATAATTGAATTCCTGTGAAAAATTTACTATTTATTGATATTATTGAATTTTGTCGAAGAATTTTAAAAAAATGTTTAAAAATAATTTAATTATTTTTGGAATTTAATTAAAATTGTATTTAAAATTTTGTTAAAAGTTTTTTAAATAATTGAACTCCAGTGTTGAATTTTATTAATTACTAAAAATAATTGATTTTCGGCGAAGAATTTGATTAAAACTTTTGAAATTCTGAAAAGAATTTTATTAAAAGTTTTGAAATTCTGAAATGAATTTTATTAAAAGTTTTGAAATTCCGAAAAGAATTTTATTAAAAGTTTTGAAAGAAATAGAATTCATTGAAAATAGTTGAATTCCTGTGATGAATTTTTTTAGTTTTTAAAAATAATTTAATTTCTGACATGAATTTTATTAAAAGTTTTGAAAATAATTGAATTTAATGCGAAGAATCTGATTAAAATTTTCTAAAATAATTGAATTCTTACTGAGAGTTTTATTAATATTTGAAAATAATTCAATTCCTGTGAAAAATTCTTTTATTTTTGGAAAATAATTGAATTCCTGTAAAAAATTTAATTATTTTTTTTGAAAATAATTCAATTTCTGTAAAGAATACAATTAATTTTGGTAAATAATTTAATTCCTGCGATGAATATTAATAATTTTTGAAAATAATTGAATTTCTGTTGATAATTTTATTATTTTATGTGAATAATTGAATTTCTGCGAAGTTTTGAAAATAATAATTGAATTTCTAAAGAGAATTTTACTATTTATGAAAATAATTGAAATTTTCGAAGTTTGATGGAAAAAATGAAAATACTAACGATAAAGCCATCGCGATTCTTGCGCTCCTGTCGTTTTCGTCGCTTCTTCTCTCGCTCCTTCTCCTCCTCCTCGTCCTTCTCGAGCTGTCGAATGTGATTCTCAAAGACAAGGATCGCGTCCTCCTTGTCCATTTGCAGCAGGTCGGCGTCCTCGGCGAACGAGGTGTGCTGAATGAGCAGTGCTTGCGCCTCTTGCCACGTGGTGCGATAAGTCACGTCCGTCAGTGCATCTAAAACTTGTGCCATTCGTTTAGTGTTTCGTTTCTTCAATACTTTCGCCTCCTCCTTCTCGCGTTTCGCTAAATTAAAAATAACATCCTCATAAATATCGCGACGATCTGAATCGCCCACCGAGCGCCATACTTCTAAATTGCCGTACATTTCCTCGCACTTGTAATACTTGGTTGTGCTCAACATTCGCGTTGGTTCAAGTAAAAATGCCTCGAGGTCCTCCTTTGCTTTCTTCAATCTGCAAAAAAATAGAAAAAATTGTAAAAACAGTTTTTCTGCTTTTAAAAATTCAAAAACGAAAAAAAAAACGAAAATTGAAAAAGTAGAAAAAAGAAAAGTACAAAAGTAGAAGAAATAGAAAAAAGAGAAAATACAAGGCTCGAACCAGTGAAAGTATTTAAAAATACGAACTTTACGGACCAATTATTATTATTTTTACTTATTTTAATTTTTTATTTTATTTTTTTTATTCAATTATTTTTAAACATGAAAAAATCGATCACTCCGAGTCTTCAACTCGGAGTAATCGCTTTTCTACAATTTTTAATTAAAATTCTTTTTTAAACAATTATTTTTAATAATTTTCGAAAAAGTTTCTTTTTCACAATTTTCAAATCCATTTGTTTACAATTCAATTCTACCAAAAAATTACGATTATTTTAGAGTATTAAAAGTACTAGAGTACTAAAAATTAAACTTAAATTATTCGCAAATTCTTCAATTAAATATATATTAGAAAATAACAACTTCAAAAAATGTTTTAAAAAAATTCAATTTAACCTTTCGAAAACAATTAATTTCACAAATAGTTAAATTTTCAAAGATTTTAATTTGAAACATTTTTAGAATTCAATTATTTCTAAAAGTTCACGCAAAAATACTTTTAATATTCAATTATTATCTATAATTTTAACTAAAATTAAATTTTAAATCAATTTTTATTAGAAAATTCAACTAGAATTCAATTATTTAAATATAAATATTAATTATTTATTGAATAATTGAATTCTCATGAAGAATTTTATCAACAAATTATTTAAATAAATAATTTTTGAATAAATAAATAAATAATTGAAAATAATTAAATTCATGTGAAATATTTTATTAATTTTTAAAAATAATTGAATTCCTACGAAGAATTTTATTATTCTTTTTTAAAAATTGAATTTTTGCGAAGAATTTTGTGAAAAGTTTTGAAAATAACTGATTTTTTTGCGAAGAATTTTAGTAAAAGTTTTGAAAATAATTTAATTCTTACTATGAATTTTATTAATATTTAAAAATAATTCAATTTCTATGAAGAATTCAATTATTATTTGCAAAAAATAATTCAATTCCTGAAAAAGAATTCAAATAATTTTGGTAAATAATTAAATTCTTGTGAAGATTTTTTTGAAATGTTTTTAAAAAATTGAATTCTTGATAAGAATATTAATAATTTTTGAAAATATGTAATTGAATTCTTACAAAGAATTTTATTAATTTTTAAAAATAATTGTTTTTCTGGGAAGAAATTTATCATTTTTTGAAAATAATTGAATTTCTGTGAATAATTTTATTATTTTTTGCAAATAATTTTATTCTTTTGGGAAATTATCTTAAATTGAATTCTCATATAGAATTTTATCAACAAATTTTTAAATAATTCCATTCTTTTAACAAATTGTAATATATTTTTAAAGAATAATTTCATTTTTTGAGGAATTTTATTAAAATTGAATTAAAAATAATTGAAATTCTACAATGAATTTTATTATTTATGAAAATAATTGAATTCCTAAAAAAAATTTTATTATTTCTGAAAATAATTGAATCTTTGTAAAGAATTGAATTCCTTGTGAAATTTTAATTATTTCATGAATGTAATTAAATGTTTGCGCAGAATTTCATTAAAATTTTTCTAAACAATTGAATTCTTTTGGAAAATTTTATTAACAAACCTAGTTGATATTCAAAATCATTGAATTGAGGAAAATTTTTGAAAATAATTGAAATTTTTACCGAGATTTTTATTGAAATTTTTTTAAATAACTTGAATTGATACGAAGAATTTTGTAAAATTTTTTAAAAATTATTGAATGCTTGTAACGAATTTTAATAAAAATTTCAAAAAATAATTGAATTCTTAGGAAGAAGTTTATTATTTTTTTTTTAAATAATTGAATTCTAACGAAAAATTTTATAAAATTGATTTTAAATAATTGATTTTTTTCGAAAAATTTTATGAAAATTGTGTTTGAAAATAATTAAATTCCTTTGAATATTTTATTATTTATGAAAATAATTGAATTTTTTAAAAGAATTTTATTATCCACGAAAATAATTGAATCCCTGTAAATATTCTATATTATTTACTAAAATAATTGAATTATTGCGAAAATATTTATAAAAAATTTGATAATAATTGAATTTCTTCGAAGAATTTTATTATTATTTATAAAAATAATTGAATTTATGGGAAGAATTTTATTAAAATTTTAGAAATTAATTGGATTCTTTCGAGAAATGTTATTAAAAATTAAAAATAAAATTGAATTCTTTTGTGAAATTTTATTGAAAATAATTGAATTTTTGCAAAGAATTTTAATATTTATAAAAATATTTGAATGCCTTTGAAGAATTTTGTTATTTCTCTAAATAGTTGAATATTTTCAAGAATTTTATTAAAATTTTTTGAAAATAATTAAATTTTGGAGAAGAATTTTATTATTTATAAAGATAATTGAAATTTTGATGAGAATTTAAAAAGATTTTTGAAAATGATTGAATTTTTGCAAAGAATTTTCTCACTTTTGATAATAATTGAATTTTAGCAATTATTTGTAACTTCTGAAAAATACAAAAGAAGAAGAAATAGAAAAAAAAAATACTAAAGTATAAGAAATAGAAAAATGGGAAAGTAGAGAAAATAGAAAAAAAACAATAAATACAAAAATAGGGAAAATAGAAAATAGAAAAAAAGAGAAAATAACAAAAGTAGAATAAATAGAATAAGAAAAGAACCTCAATCTCTCTTGTTCGCGTTCCTCCTTCAACTTCTGCGTCTTGTAGGCGTTGAAGGCCTGTTTGCGTTCGTTCAATTTTTTCATTTGCGGATAACGCGAATCGTTCTGTATCATTTTCACCGCCTGCTCCCAAGTCGCATTCGACGGGACGTCCTTCTCCTTGAGCAACTCCTTGAAGGCCTCGATCGCCTCCTTTTTGTCCTTGAATTGCATTTTCGGCTCTGGTGTACTCGTTCGACTGCCATTCGCCGATTCCTTCGCCGAATTGCTGTCCTCGTCGTTGGGCTTCGAAGGCGGTGTGGGAATGTTTATTGCCGCCAATGTCGCCGCCATGGCTTGTTCAATTGCCGATTTGCCCGCCGATTCCGGCGTTGACGTTTGCGAAAGGTTCGCGGCAATATTCGGCGACATTCGTTGCATTGCCACTGAACCCAATCCACCACTGGAAAGAGAGAAAAAAAAATCTTCGTCTTTTTAAAATTTTATTTCTTTTTTTTTAAATCTTTCAAAATAAAAACAAATTCTTTTTTACTTCATTGACAAGTATATTCATTACTTCGAATGAGAAAATGGTAATCAAACATTTAATTTCTTTGTAAAACACAAATTTATGAATTTTTAAATTTAAAAATATATTTTATTTATTTACCTAAAGTTTGTAACTAAAAATGGATTTTTCAGGCTGAAAATCAAATAAATAAATGGCAAAATAAATAAATAATTAAATAAATAAGTAAATAAATGAATAAATAAGTAAATAAATGAATAAATAAGTAAATGAATAAGTAAATAAATAAATGAATAAATGAGTAAATAAATAAATAGAAATTAGGAGGAAGTTTGAGTCTCACGTGTTCGTGGCACTCGCGACTGCTGCAGCGGCCGCAGCTGCAGCATCCTCGGCGACAATTCTCATCTTGAGTTCGTCCAATTCCGGCGGAATTGTCCAACGTGATTCCTTCGTCGCCACATTGTGATAGTAGACTTTGCCATTCTCCGACTTGTACTCCTTCCACGGGCACTGCGACAACAATAATTCACTCTGACTCTTCAATTCGTCCGGTTTCTCCCACAACGATTGTTTCGTCGTATTGTTGTAATAATAAGTGCGACCATCGGGCGCCTTGTGCTCCGACCAATCGCACTTTTTCTCCGACAACGTCGTCACTGATTTTATGTCCGTGAGAGTTGGCGCTGGCGGTGGAACTCCCGGTGCCGTTATTTGTGGCGGTGCCGCTGATTATTCAACAAAAAAAAAATTAATATTAAAATTCACCTCGTTTTTCTAATTTTTACAAAAAAATGTCAGTAATTTTTGTTCTCGAAAAAAAAGTAAAGATTAAAATTCGCTTCATTTTTCGAATTTTGTCAAAAAATATCAGTAATTTTTTTCTCGAAAAAAATTAAAGATTTGCCTCGTTTTTCTAATTTTGACAAAAAATGTCAGTAATTTTTTTTCTCGAAAGAAAAAGGAAAAATAATAACAGGATTGCCACAAATTTCTATTTTACAAAAAATAGGAAAAAATTCTTGACTTTTCCCTGATTTCCAGAGACAAAATTTCGACTCTTTCACTAAGGAATATTCTGATTCACTCTCAAAATTATTAAATACTCAAAAAAATGTTATAATACTTTTATTTGCAAATTTCTCTAAAAGTAAATTTGTTCGAAAACATCAATAACTTCATTTTTAAATCAATATTTTATTATTATTTTCTTTCTATAGAAATTAAAATTCTTCAAAAGAATGAAATTACAGTAGAACCTCGATTATCCGAGGTAATGTGGGGAAGATGTACCTCGGATAATCGAAAACTCGGATAACACGGAACCAATGAAAATTTCAAAATTTTAAATTATTTTTCATGTGTTTAAAGTGTTAGAATAATATTAAATGACAAAAATGGACGAAATTTTAAATGCAATGATCACAAATAGTGGTTTTGTAAAATTTATTTTCCAAATTTAGTCGCTCGATCCGTTTTATCCGAGTTATTCCGCATTATCCGAGCATGTTTAGTGCCTCGGATAATCCGGAATCTCGGATAATCGAGGCTCGGATAACCGAGGTTCTACTGTAAAACCTTTTTGAAATTAAAAAACTCAGAAAAATATTTTATTTATAAAACATGAAAATATCGATCACTCCGAGTCTTCGACTCGGAGCAATCGATTTTTTCAAGTTTTATAATAATTTAAATTTCTATTAAATTTTCGAAAAAAAAATTAAATTATTTTTTAAAATTTTAATAAAAACCTTCGCAAGAATTCAATTATTTTTACAAGTTAATAAAATATTTCACATAAATTCAATTATTTTTCAAAAATGTAATAAAAATTCGTTGCAATAATTCAATTATTTTCCAAAATAATAAAATTCTTCACTGTTCATCTTCCAAAATTCAATTATTATCAAAAATATTAACTAAAATTTATTTTTAAATCAATTTTCAAAATTAATTACCTTTTTCGAGGATTTCGATTTAAAATTGTATTGAAAATAATTGAAATTCTGCAATGAGTTTTATTATTTATGAAAATAATTGAATAGTTTCTTATAGAATTTTATTAAAATTTTCAAAAATACTTGAATTTCTTAGAAGAATTTTATTATTTATGAAATTTTAATTATTTTATGAATGTAATCAAATGTTTGCGCAGAATTTCATTAAAATTTTTGTTAAATAATTGAATTCTTTCGGAAAATTTTATTAAAATAGTAGATATTAAAAATCATTGAATTGAAGAAAATTTTTGGAAATAATAATTGAAATTTTTGGCCGAGAATTTTTTTTTAAATAATTAAATTTCTGCAAAGAATTTTATTAAAAATTTTGAAAATAATTAATTGAATTTCAGAGAAGAATTTTATTAAAAGTTTCAAAAATAATTCAATTTTCTGAGAAGCAAATTTATCAAATAATTTCAAACAAATGGAAAAAATTTATACAAATTCTATTTTTAATAATTGAATTCCCGTGGAATTTTTATTATTTTAGAAAATAATTTAATATTCTTGTAGTATTTTGTTAAAATTATTAAAATTGAAAATAATTGAAATTTTGCCATGAATTTTATTACTTTTGAAAATAATTGAATTCTTTCGATGAATATCCAAATGATTTTTGTTTAATAATTGAATTTTTTGGGAAAATTTTATTAAAATTGTAGAATATTGAAAGTCATTGAATTTAAGAAAAATTTTTCAAAATAATTAAAATTTTGCCATGAATTTTATTAATCTTTTAAAATATCATTGAATTTTGCAATGAATTTTATTAAAATTCCTGATAATAATTAAATTTTGTCGAAGAATTTTGCTATTTATTTATAAAGAAAATTGAATTTCTGCGAAAAATTTTCTTAATTTTGAAAATAATTGAATTCCCGTGAATAATTTTATTAGACGTTTGGAAAATAATTGAATTCCTGCTAAGAATATTAATAATTTTTTAAAATATTTGAATTTTGGCCAAGTATTTTATTATTTTTTTATATAAATTAAATTTCTGCAGAGAATTTTATTAAAAGTTTTGAAAAATAATTGAATTTCTGCGAAGAATTTTATTAAAAGTTTTGAAAATAATTGAATTCTTGTGATGAATACTATTATTTACGAAAATAATTGAATTTTGTTCAAGAATTTTTCTATTCATTTATAAAGTTAATTGAAATGTTGACAATTTTTATTTTGAGATTTTTTTTTAAATAATTGAATTTCAGCGAAGAATTTTATGAATTTTGAAAATAATTGAATTTTGCGACGAATTTTATTAAAAATTTCTGAAAATAATTGAATTTCGTCGAAGAATTTTATGAATTTTGAGAATAATTGAATTTTGCGATGAATTTTATTCAAATTTCTGAAAATAATTGAATTTCGTCGAAGAATTTTATGAATTTTGAGAATAATTGAATTTTGCGATGAATTTTATTGAAATTCCTGAAAATAATTGAATTTTGTCGAAGAATTTTATGAATTTTGAAAATAATTGAATTTTACGATGAATTTTATTAAAATTCCTGAACAAATTGAAATATTAAGAATTTTTTTTATGTTTTTGAAAATTAAATTGCAGAAATGAATCAACGAGGGAAATAAAAATATTTTTTGATAAATATACCAATAACACCGGCTTCGGGAGGTGGTGCGGCGCCCATCGGGAAACCAAAACCCGGAGGCGGAATGGAAAATTGCGGTGGCATCATTCCTGGAGGACCTGGAGGAAGACCCGGCGGTTGAATAAACGGAGCCGCTGGTAGAATCGGAGGAACGAATGTTGTGGCCATATTTGGTGCACCTGGAGGAAAGCCAGCAACTGCCGGTGGAATTCCTTCGTTTGAAGCCTAAAAAAACGAAATTTTCAAAAAAAGAAAACCAAAAAATTGAATACAAAACAAAAAGAATTAAATTGATTAATTCAGTCAAACAAAATATTCAAATTATTAGAAATATCCAATAACTAACTAACAATAATTACAATTAATAAACCGGACAATAATTTTGTTTTGATCTGGCAAAAATTATTTTTGACAGGTAATCGGACGCAAACTCAAAAACTAATTTATTACAATTATACGATACAATCGAAAACTAAAATAAACCCTAATTGTAAAATTCATAAATATTTCCCTCTTCCAATGCTTTCCATAAAGGAATTTTATCAAAAATTCATAAATTATTGCATAAAAAAAGAAAAATATTTACCGTTTTTTTGAGGTTAGGAATGTCAAACAATTTTCAATACTCTGACGATTACGTTCACATTTTGAGGAATTTGGATAATAAAATATATTAGTTTCACTTACCATCAATTTACTTAAATAATTATACTATCCATTAAATAAAAAATTGAGAATGTTTCATTGAATTTTATGGAAAATTATTCCATTCAAAAGCCAAGCGAGTTACACACACAGAGACGAAATTCACACGCACACATTTTTTGAGGTTAGGTGTATCCGCGTGATAATTCCGATAATTCCCCCGACTTTTGGGGATCGTTTTAAAAAAGAAATAAATAAGAAAATAGTGGATATTTTCCGAAATATAAAAATTGATTCTATTGTAAATGAAGTCGAGGAATTATTATTAAGGAAAGATTTTATAATTTCGGCGAAATATGGATAAATAGGGAAATATTTCGAGTATAAAATTCGCAAAGGGAAAAAGCAGAGGAAAAGGTTTAGAATTCTTTTTTCTTTGCGAGTTTGAAAAATATGTTGAACAATTTTCCAAGTGACGAACTTTGATTGTTAATTTGATTGTCTAGTCAAGATTATAAATAATTTATTTATATTTCTATTGTAAGAAAAAGAAGGTAAGATATTCAGACATAAATAATAATAGAACGAATGGTGAAAGAAAGTATTTTTTTTTTTTTGAAAAGTGTTTTATTTTGGAAAGCAAAAAGTTATACCTATTTTTAAAATTCAAATTGGTTCAAAAAAATTATATTTGAATAACAATATTAATTGAAATTTCGTTCCATTAAAATTGAAGTACAAATTGGTTTAAATAAAAAATAGTTTTACTAATAATTACCAAATTACTAATTGCATAATTTGACTAAATTACGTATTTAATTGAACTAAAATTTTATTTCAATTTTTAAGTACAATGAAATTAAAGATTTAATTAAATATTAAATCTTTAAGCGATAATTAATATTTTTTCACTTGTTAACGAATTAATAAAAAATAATTTGATTTTAGATAAAATGAGTTTAATGAGCAGATTTTTGTACTGGTGTAAAACTCCAACAGGACAAAAAGTCGGCACTGGACTGTGCATTGGCATAAATTTTGGAGTTTTTTATGCTGTATATTTACCACAAACATTTTTCATACAAAAATTAAAGAATTTGGTGCAACTGAATGAGTACGTAGACACAAAAAAGATATTTTTTTTATTTATTATTGAATAATTGAATACTTTGAAAAAATTGAGTTAAAATTTTCAAAAAAATTCAAAATAATAAATAATAATTCAAAAAAATTTAACTAATTTCAACAGAATTAAAATTAAAGTTTTAAAAAAATTAGTTTTATACAGAATTGTTAATTAAAAATATGAAAAATTCATATTTTCAAAGATTTTAATTTGAAATTTTTTTAAAATTCAATTACTTAATATCTAAAGCTTTAACTAAAATTAATTTTTGAATCAATTTATATTACAAAATTCTGCGAGTATTCAATTATTTAAATAGAAAAATTAAATAATTTATTGAATAACTAAATGTTTCTTAGATTTGAATTGACATAAAGAATTTTATCAACAAATTTTTGAATAATTAATTGAAAACTAGCAAAAACTGACGCGCGCGAGCGCGCGTGCATTTTTTTTTCAACGTTTTATTTTAAATAATTAAAACTTTATTTTTTCAGCGAATTTGAACCATTATGATGTCACAATTTTTTAGCAAATGCTGTGAACAAATTGTGACGTCATTATGGTTCAAATGCCATTAAAGAAATTATTTCATCTTCTATTAATTAATATATTTTTGCATTTTCTTTTTTTATATAAATAAATTAAAATTTTTATTTATTAATTGAAAATATCTGTTCGCAGTTTATATTTTTTTTTTGTTTAATATTTTAATAATTTTATGTTTTAATATATAGGGTAAGTGTACTAATTCCTGCGGTATTTTGGTCAAGACGTCTTTTAACTATAAAATATAATTTTTATATTGATCAAATTGAACTTATGTCTTATTAAATTTGTAGTTTGTGTTATTAAGATATGTTTACAATAAATAACATCTCTAAAATATAATTTATTTTAATAAATTTAATGAATTAAAAATAATATTCAATGCGTTTAATTCTGCGCGTTTGAGTCAGTTGCTGCGCATCAGTTGCTGCGCGAATTTAATTCCTGTGGGTCAGTTTCTGCGCATAATTTCGTGTTTATGTGTATAATACCGCAAACTACTATGAAATCAAAATGGGACAATGATTTTAATCAATGTTTAATTGAATAGAATATAAATTTATTAAAAATAAATATATATCATATATTAACAAAAGTAACAAATAATTTCTGAATTATCACATTTTTGAAACATTTAGTTAAAACTTAATAACAGAATTCTTCCTTAATTAATTTATGTATTTATTAAATTTTATTTAGTTTTTCCTCCATAAGGTCATGTTATTCAGTGGTCACGTGTTCCCATAGTGAAGTATATGGAGCACGTGACCACTGAATAACATGACCATAATCTTCATTTTTTCTTTCATTTTCATAATTTTTTCTTGCTCTTTTTCAAAATAGATAGTCTATTGTAACCAGTCTTAGTTGATTTTCTGAGGGCGCAGAAATTAAATCAAGCCCAAATTCTGTGTTAATTACTACTCTTAAAAATAAAATATAATAACAGACAAAAATAAAGTAAAGTTTAATTTTTCTTTTAAAACAAGGTTTTCTTTATCTAAAATCATCATAATAATAACCACTTTAAGTCTAAAAACAATAATAAAGCCTTTTTTATGTAGGTATTTTTGCACCGCCAGCAAAGTTAGCAATGAAAATAAATAAAACCTTGAACACGTCAACTTTTAATTAAAATAAAATACATAAATATTATGTTTTGGTATATACTTCCTATATCTATTTTAAAACTTACATCGTTAAGTAATTTTTAAAAAAAATTTCAAAATTATTTGTGCCCTGAACAAATGTATTTACTTAAATTATTAAAATGCCGCAGAAACTGAAGCACCCGCAGCAATTGACGCACTTACCCTATATAAATATATTTTTTCTATTAAAATAGCAATTCTTTAAAATGATTATTATTATTTTTAAGGGTATTTTAATTATTATTATGACGTTATAATGTTTTAAATAAATTTAAAAAATGGAAATGCTGGAAAGAATGAAAAATACATTTTTTTTAGAAATATAAAATTATTCAATTAACATCTTCTATCTTTATATCTTCTCTCTATATTAATATCTTCTTCTTCTATCTTCTTTGATTTAGTTGTAATTTACTTTTTTGTTTCCTATCTTCTTTAATAATTTTATGTTTCAATATTTTTAATTTTAGAGGCATTTCACGTCAGAAATATCACGATTTGCAAAGGGTATGCCGATTTTCGCAAAACTTCGTGGGATTATAGTTCTATATAAGAGACTTCTTTCCCCTAAATTTTTTCAAAAAAAATTCAAAATTGTTGAAGATACGCCATTTTGAATTTTAATATTAATTTTATAAAATTTTGAATATCTCGGAATATTGTTTATGGATTTTTATGAAATTTACACATTTTTCAGGTAAAAGTATGTACTTTAAAATGCAAATAAAGTTAATAAAAAAAAATTAATTTTTAAATAAAAAAATTAAAAAAAATTTTTTTAAACAATTTTTTGTTTATTTACTCCTCTCTGAGAAAAATGTTATTAACATATTTGGATTCCTTATGAATTCACCTTTAATTTCATAAAAAAAAATTGATGGAGACTCAACTGGTTCCGGAGATATTGAATTTTTTGTAAAAAAAAGCGTCGCCGCGCCATAGCACCATACTGCACAAGTCGCGTAGTACGTTACCGCAGTCGTGCATTGCTGCTGTAACTATGACTATTTTTTTACAAAAAATTCAATATCTCTGGAACCAGTTGAGTCTCCATCAATTTTTTTTTATGAAATTAAAGGTGAATTCATAAGGAATCCAAATATGTTAATAACATTTTTCTCAGAGAGGAGTAAATAAACAAAAAATTGTTTTAAAAAATTTTTTTTAATTTTTTATTTAAAAATTAATTTTTTTTTTATTAACTTTATTTGCATTTTAAAGTACATACTTTTACCTGAAAAATGTGTAAATTTCATAAAAATCCATAAACAATATTCCGAGATATTCAAAATTTTATAAAATTAATATTAAAATTCAAAATGGCGTATCTTCAACAATTTTGAATTTTTTTTGAAAAAATTTGGGGGAAAGAAGTCTCTTATATAGAACTATAATCCCACAAACTTTTGCGAAAATCGGCATACCCTTTGCAAATCGTGATATTTCTGACGTGAAATGCCTCTTTAATTAAAATTAATATATTGAATTTCATTTAAATTCTTGCAAAAAATTTGAGAATCATTGAATTTCTTCAAAAAATGTCATTATTTATGAAAATAATTAAATTTTCGCTAAAAATCATTAAATCAATTTTGGAAACCCTAATTAAATTTTTCTGAAGAATTATTTTTTATTTTTTGTTTAATAATTGTGTTTCTTTAATAATTTTAATTGGATATTTTTAAAGTAATTTAAATTTATGAACAATTTTTTTCAAGTTTTTAAAACTAATTTTTAAATTTGTAAATTTAGTTGAAACATCTATTGTTTACATTTATCCCTTGTTTACAATTACCCCAAATGGCCCTAATTGTAAATTGATTGTTTTGTTGATTTTTGAATTTTATTTCGGAATAATTCAATTTTTTATTATGTATTTTTCATGATTTGAAGACTTTATATAGTCTTTAAAAGACTTGATAGTATTTAAATAGTTGAAATGAAAGGCGGTGCCTAAAGTATTTTTTTTAAGTTCATTATTTTTTTTTCTTTTTAGAAAATCTATTTTCTATAATATTGTGTTAAAAAAAACGTTAACATTTTATATTTTATTTGAACAGAAGATAACGATAAGTTTAATTCTTGCAAAAGAAAGCACTTATAAGTTAATTCTACACACAAACACACACAGAAATACGTTTATTTTTTACGTAAGTGCCAATAAATTAATTTCAATTTTTTATTTAAAATGAAATAATTTAATTTTGAATTAATTGTATTTTTGATATTTGAATAATTAATTATTATTTTGAACAATTACATTTTTCAATGATTTCAAAATAATTAAATTTTTATTAAAAACAGAATAATTTATTTTTGAATTAATTAAAATTGTTTGATTTATTTTTGAATAATTAATAATTGACTTTTGAATTATTTAAAATTCAAATATTGTAAAAAATTAATAAAATATTTAAAAAACAATTTATTTTTAACATAATAAAAAAAGTAATTTATTAAAATACTAAATTCAAATAGATTTTGAATTGCAATTATTTTTAAAAATAAATAAATTTTTTGTGTAAAATCATTTTTTTAAAATTAATTAAAATTTGAAACAATTGAATTTTTTTTTTCATTTTTGAAAAATTAATTATTTCGAACAATTTTTTAAACATAAAAGAACCAGGAGCTATTATCACTCATAATAGCAATCAAAAAAAGCACACACTAAAGGGATCGCTCTTCCCAAAAAATTTAGACTCTAGATCCTGCACTGTATAAGTTAATAATTGAAGATTAATTAAATTTTTGAAAAATTAAATATTAAAAAATTAATTATTTTGAATAATTAATATTATTGAACAGTAATTTACGAAAACGACCAATGTAATAAAATTTAGAACGATATTTTTTATTGATTCAGGAAAATTGAATTTTTTAATTAAAATTAATAATCGTTGAAAATTGAAAATAATACAACTTTTATTGACAATTCGATATTTCAGTTTTTTTAGATTTTAAAAATGCATAAAATTTTCAATAATAATAATAAATCAAAATACAATAAATATTATCAATTATAATTATAAATAAAAAAAAAATAATAATAATAATAATAATAAGATATACGAATAAAATTTGTTTTTAAGTTATTTTGAGATTTTTATTTAACAAAATAAAATGAAATAATATAAATGATTTAATTAAGAAGAAAATTTTAATTAATAATTAGAATTTACCAATCTACAGTTTTTTTTCCACTGAAAACGGTAACCTCTCGCCTGATACCAGATATTTTTCCACGATTTTTCAAACACAATAATTCTTGTCACAATTTAACGTTTTTTAAAAACACCCGCACTACCGCATAACATAACATCGGAAATGTCAAAACATCACGAAAAATATAAACAAACAAAAAAATCATGATAATAATTCGCAAATGATAACTAACAACTAACTTCATACTGCGAACGGACAGAATGAAAAACCACAGACTTTAATAAAGTTAATAATTGAATTTCTATGTTAAAATTTATTTATTTTAAAAAATAATTTCTGCAAAAAATCTTTTTTTTTTTAATAATTTAATTTTTTCGAAGAAATTTATTAAAAGTTTGAAAAATAATTGAATTTCCCAAAAGAATTTTATCAAAAGTTTTAAAAATAATTAAATTTTGCAAAAAATTTCTGAAAATTTCTGAAAATAATAATTGAATTCCTAGGAAGAATTTTGTTTTATATTAATTAAGATAATTGAATTCTTTTGAAAAGAATTGTGTTAAAACTTTTAAAATAATCGAAAAAAATTCAAGTAATTTCAACAGAATTGCAATTAAAATTATTCAAAGAAATTAGTATTACTAAATTTTTAATTAAAAAGATAAACAATTCAGAGTATTCAAGATTTTAATTTGAAATCTTTTCAAAATTCAATTAATTATTATCTAAACTTTTAACTAAAATTTATTTTTAAATCAATTTTTATTGGAAAATTCTAACAGAATTTAAGCATTTAAGTAGAAAACTAAATAATTTTCAAAAAGAATTTTATCAACAAATTTTTAAAAAATTAATTGAAAATAATTAAATTTCTGTGTTAAATTTTATTAATTTATAAAAATAATTGAATTTCTGCGAAGAATTATAATATTTTTTAAAAATAATTGAATTTCTGTGAAAAATTTTATTATTTTTTAAAAATAATTGAATTTTTTGCGAAGAATTTTCTTATCAATTAATTTAAATTTAATTCAATTCCTGTGAATAATATTATTATTTTTTTGAAATAATTGAATTTCTGCGAAAATTGTTGTTAAAAGTTTAGAAAATAATTGAATTTCTAAAAGAAAATTTTACTATTTTTAAAAATAATTGAATTTTTTATATAAAACTTATCGAAATTTTTGAAAATAATTGAATTCTCCTCTTATGAATTTTTTTAATTTTGAAAAATAATTGAATTCCTCTTATGAATGTTATTAATTTTTAAAAGTAATTGAATTCCTGTGATGAATTTTATTAAATTTCAAAAATAATTGAATTTTCTTCCGATTCTTTGTCGGATACTTCCTTTAAAAAAAACAATTTAATTTTTTATTTTCCTAATTTTGAATTTTGTGTTCGTAGGATGGGAAAACCAGTCGAAGTGCCAGAGGACTTGAAGATTCTCTTCAACGAAGTTATCGGCGACTTGGAATTCCAGGAATTCGAACGCAAAGTCGTCGAGCCATTCATCGTCTGTCGCTTTCGACCATTTCAAGCTGGAGTATTACATTCGACAAGCGGTGGAATCATTGGCATTCCATGGCACTTCACCTACAACGATATTCTCGATGTGAAAATACCAAAACTCTCACTCTTCAAAATGCCCGTCGATGTTTCGCGCTTGGAAACTGAAGATTTGGCCGAATCGCTTGTTCTGTCGCGCGACGCAAAGAAATTCGCCATTGCACACGAATTGTGCTTACTGCGTGAGTCTGAGTGCATTTTAAATTCAGTATTCGCCTCGGCTTTCTGTTTTCTCAGCTACTCTGTGTCGCAAGTGGTGAAGCATAAATTTCACCTCTACACAAAATCGCTGTCGTTACGTCTTCTTCTTTACACGACGAGTGGTTTCGTTGGCGCTGCACTTTACTTCATACAAAAAGATTATTACGCCAAAAAATTGGAGAAAAAGATTGACGCCGAATTGGCGAAATTGAATAATAGTTACTTGCAAGGTGGACTTGAGTATTACAGTAAAGTGATGAAGACGAATATTGCTTTGAGGAAATTACTCGATGATTATGGTGATAAGACTTATGATGATAAAGGGGATCTCGTTTATTTATGGAGGCAAAAAACGACGCCTTATAGTGAGAGGAAATTATTTTTTGAAATGCTCGCGAATACTGAGAAGGCGTAGATACTTCTTTTTGTTAAAACTAGTCTTTAGCTAAGTCACCGAAAATTTATAAATAAATAACTGTTGAATTAATTCCTTTTTTTTCATTCGGGGTTTAAATTTAAATTTTCTTTTTTACTTGACTTTTCCCTCATTTCCAGAAAGAATTTTTTCTTTATCCCCTCACTAAAAAATATTCTGAAAATACTCTAAAAAATAAATAAATACTCAAAAAAAAAAGTTCAAAATTACATTTCTTTGCGAATTTCTTTAAAATTATTCGAAAACATCAATAACTTCATTTCTTTGCGAATTTTTTTAAAAATTATTCAAAAACATCAATAACTTTATTTTTTAATAAATATTAATTCATTATTATTTTTCCATGGGAATTAAGACTTTCAAAATTTCAAATTTAAACCTTTTGAAATTCAATAACTAAGAATATTATTATAAAACATGAATTTTTAACTAAAATTCTTCTCTAAATCAACTATTTTTAATAATTTTTAAAAAAGATCTTTGACAATTTTCAACTTCATTTATTTACAATTCAATTTTATTTATTTATTTATTTAAGATTCGAAATTTTACCAAAAATTTCGATTATTCGAAAATTCTTCAATTCAAATAATTAAAAAAAATTGAATTAAACTTTTGTGAAAAAATTAATTCCCAAAAATTATTAGTTAAATGTATGAAAAATTCCAATTTTAAAAGATTTTAATTTAAAACTTTTTCAAAATTCACGCTATAAAGCTTTTAATATACAATTATTATTCAAAATTTTCACTAAAATTTATTTTAAAATCAATTTTTATTAAAAAATTGTTTTTTTTTGTTTATTTTTTATTTTTAAATTTTTTGAAGAATTTATAAAATAGTATTTAAAATTATTGGATTCAGAAAAAAAATTTTATTACCATTTATGAAATAATTAAATTCATCAGAAGATTATTATTGAAATTTTGTAAATAATTAAATTCCAGTGAAAAATTTCAATAATTTTTCAAAATAATTGAATTCCTGCGAAGAATTTTATTATTTTTTTTTAATAATTGAATTTTACAAATAATTTTATTAAGTTATAAAAATAATTGAAATTTTGAGAAGAATTTTATTAAAAATTTTGAAAATAATTGAATTATGCCTCAGAGTTTTATTAATATTTGAAAATAATTCAATTTATGTGAAAAAATGAGCTATTTTTGGAAAATAATTGAATTTCAGTGAAGAGTTTTATTGTTTTTTTTTTAAAGAATTGAATTTCCGAAAAGAATTTTATTAAAAGTTTTGAAAATAATTGAATTCTTGCAATGAATTTTATTATTTACGAAAATAATTGAATTTTGCAATGAATTTTATTAAAACTTCTGAAAAATAATTAAATTTTTAGGAAAAATTTTATTATATGTTTATTAAGATAATTGAATTTTCTCGAAAAATTGCGTTAAAAATTTTGATATAACTGAAAACAATTCAAAAAAATTCAATTAATTTTAACAAATATGAAATTAAAAATTTTCAAAAACATATTTTCAGAATTGTTAATTAAAAGTATGAAAAATTATGATTTTTAAAGATTTAATTTGAAACCTTTTCAAAATTCAATTATTATCTAAAACTTTAACTGAAATTAATTTTTAAATCAATTTTTATTAGAAAATTCAATTATTTAAATAGAAAAATAAATAATTAATTGAATGTTTCTTAAAATTGAATTCACTTAAAGAATTTTATTAACAAAATTTTAAAATAAATAATTGAATATAATTGAATTCCTGTGAAGAATTTTATTACAAATTTTGAAAATAATTGAATTTTTGCGAAGAATTTTATTAAAATGCCTCAAAATAATTGAATTTTATAAAGTTTTGAAAATAATTGAATTTTTGTGGTAGATTTTATTAATTTTTAAAAATAATTGAATTCCTGTGATAAATTTTATTAAAAGTTTTGAAAATAATTGAATTCTTGCGAACGATTTTATTGGAATTTTTTAAAATAATTGAATTTTCAAGAATTTCTTGTGATGAATCTTTTTATTTATTAAAATAATTGAATTTTGCAAAGAATTTTATTTAAATGCCTCAAAATAATTGAATTTTCGGGAATAATTTTGTTATTTATCTTTAATAATTAAATTCTTTTGAAGAATTATTTTTGTAAATAATTGAATTCTCGGGAAGAATTTTATTAAAATCTAAAAGAATTATTGATTTTTTTCGAACAATTTTATTAAAATATTTAAAAATACTTGAATTCCTGTGAAAAATTCTACTATTTTTGTAAATAATTGAATTCTGCCAAAGAATAATTTTAAAAAAACATTTTTTTAAAATAATTGATTTTTTCGAGGAATTGAAATTAAATTTTTAAGAATAATTACATTTTTCCAGCAATTCCTGTAAAATTGTATTAAAAATAATTGATATCCCGCGATGGATTTTATTATTTATGAAAAGAATTAAATGCTCGCTTAGATTTTCATTAAAATTTTTTTTAAATAATTGAATTCCTTTGGAAAATTTTATCATGTATAAAGATAATTGAAATTTTTTGATGAGAATTTCCATCTTTTCCAAAAAAGAAAATATCTATAATGAGTTGATAAAAAAATACAGGTAATATTGTTTATTTATTAAATATATTTTTTATTTCTAAGTTAAATTATTAAGTAATCGAAAAATAATAAATTAAAATTAAAAATCATAGATTCATTTTAACATTCAAAATGAAAATAATTACAACCTTATTTACAATATAATTATACAACTTTTTCTCGACATAAAATTAAGGAAAAAATTTCAATTTTGAAAATTATAGACATTTTTACGTTATTGTTCAATTTGGAAAAAATTAACTTACCTATTTATACATTGCACAATATTCTCACCATTAATTGTAAAATTATTTCTATCTACAACTTGTCATTTGGACTATTTATATGTGTTTATGTATTATTTTGTGTCTCTAGTTGAAAATTTTAATTATAGAAAATGCACATCTCGATCAAATAAATAATTAATTATTCTCTTTACGCTAAATTGTGAACCAGCTTTTCTGATGCTGAATTTTAGCGGCAGTTTTTTTCCGATTAGTTTTTTAATACCTTTTTTTACGTTAAACCGAAGGATCCCAACTGAAAATAAATAAAGAAAATTTATCAATTAAATTAATTATTTTTAATTAATTATTTGTAATTACTGGTAATTAATTATTTAATAATTAATTAAATTAATTATTCAAAATTTATCAATTAAGAAAAGTATTTTTTTTTTGTTGGTATGAAAAGTCACAAATAGATTTTTTCTACTCACCAACGTTAATTTGTCCTCTTCTTTTTTCAAAATTTTCATCGTCTGTTCCTGATCGAATTTCACTACGGCCGATATGACACGCGCGAGAACAAGTGTCTCACGTCCCATCATATATTCGAATAAAATATTTCTTAGGTATTCAATTTCCGTCGAATCCTCGAGGGCTTCGTGGCGAATTTTCACCAATTTTCTCAACTCCGATAATTCTCGTCGCTGTGACGCTAAAGTTTGTTGCAAAGTGTGGAACGAGCCGGTGTTCGATTGAACCGCCGCCATCGCTAATCGTGAAGTACTTTCCAATTCCTGTCAAAAAACACAAAAAAATTACCGAAAAATTACTTTTTTACAAAATTAGTGAAGAAACAAACAAAAAAAAGTTTTGAATAAAAAAAGGTTTTTTTTAATAAAAATTAAAGAGTATAAAAATAATGAAAACTGAATAGTGGAAGAAAATAAAATAACAAACAAAAACTCAGTTTTGAATTAAAAAAAGGTTTTTTGAATAAGAATTACGAGTATAAAAATAATTAAAATTGAATAGTGAATGAAAGTAAAATATGTAACAAAAAAAATTAAGTTTTGAATAAAGAAAAAAGTTTTTTTGAATAAAAATTAAGAGTATAAAAATAATGAAAACTGAAAGTGAATGAAAATAAAAATACAAACAAAAACTAAGTTTTGAATAAAAAGAATTAAAAAAATAAAAAGAATAAAAAGAATAAAAATAATAAAAGGAATAAAAAGAATAAAATAAAATAAAAATAACAAAAGGAATAAAAAGAATAAAAATAATAAAAGGAATAAAAATAAAAATGATAATAAACGAACAGTGAATGAAAATAAAAGAAAAACGATCCATTACCTCGGGAGGTGTTTCGGTATTGGAATTGATCTGCGAAAAGAAAATTATAACGAAATGATAATAACTCAAAAATAAAAAACATAAAATAAAAATAAAAATAAAAAAAAATGTAAAATTGAGGGAATAAGAGGAAAATAATTTGACTCACTTTTCGTTCACTTTGCCACTCTCTCATTAATTCATTAACTTCCTCCTCGTGTTTAGCGTCGATTTGTTCTGATTTTTGTTTTAACGCAACCTTCCATTTTTTCTCCTCCTCTTGCTTTTCGACGACATGTTCATTTTTTATTTTCACAATTGTATTCGTCAATTGATCAATTTCCTCCTGTTTTCGTTTTGACATTTCTTTACTCTCGAGAATGAGATTTTCAATTTGCTCCGATTTCAATGTCAATTCAACTTGAAAATCCTTCAGTTGCTCTTTGTATTGATGAATAAGGTCCGATTCGTAGTTTTGCTGGTGATCTGCAAGTAAATAAAAAAAAATAAATTATGATTATTAAAACAGTGAAAAGTGAAAAATCAAATTGTTTTTTGAAAATAATTGAATTCTTATTAAGAATTTTATTAATTTTTAAAAATAATTGAATTCTCATTAAGAATTTTATTAATTTTTAAAAATAATTGAATTTCTGTGAAAAATTTTGTTAATTTTTAGAAATAATTGAAATTCCTAAAAAGAATTTTATTACCATTTAAGAAATAATTGAATTCTTGACAAGATTTTTATTGGAAAATTGTAAATAATTTAATTCCAGTGAAAAATATAATTCCTTTTTCAAAATAATTGAATTCGAAGAATTTTATTATTTTTTCAAAATAATTGAATTTTGTACGAATAATTTATTAAAAGTTTTGAAATAATTGAATTCGTACTTAAGAATTTTATTACCTAATATTTAAAAATAATTCAATTCCTGTGGAAAATTGAATTATTTTTTCATAATAATTGAATTTCTGCGAAAAATTTTATTAAAAGTTTTGAAAATAATTGAATTCTTGCGATGAGTATTATTATTTACAAAAATAATTGAATTATTGCAGAGAATTTTATAAAAAAATTTTAAACAATTCATTTTTTTCAGAAAAAATTTATGAATATTCTATTTTTTATAATTGAACTAGCCAAACTATCCGCGCGCAAGCGCGCGGGAATGTTGTATGGGGCTGCTTATTTTAAACAATTTAAAAAATTTTAAAGAAATAATTACTATAACCTAACAAAGAGATTTAACTAACTAAAATTCAAATAATTTCACTCAATGGTCTCAATTTAAATAGAATTTACATTACTAGACTTAAACTATGGCTAGAACAATTACAATTAGTATCTGGGTCATCTTTTGCATTGCTTATTTTATAAAGCCATTTTAAATTAAATACTTTTTAAAGAAATAATAATTATTACACACTGAAAAAAGATTTACTTGAAATAGCGATAAGTTTCTCTAGAATAACGAAAGTATTAATTGAAGCACTAAATAATTTCGCTACTAAAGTGAAATCTGTAGTTCATCCAGCTAAATATTTTTTGCCGTGCATAACGAAAAAAGAATTAAATTAACATCAGATTTTCTACATTCAAAAAAACGAATTCAAATAGAAATTAATCATTTTACAACTTAACCAAATTCACCTCAGAAATCACTGAATTCGATAATTTAGAAGAAAGTCAGACAAAAGCGCAAAAATAATGAAGCTAGATCCCATAAAAGAGAGGAAAAAATGTTGAATTTTAAGAAAATCGGATTTTTGAATTTTTGAAAATTTTCGATAATTTTAGATTTTTTACCAAAGAGTCGAGACAATTTAATAAGTAAAGTATTTTCCAAAAGCACAAAAATAATGAAGCTAAATCCCATAAAAGAGAAGAAAAAATATTGAATTTTAGGAAAATCGGATTTTTGAATTTTTTCGAATTTTTGATAATTTTAGATTTTTTACTAAAGAGTCGAGACAATTTCATAAGTAAAGTATTTTCCAAAAGCACAAAAATAATGAAGCTAAATCCCATAAAAGAGATGAAAAAATATTGAATTTTAGGAAAATCGGATTTTTGAATTTTTGATAATTTTCGATAATTTTAGATTTCTTACCAAAGAATCGAGACAATTTAATAAGTAAAGTATTTTCTAAAAGCACAAAAATAATGAAGCTAAATCCCATAAAAGAGAAGAAAAAATATTGAATTTTAAGAAAATCGGATTTTTGAATTTTTTCGAATTTTTGATAATTTTAGATTTTTTACCAAAGAGTCGAGACAATTTAATAAGTAAAGTATTTTTCAAAAGCACAAAAATAATAAAGCTAAATTCGATAAAAGAGAAGAAAAAATGTTGAATTTTAAGAAAATCGGATTTTTGAATTTTTTCGAATTTTTGATAATTTTAGATTTTTTACCAAAGAGTCGAGACAATTTAATAAGTAAAGTATTTTTTAAAAGCACAAAAATAATGAAGCTAAATCCCATAAAAGAGAGGAAAAAATGTTGAATTTTTAGAAATTTGGATATTTGAATTTTTGATAATTTTAGATTTTTTACCAAAGAGTCGAGACAATTTAATAAGTAAAGTATTTTCCAAAAGCACAAAAATAATGAAGCTAAATCCCATAAAAGAGATGAAAAAATATTGAATTTTAAGAAAATCGGATTTTTGAATTTTTTCGAATTTTCGATAATTTTAGATTTTTTACCAAAGAGTCGAGACAATTTAATAAGTAAAGTATTTTTTAAAAGCACAAAAATAATGAAGCTAAATCTCATAAAAGAGAGGAAAAAATGTTGAATTTTTAGAAATTCGGATTTTTGAATTTTTGATAATTTTCGATAATTTTAGATTTTTTGCCAAAGATTCGAAACAATTTAATAAGTAAAGTATTTTTCAAAAGCACAAAAATAATGAAGCTAAATCCCATAAAAGAGAAGAAAAAATATTGAATTTTAGGAAAATCGGATTTTTGAATTTTTGATAATTTTCGATAATTTTAGATTTTTTACTAAAGAGTCGAGACAATTTAATAAGTAAAGTATTTTCCAAAATCACAATAATAATAAAGCTAAATCCCATAAAAAAGAGGAAAAAATGTTGAATTTTAAGAAAAACGGATTTTTGAAATTTTTCGAATTTTTGGAACCTAATGTTAGATTTTTTACCAAAGAGTCGAGACAATTTAATAAGTTAAGTATTTTCCACATTAAAAAGTTTGACATTAAAAAATATATACCTATAAAATGCCAATATTTAACCCACAAAATTTAATTTTCAAAACAAACAAATGAATGCAGATAATTTGCTAACGGAAAGGAAACTTACGATTATTATAATGTATTCCTGTGAAGTTTTTTATTATATTAGAAATTAATTGAATATTCGTGTAGAACTTTGTCAAAATTGTTTTAAATAATTGATTTCATTTGGGAAATTTTTTTTAAATAATAAATATACAAATTATTGAATTAAGAAAAATTTTTGAAATTAATTTTATTAAAATTTTTTGAAAATAATTGAATTTTTGTGATGAATAATATTATTTTTGCAAATATATTGAATTTAGGAACGAATTTTATTAAGATAATTGAAATTTTGACAATTTTTTAAAGATTTTTTTTTGAAAATAATTGAATCACTGAAAAGAATTTTAAATTTTATGAAAATTATTAAATTACTGCGAAGAATTTAATGCCTAAATTTTAAAACATTTGATTTTTTCAAAAAAAAAACAAAAATTATAGGTACAAATTCTATTTTAAATAATTGAATTTCTGTCAAATTTTTATAAAATTGTTTTCGAAAATAATTGAATATTTTTGTATCATATTATCAAAATTTTGTTTTAATAATTGAATTTTTTCGGAAAATTTTATTAAAATAGTAGAATACTGAAAATCATTGAATTAAAATAAATTTTTTTGAAAATAACTGAAATTTATTATTTTTAAAAATAATTGAATCCTTGTGATGATTAGGTACTATTATTTTTTAAAATAATTGAATTTTGCTATTCATTTATAAAAATAATTGAAATGTTAATAATTTTTTAAAAAAATTTTAAAATTAATTGAATTGAAATTAATTGAATTAATTTCGAAAATAATTGAATTTATACGAAGAATATTATTCATTTTGAAAATAATTGAATTTATACGAAGAATTTTATTTTTTTTTTAAAATAATTGAATTCTTCTGGTGAATATTGTCATTTATGAAAATAATTGAATTTTGCAATGAATTTTATTAAAATTCCTGAAAATAATTGAATTTCGTCGAATTGAATTTTGCTATTCATTTATAAAAATAATTGTAATGTTAATAATTTTACAAAAAAAATTTTTAAATTAATTGAATTGAAATTAATTGAATTAATTTCGAAAATAATTGAATTTATACGAAGAATATTATTCATTTTGAAAATAATTGAATTTATACGAAGAATTTAATTAATTTTGAAAATAATTGAATTTTTCTGGTGAATATTGTTGTTTATGAAAATAATTGAATTTTACAATGAATTTTATTAAAATTCCTGAAAATAATTGAATTTCGGCGAATTGAATTTTGCAATTATAAAGATAATTAAAAGGTTGACAAGAATTTAAAAAAAAAAATTTTGAAAATAATTTAATTTCTTGGAAAAATTTTGATATTTATTAAGATTGTTGAATTCTTTCAAAAAATTACTTTTCTCTAAAAATAAAAGTAAAACTCACCAAATCGTTTGTCCAAAGCCGCCTGCAACTCCTCGTCCTTATCATGAAGTTGTGCCTGAAATTCCTTCACCAATTGCTTCAATCTCAATCCTTGTTCCTCTTCAGCCACTTTCAATTCCTCCCTGAGCTTTTCAATTTGCCCTTTCAAATCGACATTCAAATTTTGCAGTTGCGACTCCTTTGCTTGGAACGTAATCAACGCCTCGTCCAATTGTGCCTCTAATTTTCGATTATTTTCCTCCAATTTCCCCATTTTTTTCAAAGTCTCTTCATTTCCAATCTCATTCGAATTCAAATTCAAATTCGAATTCGGATTCGGATTTTGATTCAAATTCGACTTCAACCTTTCGATTTCAATCTCCCTCTCATGAATTATAGTCTCCGAGTGTTTTATTCGATTCCTCCATTCTTCGAATTCACTCTCCTTCTCCTCTCTCAGTGTCGCCAAATCCAAACCATTTTTTTCAATTTCCTTCGAAAGACTTTCATTGATTCCTCTTAATTTGCTAATTTCCTCACCAGATTTTTTCAATTCGGTCATTTTTTCCTTGAGGACAATATTCTTCGCTTTTAGTTCCGATTCCTTGTCGTTTAGAAGCGACGTCTTTGCGATTAGCTCCGAATTCTTTTCTTCCGATTGGGATAATTTGGAATTCAGTTCCAAAGTTCTGGCGGATAATTCCGATTCTTTTTCATTTAGTTTCAAGGCGAAGGAATTTAGTTCCGATTCTTTTTCGCCTAATTTCGAGGCGAAGGAATTTAGTTTCGATTCTTTTTTGTTTAGATTCGAGGCGAAGGACTTAAGTTCGGTGCTTTTTTTGTTTATTTCCAGTTCCTTTTGCTGGAGACCGGAAACTTTGGCGTTTAATTCAAAATCGTTTTCCTTCAGGTTCTTTTCTTTGGCTATTAATTCTTTTTCCCTCGCTTCTAATTTCGAACGTTCGGCGTCGAATTTTGAATCTTTTTCCTTAAAATCGGAACTTTTTGCTTCTAATTCGGTTCTGAGTTTCAATAAATCGGAACATCGCTCTTTTAATTCCGAGTCCTTTTTCTCTAGCTCGGAATTCTTTTCTCCTAATTCGGTCACTTTTTCTTTTATGATCGAATCCCTTTTCTTTACTTCCGAACATTTTTCCTCTAATTCCTTCGACTTTTGCTCGAGTTCCGAATTTTTTCCGTCTAATTCCTTCGATTTTTGCTCGAGTTCCGAATTTTTTCCGTCTAATTCCTTCGATTTTTGCTCCAATTGGAAAGTTTTCGCCTTTAATTCTTCGACTTTCGTTTTCAAATCCGAATCTTTAGCTTCAATTTCCGAGTCTTTTTGCTTGAGGACAGAAATATTTTCCTTTAGAATCGAATCTTTTTTTTCCAATTCGGAATTTTTTTTCCCCAGATCGGAAATTTTCGCCTCTAGCTCCGCGCCTTTTTTCTCTAATTCCGTGACTTTTTTCTTCAATTCGGAATCTTTGTTCTTCAATTCCGTCGATTTTTGCTTCAACTCTGACGTTTTTTTCTTTAGTTCCAAATCTTTTTCCTGGAGCTTCGAATCCTTTTGCTTTAGTTCTTCGATATTTTTCTTTAGCTCGTTATCTTTTGCTTTCAATTCTGTTAATTTTTGCTTTAATTCCGAATCTTTTGCTTTTAATTCCGTTTCTTTTTTCCCCAGCTCTTCTGAATTTTTGCCGATAAATTCCGTGAATTTTTCCTTTGACTCCGAATCTTTTTTGCTTAATTCCGTGAGTTTCGCCTTTAGTTCCGAACTATTTTTTTCTAGCTCCGAATCTTTTTGCTTTAGTTCCAAATCTTTTTTCTCTAATTCCGTGACTTTTTCTTTCAAATCCGAATCTTTTTTCTCTAATTCCGTAGCTTTTTGTTTTAATTCCGAATTTTTTTCCCCCAATTCTGTGATTTTTTCCTTCAACTCCAAATCTTTCTTCGCTAATTCGGTGATTTTTTCTTTTAACTCCGAATCTTTTTTCGTTAATTCCGTAATTTTTTGTTTTAATTCCGAATTTTTCTTCGTAAATTGATTCGCATTTTCTTTTAACTCCGAATCTTTTTTCGCTAATTCCGTGACTTTTTCTTTTAATTCCGAATCTTTTTGCTTTAATTCCAAATCTTTTTTCTCTAATTCCGAATTTTTTTTCGTAAATTGATTCGCATTTTCTTTTAACTCCGAATCTTTTTTCTCTAATTCCGTAACTTTTTGCTTTAATTCCGTAACTTTTTGTTTTAATTCCGAATCTTTCTGCTTTAATTCCAAATCTTTTTTCTCTAATTCCGAATTTTTTTTCGTAAATTCATTGAAATTTTCTTTTATCTCCGAAGTTTTCTTCGATAATTCCGTGATTTTTTCTTTTAACTCCGAATCTTTTTTCTCTAGTTCCGTAGCTTTTTGATTTAATTCCGAATCTTTTTTTCCCAATTCCTTGACTTTTTCCTTTAATTCCGAATCCTTTTTCTTCAACTCCGCGACTTTTTCCTTCAATTTCGAATTTTTCTGCTTTATTTCCGAATCTTTTTTTTCTAATTCCACAATTTTTCCTTTTATTTCCGAATCTTTTTTCCCTAATTCGCCAACTTTTTCCTTTAGTTCCGAATCTTTTTTCCCTAATTCCACAATTTTTCCGTTAAGTTCCGAATCTTTCGCCTCTAGTTCGTTGACTTTTTTCTTCAGTTCCGAATCCTTTTTCTCTAATTCGTTGACTAAAATCGAATTTTTTTCCTCCGATTTCTTTAAATTCTCGCTCAATTTTTCCACCGTCGCCTCGAATTTCTCAACTTTTTTCATCAATTCTTCGACATCTTGTCTAAATTTAATTTCGCCTTTCTCGAGTTCGCGAATTTTTCCCCTTAATTTTTCATTAACTTCCGTCAATTTTCCCAGTTCCGAATTTTTATCCAAATTTTCACTCCTCTCGAGTAATAATTCCTTATTATCGACCTCAAGTTCGTTAAACTTCTTCTGCAATTCATCGAATCTTTTTTCTACTTCTTCTTTTATTTTTTCCAATTCCTTCGCTTTTTCTAATTCCTTTTCCAATTTTTCCGTCTGCTTTGCAATTTCCCCAATTTTTGTGTTTAGTTCCCCTTTCTCCCTCTGTTGATTTTTTATCTCCTCCGCTTGGATAGAAATTCTTTCGTTCAACTCCCCCTCAATTTTCTTCAATTCCTGGGTCAATTTAATTAATTCGTTTTGTCTCGTCTTTAGTTCTTTATTCTCACTCACCAGAAGATTATTTTCCTTCTGCAAACTCTCGCCCCGAATTTTCATCTCCTCGATTTCTTGTCCAATTCTCGAAATTGTTTCCAAATATTCTTCGTTCTTCAAATTCGATTCTTCCTTCAATTTTTCCAATTGTGACAATTTTTCCACTTGTTCCGCCTTTTCCGTTTGTGCCAATTTTTCCGATTTTTCCAATTTTTTCACTTGTTCCACTTTTTCAGCAATCGATGAATTTAACGCTTGAATTGTCGTCTCGAGTTCTGAATTTTGATTCGTCAAATTGACCAACTCGGAACTTTTCATTCGCAGTTCGTCAATTATTTTCGATTCTCGCTCTTGATATTCGTCGAGCCTTGTTTGCAATTGATTTGAATTTGCCACCAGCTGTGCGTTAATTTCCTTCAAACTGTCAACTGTTTTTTTTAATTTTTCATTCTGTTTGCCAACTCGAGTGAAATTTGTCTCGAGTTCTTGGGAAATGGTTCTAAAAATATTTTGTCCACTGACAATTTCTTCGTTGACGAATTTTCGCATTTGTGCCGATTCCGTCTTCATGGTGAAAATTGTATTCCGACAAATATCGATTTGTTTGAAAAGATCCTGTTTCTCTTGGTTTAGATTCAAAATTTCGTTCTCGAGTGACGATGACTGTAATTTTAATTTTTCCAAACTTTGATTTTTGTCTTCTAATTCATTTTTCAGCTGAATTAATTGTTCGTTTTTCGATTCGAGTTGAAGGATTTTTTCCCTCAGGTCGACAATTATTTTTTCGTTATTTTGTTCGGATTTCTTTTCAATTTCCTCGAGTCGGGCAATTAATTTTCGATTCCGCTCGACTTCGTGTTGGTATTTTTGACTCATTTTCTCCTCGAGTTCGATGACTTGTTGTTGGATTTCCTTTTGGGATTGTTTTAGAGTTTCGGTATTTTTTTGCTCCTTTGTATCGTCGGTGAAATTTTCCTTCGATTCGGACAATTGGAGTAAATCTTTTGTGAGACGTTTTATTTGCTCTTCTTTGTCTTCTAGTTCGCGATGAATTGTGAGTTTATTTTCCGCTAACGTTATCATTGATTCTTCTTCGCGTTTCTTTAAATTCTTTATCTCCTGATGAAGATTTTTTATTTTCTCCTCCGATTCGACGAATTTTGACTCTAGAGAAGTAATTTTTTCCTGATTGTCATTTTTTAACGACTCGAAATTATGTTCGAGGAGATTTTTGTCTTTTATAAGTTGGGAAATTTTTTCCTTACTTCGTTTCAACATTTCTTTATATTTTTCGTTGAGTTTCTCTAAAGTTTGTAATTTGTCTTTTAGTAAAACATTTTCCGTCGAGATCATTGTTTCCTTCGATTCATCGTTGGATTTTGATTGCGTTTCACTTGCGAAATCGATTAACATTTCCATTTTTTCGGGATTTTTCTCGTTCGTTTCATTTCTTGGTTGACCGTTGTTCGTTTGTAAAAGACTTATCTATTTGGGGGAAATTCAATTATTTTTAAATTAAAAATTAAATTAAAGATCATGGAATTATGGAAATTTTGTTACCTTTGTATTTAACGTGTTGATAATGTGATCCTTTTCCTCGATATCATTCCTGAGAGCGTCCTCCAAATGCGCCTTCGCCTGCTGCTCGAGTTGGCATTGTTCCTTTAAATCGGAAATTCGCCTCAGAGCCTTGTCCTGCGTCTCGACGAGAAGTGCTTCCAATTTGTTTTTCACGCGCTCCATTTCTCGATAATGAGCCGCAAGATCCGTGTATCGACTTCGATACTTGTGATATTTCGTCTGAACTTTACGAAACGCCGAATATAATTGATCCTTTGACACGCGATCCAATTGTGGACTCACCATGTCGTCCAATTCGCTCGCCGATTGATCCATGTCGGACTGCAAAAAAAAGGACGTAAATTAAATTCAAAAGATCAAAAAAAAAAAAAAAAAAAGATTCCGAATTTTGTCGGACTGTAAAATAAAAGACACAAAATTAAATGCAAAAGATTAAAAAAAAATCCCGAATTTTGTCGGACTGTAAAGAAAAGACGAAAATTAAATTCAAAAGATACGAAATTTTATTAAATGATTTAAAAAAAATACCTGTAAATGATACATATTTCCGGGACTTTCGTAAACCGGAAATAGAGACGAGGCATCGCTTGTAACACTACTAATGGACGATCTGCGTGAAACTCCCACAGAAGCTCCGGTCGGTGAGGTTAAATCAACCGTTTGGAAACCATGTCTCGCCGGACTATTTTTTGGTGTCTCTGTACAAAAAAAGAAAAAAAAATAGATAAAATTTTCCAACAATTTAGAATAATTTTCTTAATTTTAAAAGGAAAAACAAATACTAACCTCCATCGAGTTCTTCAGTTAAACTAAAATTATCATTCGATGCCGAAAGATCTTGAATCGAAGTATTTGACAAAGCTGGCGATACAGCCTGGAAAATAATAAACAAAATTTGTAATTTATCATAATTTTTCCAATTCCTTGAGTCATATTTTTCGAAAACTAAAAAATAATAAAAATTGTTAGCTAAATAATCTACTTTATTAATAATCGTTTCCGGTAATCTGCTCGTAGTTTGAAGTTGGTTGCTGTTTGCTTTTTTGTTTCCTAACTTTTCAAAAATAATTTTTCTTTTTAAATGTTTTCAATTTTTAAATAATTACCTAATTGAATTTATGTGAAGAATTATTATTATTTTTTACAAATAATTGAATTCCTTCGAAGAATTTTATTATTTATGAAAATAATTTAATTCTTTCGAAGCAATTTATTATTTATGTAAAATATTGAATTCTTTCGAGAAAATGTAATTGTAATAAAATTCTTTAGTCAATTTATAAATTTAATAAAAATCTTCATAGAAAATTCAATTATTTTTATATAAGTAATAAAATTCTTATCAGGATTTCACATATTTTCAATAGAATTTTAATTATAATTTCTTCGTAAATTTCAATTATTTTTTAAAATTTTGTAAAAATTCTCCGAGAAAATTCAATTGTTTTTAAAAAATAATTTAATTTTTTACGGAAGTTCAATTATTAAAAAAACTTTTAAAAAAATTCAATTCTTTAAATTTTGAATCTCTAATCATTCAAAAATTGAGGTCTATTCTTGAAAATACAAGTTCTACTTTCAAGAGTTTCGAAATATTATTCGTAACAAAAATTAGTAATTCAGTATACAAAACCTGTGCTAATTGTTGCATTCCCGCTTGCAATCTCGCTGGCGATTGTTTCATTTCCTCGGCAAGTTTGTCTTTGAATTTTTTAAACATCTTGATAAGTTTTTTTTAAATTATTCCGAAGAAAAAAAAACAAACCAGAAGAAAATATTTTAGAATTTCACTATTCTTCCCTTTTTTTACTAAAATGAAATATTATACATTTTAAAGACTCGCTTTTCGTTTCTTTATTTCAAGAATAACAAAATGTGAAGAAATACTTGTTCTTTTTTTATTATTTATTATTATAAAAAAACAAAATTTTTTATCAAAACAGAAAATGTTTGACAGATAAACGCGAGAATTTTTTGAGGTTAGGTTGTGGAATCTTTTAAAGGCTTATACACATCAGGTGCATTTAAACTATAAGTTTACAACTTTCTCTTTTTCTTTTAAATAATCTACGGCGAATTAATGACATTGACAATTAATTTTTATGTCTATCAGTGCGAAAAGCGGAAAATAAATTTTCTATTTGACACGTAAGTTAATTCTCCATTTTTTCCGATATTCTGATATAAAACTGTAAATAAGGTTAGGTTAGTAAAAATAAAAAAAACTATTTTTTAATTATTCATTTCTAACTCGATATTAATTTCTCGATCATTTCTGAACTAAACATTTTGCTTTTTCACCAAAATCTTAAAAAATTAATTACTTTTTTAGCTTTTTAAGTATAGAAAATAAGTATTTTTGGGGCTAAATTCAAATTATTAGGGTGCACTCACACTTTTTCAATTGCAATAATACAAAAATTGCAATTTACAAAACTAGTGAATTCGACATAAGTACAATAAGGGTGCATTCACAACATAAAAAAAAATTAATCGTTTTTGTTTATTTATCAATATTTATTCGGTTTGTTTTGGTTATTTTTTCTCAATTTCCTACAGATTTGTCATTGGAACATTTCCTCTTCATGGCAGCTACTTTATCCCAATATTTACCGATGTGCAAAAATTGATCAGCCAGAAAGAATAAACCAAAGATCATGAAATTAATTTGCAGTAGTTTATAAACTTTACCTTTTGAATTTTCCAGAAAATTTGCAATCAGATAGAGTGCGATCATAATAAAGCAACCCAAAATAAGTCCTTGAAACATATTTTTTGTAAAATTTTTTCTTTTGCGTAAATAAAATTAAAATCGTAAAAGTGTTGTTGTTACCCTTATTAAGAATAAGGAGAAAAAAAGGCAAATGTTCATAGTTACCATGTGAGTGAGAGAGACGAATAGATATCGCTGTCTCTGTCTTTTTCATTGCTTTCATTTTTTACTTTTTTTTCTTCATTACTTTTTTACTATTTTAATTTTACTTTTTTTTTACTTTTACTTTTCTCATTTTTCATTAAATTAAAAATCCCTACTCCATTACGATACAAATAAATTGTGTATAAATGCGGACTTCGTCTCGCGCGCGATACATTTATGTATATCACTTGTCCATTGAGGAATGACATGTGGGTACAAATGACGCGTGATATTATTTGTAGTAAATACTATTAAATAGTAAATTTTTATTACTATCAGGTTTATTATTAATAATTAATTATCCTGATGGCTACGTAAATGTTTGTCCCGAACTGTGTAACGCCCTTAAGGCGTAAAGGTGCCATCACAAGGTTGGGTTCATATCTCCCTCCCTTGCTCCCTCCCAAAAATAACGATTTTCTGGACAAAACTGAAATTTCATTGTTTACGTGTTGTGTTTACCTGTTGAAAACGATTTTCTGGACAATTCTCGAAATTTCATTGTTTACGTATTGTTTTTACCTGTTGAAAATTGAAATGTAAAATTGACCATAAATTTATTACCATATTGAAAGATGATATCAAAATAAAAGACGTTTTTCTTTACAAAAATACAAATTTCACATTTTATACTTATTAATTTTCTTCTTACTAAATACAAAATTTCACATTTTTGTTTCTCTTAACGAATTCGCTGAAAAAAGAGTTTAATGAAAAAAATACGGGCTCTAAAGAAAAAAAAAAATTTGCGCCATATATTTTTTTCACACTGACATTTATATAGTTACGCCCCTGATTGTGTCAAAGAAATCATTGCGGGCCCCCGATGGAGGTCGAATGAAATTGAAACAGCTGTTTTACAACTTGTCTTCTTTTCATTCACTAAACGTGATTCCCCCTTAAAAAATTGCGATAAATTTACATTTTTTTAACGAAATACACCTTTTATTTAACACCCCAACAATCGTAAATTTATCCTTCTCGTTAATTTTAGTGTCGAAATTGTCCCTCGAAGGAGAAAAATACATTTTCCCCCCCAATGTAAATTGGGTCAATAAGTCTCTCCTCTCTCGTGTTGATTCGTAGCGCAGTGTTTGTGAATTTTTTTTTCCCCCAAAAAAACGAAAAAATTTCAATTTTTTTGAACTTTGAAAACAAAATGTGTTTTGACGAAGGCTAAGAAAATAGGTTTAGCTGAAAAGTAGCGTTTTTAAAGTAAGATAGGAAATAATTCATAGAAAGAAAATGTGAAAATTTCCCTGCCATATTTTTAAGTTTTCTCATTTTTTATATTAAAAAAAGAAGAGAGAAACAGAATCGAAACAGCTGTGATGTTAATTATTTTTGAGAGGGAAGAGAATTTTATATAAAAATGATTGTTTTTTAATATTAAAGTATATTTGAGTGGCTAAGGATTTTTTTTCGCTAAGAAACAAATTAAGGAAGTAAATTGTTTATACATTATTAAATATAGAAAAAGATTAAAATGGCAGAAAGATTGGGACTTGGAAGTGAGGTTCGTGAACTTAAATTGGGACCAACTTTTACGAATAATAAATCGACTGCATTTCATACGGTCAAATGTGAGTAATTTATTTTTATCATCTAATCAACTGCATGCAATTAATAGACAATTTATTCTAATGATAATTTATTCTATCTTTTTAAAATATGTTTGAAACTGAAATGTTTAAAATAATATCGCACTTGACCCGATTTTTATTCGAAAAGTAATTAAAGAACAGGATTTTCTTTAATTTACTGTTATTTTCCCTTTGTTCTTCAATTTAACAATGTTTTTCTTTTTTCATGTTTTTGAATTACAAGTTTTTAAATTGTAAAATTAACATTTTTACTTTCGGTCAAACATAACCTTACTTTTTTCTTTTTCTCCAGTTTTTTCAATCTTTTTAAAGGAAAAGTCCTTTAAATATAAAATATACGAAATTAATACTGTTTTATTTAAATTTTATTAGTATAATTATTATTATTGTTATTATTATAAAATAATTATTAGTTATTTAATTAAATGAATTTCGAAAAGCATTTTTTTTCAAAGCGAAGGGTATATTTTTTTTTGGAATTGATAATTAGGATAATTATAATTATAATTGACAAGTTACTAATTTTTCTTGTTTCGTTTTTTTGATGATTGTTTTATTTTTAGATGATTTTAAACCAGCGAGCGTTGACGTTTCGAAAATAGCGATGGTCGATGTGGGAACAAATAATACAATGACAGTTACGGTGCCACATTTAGACGGTGCGGGAATTCCTCACACGGTTTTTAAAGGCTCGCAACGACCTCATCACAAGGAATGCGTTTTAATAATTGATCACGTCACCGGCGAGATAACATTAGAAAAATTATCGTCGAATATCCAAGTGAAGAAAACGAGGTAACATTCTTTTTTTTTTTATTTAAATTCACAAGGGGAGAAAATCCATCGTTTTTCAACGATTAACAATAATTTATCATTTATTTAAATTACAGCCTTCGAAATCATCAATTATTTTTAAAAAATATTCCAAATTCAATTATTTTCAATATGTAATATTTTTATCAAATTTCGCAAAACAATTCAATTATTTAACAAAAATTTTGATAAAATTCATCCAAAATTCAATTCTTTTCAAAAAATAAAAAAATTTCCACTGAAATTCAATTCTTTTTAATCATTTTTAATCAAATTTTTCTCAATAATTCAATTATTTTCATAAATAATAAAATGATTTTTATGAATTCAATTATTTTTAAAAGTAATAAATTTTTTCTTGGAAATTCAATTATTTTTAATAAAAATTCTAATAAAGTCGTTCGCAAGAATTCAATTATTTTCATAAATAATAAAATGCTTTTTAAGAATTCAATTATTTAAAAAATTGTTTGTAAAAATCTTAATCTTCGTAAGAATTCAATTCTTTTCATGAATAATAAAAATTTCTCAGGATTTCAATTATTTAAATTAGAATTTCCATAAAATTAGTAAAAGAAATGAAAATGAATTATTTAAGAATTTTTATAAAATTCTTTGCAAGAATTAAATTATTTTTATAAATATTTCAATATTTTTTTGATGAAAATTAGGAAAAAGTCGGGAAAATAAAAAATAGAATGTAATTTTTGGCAGTTTTGCGAAGTTTCTAAAACGAGTTTTTTTTTGTCGTCAAGTTTAATTTTTCGATAGCTACCTTTTTACTAATTTTTTGTTTAGTTTAAAAGCTACTTTTTGCTACTTTTTTAAAATTAATTATCGAGTGTGAAGTCTGCAGAAAAAAATTGATTTATTTTTTCAGAATTGAATCAAAACCTCAGTCACATTTAAATGTTCCGGCAACGAATTCAGGAGCTCGACCCATAACACCAGTTGAAACGAAAAATAATCCCACGGATGGAAGAAATAATAGCAGGACAAAAGTTTCGACTGGAAAGAAAAGAGAACCGATTGTTCAGCTGCATCCAAAAACGCACAGTCCGTTTAGAGCGTCGTCGAATTATCATGGGAAGAGTCCTTCCAACAATCCTGTTATCAGGTGAATTTTCTTTATAATTTTTTTTCAGTTATTAACCATTCGTTACTTAATTATTATTGTTTTCCCTTTTTTTTCTTTTTCTTTAGTTGATTAAAGTGTGAAATAAAAAAAAAATGTTCCCTCTTTTTTTTAGTAATTCGCCGGCTCAACCAACGTCACAATCGACATTGGCGAGTCTTCCAATGATTGGTTTCGATAACGATGACTTCTCGATTCAACCGTTAGCGCCAAAGCCGCCAATTATTCCGTCAAAGCCATCGCAGAATAATCCAATAAAACCACCGCCAGAATTCTCCAGAATTGAAGGCGATCTCAGTGTGTCGTCGTCGAGCAGCTCAAGTTCAGACAGTTCCGACAGTGAATCGGATATCGAAAATATTCTCGTTCCACCTCGTAATGGTATTTTCAAAAAATCCTCAATCAATTATTTCATTTTTATTTACTTTTTAGTAAATTAAGTATTTTAGTGAATTTAGTAAATAAATAAGTAAATTTAGTAAATAAATTAGTAAATTTAGTTAATAAATCAGTAAATTTAGTAAATATTAAATTTACTAACTTTAGTTAGTATTTTAGTAAATAAACTAATACGAGTAGCAAAAAAAAGGTAGAAAGAAATTCTAAATTTTCTCCTTTGTTTCCAGGTCAAGTCAATGGACTCACGTCGCCTTCGATTTTCAAATCGGAAAACATGTTAAACGACGATCTACAACTTTCAGAATCAGAATCTGATAGTGATTAATGGATAACGGCATTCCGAAGTTATATATAAATTCAAAATATATATATATTATATATAAATATACATAAAAAAACAAATACGAAAATAATTCTCATTTGTATGATATTGAAAAATCAATGCTGATTGAATTTTTCATTTATATTTTAAATGCCGCCGATGATTTTTTTTAAGTGCGGGCACAAAGATTTCATTTCTCCCTCTCTTTTCTCTCTTTTCTTAATATTTATATAAGAATTCTTCAATTTCCTAATTTTCTCTTGAAAAACTCTTTTTTTTTGTTTTTGTTTGTTTAATTTTTTTTAGTCTCTACTAATATTAAATAAAAAATATTTTTAAAAATTTAAACCTTTTTATTTTTCTTTCCATTCTGAAAATATATTTCTTTCCCTTTGTTTTGTCATGGTTGCCACACAACCTGGAAAACCTGGAAAACCTGGAAATAGCATGGAAATTGAAAAAGGGTATGGAAAACCTGGAAATAGCATGGAATTTGAACGAATTTCTGGAATTTTTTTGGGTTAATGAAAGATATTAAGAAAAATTCCATTCAACATGTTATTTTTCTTTAAAAATGTTAACATGCAATTTTCCTTTTCCATGTTATCTTCTCTTTAAATTAATTTAATTTTTTTTTAATTATTGACTAAAACTGTGAAAAATGTTGTTAAGATTGTTCTAAAAAAAGGATTTTTTATCTTTATTAGTATTACGATTGTCAAAATTTTTTGTTACTAGTTGCTTTTTGTTCAAGATTTTGAACAAAGTTTAAAGATAAAAATTATTTAATTTAAACATGACTTAAATGTTCTAATTATGACTGATTCTTCTGAAAGTTACATTTTTGATATCTCGATTAATTTTATAGAATCTACTCTCTAGTAATATTATTAACCATTTTCATAGTAAAAATTTATAATTTATAATTTATAAGAGAACTCAATTTTTATGGTTTTTTTTTAAATAGTGCCAAAAAATACAATGTTTTTCTATCATTATGTGCATTTTAAAAAATTTTGAACCTCCGTTTTATATGTGATAAAAATGTTTAAATTTTGTCTTCAGTTTAAGTTAAAATTACTTCACGATGATTAATGATGTTTTTATACATTAAAAATATTATAAAAAAATGTGAATGCACATTAAAATAAAGTTAATGGTCTGATGTTTAATTTTTCTATATAATATTTATAAAAAGAGGAATATTATTGCTTTTATAAATATTTAAATTTTACATATTGGCCCGAGTAAAATTCAAAGAAGAAAGACTTTAATATATTCAAATTAATTTTGCGCAATTTAAATTCTTACTTTTGAGTATAAAATAAAGTAGTTTCAATAGAAAAACCCATATAATTTAAAAAAAAATAAATTGAAAAATCGAATATCAAAAGTATCACTTTCAGAAAAATAAACATAAAAATGCCTGTGATTTTAACTGTTTAAGAGAACATTAATTTATAACTACATAATAATGAATATTGTTAACACTGTTTTGTAAAATACTTGTTTTTTCATCACAAATAATTCCTAAATTTGAACCTGGAATTTTTAATATTTTTAACCTGGAAAACCTGGAAAAAGCCTGGAATTTTGAAATCTAGATTTTGTGGCAACCATGATTTGTATTTTTTTTTTTTTTTTTTTTGGTAAATTCTATACCAAAATAGTATTTGCGACTAATAATAATAAAAGTGACAATATTTGTAATATACAAATAGAATTAAAATTAAAATATTAAAATAATTTAATAGTTAAAATACTATATCATTTTTATGAATAAAATCAGTTTTTTCTTTTTGATAATATTAAAATCTGAGTGCTAAAAGTAATAAAATTATACTACTATACAGGACTCGAACTAGGTTTGTAAATTTAAATTTAATTTGTTTTTAAATACTTTCACTAATTCGAGCCCTGCCATTATATAATAATTTCACTAAACGGGAAAAGTTGAGTATTTTTTTGTTTCGATAAATCTCAAAATCGAAAATAGAAGTTATGTAAAATAATCTCACAATTCACTTTGGTATTCGAGAATTAATTTCGTCAATTCGCCACGATGAGCGAGTTGTAAATTTTGTTGTTTTTTGCAGTTTTCGAAAATATCCTCCCTCCTCGTTCCATTGCAATTTACATTTTTGTAACGAATTTTCAAGCTTGGCTCAACGGCGCGAAACGCATGCAATTCACTGTATGTGACGAACATCTCGAAAATTGAGTCCAATAATGTTTTCGATTTTATCACCATCGCAATGTCCTTGTCCGTTCGAACAATTGGAACTTTTCCCTCAATCAATTTTCGAGCTGGAAACAAAACAAAAAATGAAAATAAAAATTAAAAATTAGAGAAATCGAATTTTCAAAAAAATTTGATTTCAAAAAACAAAAATTGAAATTAAAATTAAAAAATTTGAAAATTGCAAAATTAGAGAAATCAAATTTTTTATTGTTTTTGATAAAGAGAAAAATAAGAATTACTCACTGTTTGTGTAGTCCTTAGCGTAAAAACCAACGGAATTAAAATTAAAATCGTTATAACGTCCTAAATTGCGAATCACATCGAACTCGACATTTTTACTCTCAGTGTAAATAATATCCGGATGAAATTCGACAAACGGAATTGGACTAAAGACCTGCCATTGATTTATCGTATTCATTCGGACCTGAAAAGGAGATAAATTTTCAAACATCGATTTTTTCTGCGCATCAAAACTATTTTCATCATTTCAATTGAATTATTATTTTCTAGAATTTAACTTTTAATTAAATTAAAGGAGATTTTATTAATTTAAATAAATTAAGAAGAATTAAAAACTCTTCTTTAAATCAATTCATTTTAATAATTTTTGAAAAAGTTCTTTTAGAATTTTCAAATCTATTTGAATTCAATTTTACAAAATTTCAATTATTCTAAAATTCTTCAATTAAATATATATTAAAAAATAAAAACTTCAAATAATATTTTAAAAAATTCAATTAAACTTTTTGACAAAAATTAATTCTCAAGAATTGTTAGTCAAAAGTATAGAAAATTCAAATTCAATTATTATCGAAAATTTTAACTGAAATTCATTTTTAAATCAATTTTTATTAGAAAGTTCTACGAGAATTCAATTATTTAAATACAAAAATAAATAATTTACTGAATGTTTCTTAATGATTCTTTAATTCATTTGAAGAATTAATTTAAAATTGTATTAAAAATAATTGAATTCCTAAATAATATTACTATTATTTATGAAATAATTGAATTCTTGAGAACAATTTTATTGAAATTTTTGAAAATAATTGAATCTTTGAGAACAATTTTATTGAAATTTTTTAAAACAATTGAATCTTTGAGAACAATTTTATTGAAATTTTTGAAAATAATTGAATTTCTGGTAACTTTGAAATAATTAAATATAATTTTTAAAAAATCAACTAATTTCAACCGAACTGAAATTAAAATTTTTCAAAAAATTACTTTTACAAAATTGTTAATTAAAAAATATTAAAAAATCAGATTTTTTTAAGATTTTCATTTGAAACCATTTCAAAATTCAATTATTTCTAATAATTCAAGCAATAATTTTTTTAATATTCAATTATTATCTAAAATTTTAACTGAAATTAATTTTTAATATAAAAATTCAATAAAAATTCAATTATTTAATTGCAAAAATAATTTTTTTTCTTTGAATAATTGAATGTTTCTTAAAATTTAATTCTTATAAAGAATTTTTCGACGAATTCAATTAAAATTGTATTAAAAATAATTGAAATTCTGCGATGAGAGTTTTATTATGTATGAAAATAATTGAATATATCAAAAAAGAATTTTATTATTAATGAAAATAATTGAATCCTTGTCTCGAAAATTTCTTAAATGATTGAATTCTTTTGAAAATTTTTAGGTATTAAAATAGTAGATATTTAAAAGCATTATTTACAAATTTTTTATTAATTTCTTCGCAATAATTCAATTATTTTCATGAATAATAAAAAATTTGTAAATAATTGAATTCTTGTGAAAGTTTTATTATTTTTGAAAATAATTGAATTTCAAAGAAGAAATAATTGAAATTTTGGCATTTAAATTTTTTGCAAAAATCTAAGTTCTTTAAAATTTCTTAATTATAAATTTATTGAAAATTGAAATTTTATAAAATATCAAATTAAAACCTTTTGGAGTTCATCTATTTAAAAAAATTGTAAACACAACTCTTTGAAAATTCAATTAATTTTTGAAATATTTAAGTTATTAATTATTCATAAAATAATTCATTAAGTAATGAAAAGTTCTTTCTAAGAATGAAGTTATTTAAAAATAAATTATTGTCAGAAGTAGAAAAAAATTGATGTCGTATTCTTTACTTACACGATTGAGATAATCGGTTCTTATTTCCATTCCCAATTCGATGAAAAGTATCAAACTGTCGGGTGAAAACTTTCTCACTGCCAAATCGGCAATTGCGATTTTCAGCAAAGGTTCCATTTCAATCGAATTAAAAGCGAACGGCAATCGAATCGACAGCCAAGTGACTTTCGCTAAATCCTTCTTGTATTTCTCCGACAATGACAGTGCGTTACGTTTCAATTCGAAGAAAGTGTCGTCTTTGCCCTTCGACGCCGAATTCGGATCGTAAAGCAAAACCTGAAAAGAAACAATTTTTGAAACATTATTTTATTTTTACTTTTTTAATTCCTAACATAACTTTCTATTTTTTGCTTCTAAGGTAAATTTCTTAGGAGCGCGTCACATTTATTTCAACAAACGAAAATAAAATATTAGTGGAATATTAATTAGTAATTGTAATATTAATTAGTAATTATAATATTAATTAGTTATTATTAGCAAAATATTAATGAAAATAAAAAAATCATTCACCATCATCAAGACGACTTTATCCTTTTTCTCCAAACAAATTTCGGCGAAATGCTCCAAAAACTTCATCGTCTCAACAATTCTCGACGAATCAACAATAAGAATCATGTTAATTCTCGAATTTTCTGTAACGTACGGCACTGGCAATATTTCCACTTTTCCCAACGGTTTACAAATTTCGATTCTCTTGATAAAATTCTTCCTCTCCTCCTTCAACGTCTGACTATTGGTCGTAAAATTAATATCCAGAATGTAGTCAATACCACGTGAGGCGTCAAATTTACGATAACCGTTCAGCAAATTTTTGAATATCAATTTTCCCTTCGATTTTTCAATAACATGATTAATTGCCGCGTGGAGAATCTGATTAATTTCACGCTTTAGACTTCCGCTCAATTCACGTTGTGTTTCAATGTCGTTCTTCATGAAGAGATGCGTCTCATTGAAATACGACCAATGCAAAATATCGAAACGACCCATTGCCTTGTTTCCAGGTTGATTTCCAATTGGCCACGTCATGTTTTCTTGATTTTCCGGACCGAAGTCGAAAGTTTCGGTTATTTTGCGACGAAGGTGATTTATCTCCTGATTCACTGATGATAATTCGATCTGAAAATTAGGATTTTTGGAATTCATTTTTTTTTTTTTTTTTTTTTTTTTGAGAGAGAGAGAGGAAATTAATATTTTTGTATTTACAGGCTTCGCACTGAATAATTTGTTTTATTATTATTTTACTGTAAAAAAAATTATCGCAAAAAGGCTACTTTTTGCTATTTCTTTAAATAAAATAATAATAAAATTTGACTGAAAAAAGTATCAAAAAAAGACTGAAAAACACTGAAAAAAGTAATTTACTATTGAAAAATTAAATTTTGCGACTAAAAAACTTAATTTTGACGATTCACAAAATTCATAAAAAGTGATAAAAATTTTATATTTTTATTCTGTATTTTTTGGACATTTTTCCTGATTTTCATCAAAAATTAAGTTTTTTTCCTGGTAGAACCTTCAATTCCAAATTTTAAACTTCAATTATTTTCCAAACTTTTAGATAGAAATTTTAGAAACTTTAGAATTCTTCAAAAAATTCGATTATATTTCAAAAATAATTTTTAAAAGAAAAAAAATGAAATTCTTTAAAACTTAAAATTGTTTTCAATTAAAATTGACCAAATTTTCCATTAATTGGAAATTCTTATTTTCTTTCTTTTTTTCTTATTTTCAATTCCATTTTTAATTGATTTCTTCAAAAATTTCAATTATTTTTAAAAATCTTTGTAAAACTTCTCCGAGAAAATTCAATTATTTTAAAAAATATAATTGAATTTTTCGCTGGTATTCAATTATTTAAAAAACTTTTAATAAAATTAAATTATTTTAAATACAATTTTAATTGAATTCCAGGAAAAATTAAATTATTTTTTAAACATTTTTTATTTCATTCTTCGAAAGAATTCAATAATTTCAATATATAAATAGTAAATTTTTTACAGGAATTCAATTATTTTAAATTCATTTTTAATAAAATTCTTTTCAAAAATTCACTTCTTTTTTTTCTCAATTTTGCTCAAATTCAATTATTTGTAGAAATAATAAGTTTTCTTTGGCTGGAATTCAATTATTTAAAAAAGTTATAAAATTCTATTTAAGAATTCAATTATTTTCAGAAATAATTATATTGTCAATGGAAATTTTACAAAATAATTGAAATTTACAAAGAATTTTATTAAAAACTTTTTTGAAAACAACTCAATTGTTGAAAACAATTTTATTACAATTTTTAGAAAATAATTGAATTCTTTCGAAAAATATTATTAAACATTAAAAACAAAAACTGAATTCTTTCATGAAATTTTATTAAAATTGTATTTAAAGTAATTGAATTATGCAAAGAATTTTATTATTTATAAAAATAATTGAATTGTTTCGAAGGATTTATTGAAATTTTAGAAAATAATTGAATTCTTTTGAAAAGTTTTTCAACGAAATGAGAAAAAAATTGAATTTTTTCGTGAAATTTTATTAAAAATAATTGAATTTTTACAAAGATTTTATTTTCACTATTTATGAAAATAATTAAATTGATGAAATTTTAGAAAATAATTGAATTTTTTTTTTGTGAAATTTCATTAAAATTTTATTGAAAATAATTGAAATCATGTCAAGAATTTTACAATATATAAAAATAATTGAATTGTTTAGAAGAATTTCATCAAAATTGTTGGAAATAATTGAATTTGTATTAAAACTCTTAAAAATAATTGAATTAAAATAATATTTTTAAAAATAATTCTATTCTTTCGAGAAATTTTATTCAAATTGTATTGAAAATCATTGAGTTCCTCCGAAATATTTTATTATTTATGAAAATAATTTTGAATTCTTTCCCTGGAAAAAATTTTATAATTTGTAAAAATAATTGAACTCTTTCTTTCATTTTATAAAAATTTAGGAGTATAATTCAAATACTTCGAATAACTTAATTAAAACTGGATTAAAAATAATTGATTTTTTGCGATGATTTTTATTATTTATGAAAATAATAATTTAACTACCAATTATAATAAAATTTCGTCAAAAATTTTAGAATTTAATTAATTTCTTTGAAAGAATTTTATTAAAATATTTAAATAATTGATTCCATTCGAAAAAATGTCTGAAAACTGTATTTTACACAATTGAATTACTTTGAAATTTTTATTATATCCATGATATTATTCGAATTTCGTTTTTGAAAATAAGTAAATTAGTTTTAAAAATGTTAGTGCAAATTTTCGAAAATAATTAAAAGATTTCAAAGAATTGATTTTAAATTGTATATTGAAAATAATTGAATTCCTCTGTAGAATTTTATTATTTATAAAAATAATTGAAAACAATTGAATTTCTACGAAGAATTTATCAAAATTCTATTAAAAATAATTGAATTCTTGCTATGAATTTTTATTATATTTACGAAAATAATTTAATTCCTATAAACAAATTTCCAGAAAATAATTAATTTCTTTTTAAAGAATTTTATTGAAATTTTCAAGAATAATTTCTTTATTCCAACTATTAGCGAATTTAAACTCGTAAAAATTGTCAAAAATAAGAAAAAGTAGATTTTTGTGTCACAAATTTTTAAAAAAGTATCTAAATAGTAGCTAATTGGAAAAAAGTGGTAAATACTATTTTAAATTTTAGTAAATTTTAGTATTTACCGATGTGAAGTAGGCGTTGATTTTATAAACGTCTTTTGGCTCTGAAAGGGGAAAAATTGATATTGTCTCCCCGAAGTGTTTCTCCTTTGTCAACTGGCGAAAATCCGTTTGAAAATTAAAATTCTCCGGCAAATTTGTCGTGTGAAAATTCACACCCTGAGCGGAATTTGCACAAGGCACGGGAATTGCGCGCAAAATACAACGACCGAAGTTAACATCATCGGAGTCGGAAAATGTGTTTTTTACACACCAATCCAAATTTGATTTCACCTCTTTGACTATTGAGTTACTCAATAAAATCCCAGCATCTGTGAAAACAAAATCAGAAATTAAGCCAAGTAATAATAATAATAAGAAGAAAAATAAAATAAAAAAGAAAATTAAGAAAAAGAGGTAAAAAAAACAGAAAATGAAAAAGAAGAAAATGAAAAAGAGGAAAAATAAAAAGAAAATAAAGAAAGAGGAAAAAAACAGAAAATGAAAAAGAAGAAAATGAAGAAGAGGAAAAATAAAAAGAAAATAAAAAAAAAGAAGAAATAATTTCCTCACCTAGAGAACAATAATTTTCCACCTCGCTCCCGATTCCCAAATGAATATCCTGACTGACACTCAATTTCCCAACGAAATCGCGCAATTTTCTCGCATTCACAAAACCAGTGTCTTTAATAAGAAAAAAGTAATCATAATCCTCGAGATAATTATCAGTAATATACTTCATAACGTGAAATGGTTTCAACAAATTTCTTGTGTCGGTGAAACCGACAATACCCGGTAAAGTGACATTCGGTTTTGTTCCCTCGGGTATTGATATGAAAAAGCGCATTTTATCGACAAGATGAGAAATTGTTTTATTGAGAGCAACACCTCGACTGTAGAGATGTTCACGTGTTGCGATAATGCCGACGAATAATTTTTCCCTTATTCCCAATTCCGTGGAATAATAACGTGGACGTATAAAGGACTTTGGCGTTTTTTGCGCCTTCTGCGGCTTGTCGTTGACATTAATTTTCGGCTCGTAATCGTCCTGGAAGTCCTGCCTCGCTGGGAATGGCAGTGTTTCCCCCAAATCGTCACAATCGTTTATTTCCATCGGTGCAAAGAGTAAACTCATTGAGAGACCGAGGCAAATGCCGACGATTAAATACATGTTACTTCGACAGTGGGTGAGCAAAATATTGTAGGCGGACATTTTCGATTTTTCTTTCCTTTCTTTTTTTACTATTTATAAATTCTTTGTTTTTGTATTTTTCAATTTGTTTACTATTTATAAATTTCTCTTTTTTACTATTTTCCAATTTCTTGTTTACTATTTGTAAATTTCTTCTTTTTTACTTCTTTCCAATTTCTTGTTTACTATTTGTAAATTTTTCCTTTTTTACTATTTTCCAATTTCTTGTTTACTATTTGTAAATTTCTTCTTTTTTACTTCTTTCCAATTTCTTGTTTACTATTTGTAAATTTCTCCTTTTTTACTATTTTTCAATTTCTTCTTGTTTACTATTTATAAATTTCTCCTCTTTTTCTACTTTTCAATTTCTTGTTTACTATTTGTAAATTTCTCCTTTTTTACTATTTTTCTATTTCCTTTTTTTTTACTGTTTATAAATTTTTGTTCCTCTTTTATAATTTTTCTCTATTCTTTATTTTGCAATTGATCTATTTATTTTCTTTAATATTCAGGCCTTTCTTGAATTTTTGAAAATAAATTTTTGTCTTCATTTGGAAAAAAGTGGAAAATATTTTCCCTCAGAGATATCCAAGTTTCGTTTTTACAAAGTAAGGCCTTTTCAAAAATCAATTTTTTATAACACTGAAAATTAAACGATTAAAATTAATTTATTGAAAATCACTGAATTCTTGCAAAGAATTTTATTTTATTTTATCAACAACATTTTAGAATCATTGAATTCCTTTCCCGAAGAAATTTTTATTATTTATATGAAAATAATTGAAATCTAGCAAAGAATTAAAAAAAAAAATTTTTTTAGTCATAATAATTGAATTAAACAAAGAATTTTCTTCAATTATTTTTTAAAAGTAATTGAATTCCTGAATTGAAAAATTCAATTCTTTTTTGAAAATCATTCAATTCTTATGAAGAATTTTTGGAAAAGTTTTTAAATAAATAAATAAATAATTTTAGAAACTAATAGAATTTCCAAAAATTTTATTAAAAATTAAAAAAAATTGAATTGTTTCGTAGGATTTATTACAATGTTAGAAAATTGAATTTTTTCCAAAAATATTGTTAAAAAAAATTTAATTCTTTCATTAAATTTGATTAAAAATGTATTAAAAATAATTGAATTGATTTCAAGAATTTGTTAAATTTTTAGAAAATAATTGAATTCTTGAGAAAAATATTATTAAAAATGAAAAAATAACTGATTTTTTTCATAAAATTTTATTAAAATTGTATAATAAAAATAATTGCATTCTTGCAAAAAATTTTACTATATTTAAAAAAATAATTTAATTGTTTCCAAGAATGTATTTAATTTTTGGAAAATAATTCAATTCTTTCGTAAAATTTAAAGAAAATTGGATTTTTTCATGAAATTTTATTAAAATTGTAATAATTGAAATACAGTAGAACCTCGATTATCCGAGGTAATGTGGGGAAGAGGTACCTCGGATAATCGAAAACTCGGATAACACGGAACCAATGAAAATTTCAAAATTTTAAATTATTTTTCATGTGTTTAAAGTGTTAGAATAATATTAAATGAGAAAAATGGACGAAATTTTAAATGCAATGATCACAAATAGTGGTTTTGTAAAATTTATTTTCCAAATTTAGTCGCTCGATCCGTTTTATCCGAGTTATTCCGCATTATCCGAGCATGTTTAGTGCCTCGGATAATCCGGAATCTCGGATAATCGAGGCTCGGATAACCGAGGTTCTACTGTAATTGAATTTTGCAAAGAATTTTTTCATTTATAAAAATAATTGAATTGTTTCGAAGGATCTATTAAAATTTTAAAAAATAATTGAATTCTTTTGAAAAATTTTATAACGAATTAAGAAAAAAATTGAATTTTGTGAAATTTTATTAAAAATAATTGAATTTTTTCAAAGTTTTTACTATTTAAGAAAATAATTTAATTTTTCATGAAATTTCATTAAAATTTGTTGAAAATAATTGAATTTTGCTAAGAATTTGATTATTTATAATAATAATTGAATTTTTTTTTAAGGATTTATTTAAATTTTAGAAAATAATTGAATTCTTTTGAAAAATTTTATAACGAATTAAAAAAAAATTGAATTCTTTCGTGTAATTTTATTAAAAATAATTGAATTTCTATAAAGCTTTTACTATTTAAGAAAATAATTGAATTGCTAAGATTTTTGAAAATAATTGAATTTTTGCAAAAAATTTTGCAATTTACAAAAATAATTGAATTGTTTCGAATTATTGAAATTTTATAAAAATAATTGAATTTTTTGTAAAATTTTATAACGAATTAAGGAAAAAAAAATTGAATTCTTTCGTGAAATTTTATTAAAAATATTTGAATTTTTCAAAAGATTTTTCTATTTAAGAAAATAATTGAATTGCTAAAATTTTATGAAAATAATTTAATTTTTTTGTGAAATTAAAAAAAAAATTTTGTTAAAAATAATTGAATTTTTGCAAAAAATTTTACTATTTATCAAAAATAATTGAATTTTTCCGAAGAATATTATTATTTATGAAAATAATTGAATATTAAAATTTTTGAAAATATAAACAATAATAATTAATTATGAACTTAATAAGTAAATTTTTTTATATTTTGATTCTGAAATTATTCAAAAACTGATATTTGAAAATAAAAATTTTTTGTAATTTGCGTAATAATAATAAATAATAATAAAAAGTAAATAAATAAGAATCCTAACCTTTTTTTTTACATCTATTATTATTATTTATCTCGTTAATTATAATTTCACTTCTTTATTTATCATTCTATCGTTTTAATAAATTAGTCTGTTTTGATAGAAAGAGAATTTATAGCCAACACTTATCGTTTTATAAGTCAGTTTTTTTTCTATCCTTTTATTTTATTTATTCCTCTTGGTTTATTATCGATTCTTTTATTTATTCCTTCTCTCGTCACAGAATTTATAAAAATATTTTCAGTCTTCGTTCTACATCTGAAAAAATCGAAAAAGTTCGAAAAGTACGTAAAAAACATAACCTCTAAATTATCTACATTTATAATGTTCATGTTTCTATAATCTTTATAATAAAAAGGATTTAAAAGAATTATTTCCAAAAATGCAGCAAATTTTTTATTTTACCGAAATGTTTATTGCATCTGAACTAAAATAATCTTTTTGCAGTTTTTTTAATTTCGAAAAAGGTGAAGAGAAAAAATCTTTTTTATTAAAATAATACTTACGTTTGTATAACAATTGTTTTTAATTAATAATAATTCATTGTTCGGTCTATTCTTGTTTTCATTTTCTACTTAACTATTCAACAGTCTTATATTTTATTTTTAACAATTAATTCTTGATCTTGTCAGTGGAAAGAAAAAATAAATAAACAAAAAAAGGGAATCGTCAGCAAGTCACGTGATTTAAAGGGACGCGCGCGAATTTTGAATTTTTGTCGCGATAAAGAAGATACAACAATAAAAAATTGTTCGTACAAAAAAAAATAAAGTGATAAATTTAATTATTTTGTGTAAATATTAATATTAATTATTTAATATTTAATTTTTATTTATAATAAATTGTAAAATTACAATAATTTTATATTAATAATTCCAAAATAAAAAAGTTTTCTCGTCGCCCTCTGGTGGTAATTTTTCAAAACTCCCGCGCAGCGCCATCTGTCCAATTTCAAAAATACTTTCCAAAATCGCCAAGAGAGAAATGTTTTTCGAAATGTTTGTCAATATCCCCGATTGTTTATCCGCCATTTTGTTTCACTGCCGTACGCGCAGTTTTCAGGTGATGGAAACACTTTGGCCTATTTTTGCCATGGATTTATAATACTATAATTATTCCCCACTTAAAATCCCACTAAGTAAATTTGAAATTTTCGCGAACAATTAATTTGCAATTAATAAAAAAAACAAAGTTTTATTATTATTGTTACGTGAAAAATTGTGTGTATATTGTGTGTGGCTTAAACGTCGTTATAAAAAAAAAAAAAAAATGCGGCTTCTTCATAATGACAATCCGTGACAAGTGCTACGAACTCTGACCCAACTTTCTTGACTTGGGGGGGTTCTTTTTTTTTATTTATTTTTTTTCCATGTTTTTTTAAATAAATTTTTTTTTTTCATTGTCTATCAAATGGCGAAATTTAAGTGAAAAAAAACAAGGAAGGAATCAAGAGTGAAAAGGAGGATAAAATATCAGAAGGAAGGAAAGGAAAATTGAATAATTCTCAAGTGTGTCTAGCACAGCACGTAAGTAGGAAAAATATTTTTATATAGGGCAAAAGAAGTGAGGAATTGTGTAGTAAGTTTGGAGAAATATTTTGGGTTTTGTTTTGTTTCGAGAAATAGTTTTTTCTTTTCCCCACTCGAGATTATTATGATGTCAATATGGATGTTTTGCGTTTCATATACTGAAAATTTCGTATCACTTTTTTTTTGATATTTTACACTATGTATATCTACATAATAAATTTTCTCTATTTTTAAATAAATAAATTTTGAATATCGCTCAGAATAATTGAGTTTGTTAATAAAATTTCGCAAAAATGGAAAATTCTTTTCGATTTATTGAAAACAAATTCGTGCTTCATTTACTCCTCGCGTGTTATACTTTTTTTCGTTTCGGTTTTTAAAAGGCTAGCGTTTTTAAAAACTTTCATATGGAGAATTTCTTTTTAGTGAATTTTCGATTTGACGTATTTTTACATTCTTATTTTCGATTAAATTATTAAAACTTTGGGAAATTTCGTTTGATTGACAGTTGAAAGGAGGGCAACAAAATGAAATTACTGTCAATAATTGTTTGTTTATAGTAACAATAGCGCAAAAAGAGGAAAAATTTGTTGTTAATTAAGTTAGAAAAGTAAAAATTTAAGGGAAATTTTGATGGATTGTAAATTAAATGCAATTAATGGATTTATTTTTTTACAGGATGTCAGGACAGAGCGGAGGACATCGTTTACTCTTATCGAAGCTGAATGATCAATTAAAATGTACACTTTGCTCTGGTTACCTTATCGATGCGACTACAATAATCGAATGTTTACATTCATGTAAGTTTTTTCTTATTTTTACATTTTATTTTTTTATTTTTTACGTTTTACTTTTTATATAATATGATAATAATAATAATAATCGAATGTTTACTTTCATGTAAGTTTTTTGTTAGATTTTTACTATTTAGTGTTTATTTTTTACTGTTTACTTTTTATTTTTTATCTTTTTATTTTTCATTTTAGAAAATAAACGTTTTTATTTAGAAATACAAATATATTTAAATAAATAAAATTTAAATATAATATAAATTAAAATATATGTCAAATTATCAAATAAAGGAAAATAATTAAAATGTAAAATTATGAAATAGAGGAAAATAATTAAAATATCGAATTATCAAATAAAGTAAAATAATGAAAATGTAAAATTATCAAATAGAGATTAATCTAATTAAAATGTTGGTTATTCTTTCAGTTTGTCGAAGTTGCATCGTCAAATATCTGGAGGTCAATAAATATTGTCCAATTTGTGAAGTTCTCGTTCACAAAAGTAAACCGCTACTAAATATTAGACCCGATCACACGTTACAGGATATTGTTTATAAATTAGTTCCCGGATGTTATCAAAGTAAGTGAAAAATTTTGTATTTTTAAGACTATAGAATAAATTTAATTAAATATTTGTGGCAATTTCCTTCTTTTTAGAATTTGCATTAAATTTAATTTTTTTGTTTGTTTTTAGATGAAATGCGATGTCGAAGGGAATTTTACGCGAAACATCCGGACGATAAAAATGTACAATTGTCACCTGAGTCACGTGGCGAACCAATTGAGTCGCATATTTATTCGCCCGACGAGTCATTGAGTTTATCGCTCGAGTATTATAGTCCAAATGTTAATAGTAGTGACGACACGGAGGACGAGAAGGAATTGGTGACGAAAATTTTGCCAAGGCGATATCTTCGTTGTCCTGCAGCCGTCACTGTTTTTCATTTACAAAAATTAATAAGAGCAAAATATGGACTCACTGATGCGCATCGTGTCGATATTATGTACAAAGAGGAAACATTGAGTGGCAATTACACTCTCATGGACGTTATGTATATTTATCACTGGCGGAGAGTAAGTTTTTTCTTCTTGTCCTCTTTTCTCTTCTATTTTTCTTTTCAGGGCTTGAACTATTTTCCGTAAATCTCGTAAAATTCCATAAAAGTTAGTTTTTTTTTTTTAAAAAAAGGTCCGTAAAAGTCCGTAAATTTGTTTAAAGTCCGTAAAAGTCAGTTTTTTTTTAAATAAAAAGGTCCGTAATTTGATTGAAAAAGCAAGAAAAGTTCGTACATTTTCAATTATTTTCATGAATAATATAAAATTTTTGACAGGGTTTCAATTATTTTTGTAAATAATATAATTCTTTTTAGGAATTCAATTATTTTTTTAAATAAAAAAATTTTCACAGGAATTTAATTATTTTCAAACGCAATTTTCATAAAATTTTGCGAAAAAAATCAATTATAAAATAATTTTTATAAAATTCTTCGTTAGAATTCAATTATTTAAAGACAAAATTGATAAAGTTCTTCGTAAGAATTCAATTATTTTGAAAATTTTAATAAAAATTCGTTGCAAGAATTCGAAATTATTTTTAAAAATTTTGATAAAATTCTTCAAATGAATTCAATTATTCAAAAAAATTTTGATAAAATTCTCAGGCAAAAATTTCAAATATTTAAGAAAATTTTCCTCAATTCTATGATTTTCAATATCTACTATTTTAATAAAATTTTCCAAAAGAATTCAATTATTTACCAAAATTTTAATGAAATTCTGCGCAAACATTTAATTATATTCATAAAATAATAAAAATTTGACAAGGAATTCAATTTATTTTACAAAGATTCAATTATTTTCAGAAATAATAAAATTCTTTTTAGGAATTCAATTATTTTCATAAATAATAAAACTTATTGCAGAATTTCAATTATTTTTAATACAATTTTAATCGAATTCTTTCAAAAATGTAATTATTCTTAAAAAATTTATTACAATTTGTCAAGAGAATTGAATTATTTAAAAATTTGTTGATAAATTTTTTTATGAGAATTGAATTTAATAAAATTTCCCAAAAGAATTCAATTATTTAAGAACAATTTTGACAAAATTCTACACGAATATTCAATTATATTTTCTAAAATAATGAAAATTTCACAGGAATTCAATTATTAAAAATAGAACTTGCATTAATTTTTTTGAAAAAAATCAATTGTTTGGAAATTTTTTATAAAATTTTTCGCAATAATTCAATTATTTTCGTAAATCTTAAAATTCATCGCAAGAATTCAATTATTTTCAAAACTTTTAATAAAATTCTTTGCAGAAATTCAATTATTTGCAAAAAATAATAAAATTATTCACAGAAATTCAATTATTTTCAGAAAATAGGAAAATTCTTATCAGGAAAACCAATTATTTCTAAAAATTAATAAAATTTTTAGTAAGATTTCAATTATTTTCAAAAATTATTAATATATTTATCTCGAATTCAATTATTAAAAACACTTTAAAAAATTCTTCGCAAGAATTGAATTATTTACCAAAAATTAATTGAATTTTTTCTAGGAATTGAATTTTTTTTTGCAAATAATAATTGAATTCTTCACAGGAATTGAATAATTAACAAATAGTAATAATTTTCATAGTAAGAATTAAATTACTTTCAAAACTTTTACTAAAATTCTTCGCAAAAAAATCAATTATTTTCAAAACTTTTCACAAAATTTTTCGCTAAAATTCAATTTAAAAAAAAAAAATAATAAAATTTTTCGCAGAAATTCAATTATTTTTAAAAATTAATAAAATTTTTCTCATGAATTCATTTATTTTCAATTAATTATTTAAAAATTTGTTGATAAAATTCTTTATGAGAATTCAATTATTCAATAAGTAATTAATTTCTTTATTTAAATTTTAAATAATTGAATTCTAGTTGAATTTTCTAATAAAAATTGATTTAAAATTGAATTTCAGTTAAAATTTTTGTAGATAATAATTGAATATTAAAAGCATTGAATCATGAATTTTCAGAAAGAATTGAATTCTAAAAATGTTTTAAATTAAAATCTTTGAAAATTTAAATTTTAACTAACAAATTCTGTGAAATTAATTTTTTGCAGAAATTCAATTATTTTTATAAATTATTTAGAAATTGTAGACAAAATTGATTATAAAACATGAAGACATCGATTGCTCCGAGTCTTTTTTTTAGTTTTGGTCCGTAAAGTAAAGTCCGTAAAAATACGGATTTTTAAATACTTTCCCTAGCTTCGAACCTTGTTTTTTCTAATTTTCCTTTTTTTCTTTCTAATTTCACCTTTTTTCTTCTTTTTGATTCAATTTTTTCTTTTTTGCAGAAAGTGCCGCTTCATCTGAGTTATCGGATATTCGAATCGTCGCCAAAACGAATAAAACTCGCCGAAGATAATGAAGAATTCAAACAATCTCTGACGAACACCGGCATTAATTCCGTGGAACCTCGAGACGAGACAACAAAACGCGGCTGGAAGGAAGTACAATTAAAAATCTCCGAAACTGGCGTTATGAGCGTCACGGACATAACGAGTCCCGATTCGAAGAAAAGTACTCCGGCCAAGGACGAAAGTCCATTTATTCCCACCACTGTCGAGTCGAAAACAATAACTCGATCAAATGTAAATAAAACAGACGAGGAGTCAATTCCCCGAACGAGTAAAGCGAAAAATCTCCTCTCAGAATTCGACAAGAAAATCGAGACCAAACGGAAGGAGAATGATACGAAAACGCCTGTGGAGGAGAAGAAGCGAGAGAAGAGGGAACTGCCCTCAAGGGAGACGAAAAATCGGGAAAATGAGAAGAAGGAGAATAAGAGGGACTTGAAAAGGGAGAAGGAGTTGAAAAAGAAGGAGGAAGTCGAGGCGAAATCGGAGCTGAAGAAAGAGACACAGGAGAAGAAGAAAAATAATTCTCAACAAGCGGGATCGAAGATCGATGCTTTGAGCGCGAAGTTACAATTTCAGCCGAAAGTCGGTCAGGTGAATAATACTTATTCGAAGAAAGTTGGGAAAAAACCGCCGACTAGGGCCGAAGTGAAACGAGAGGAAAAAGGAAAGAAGGAAGCGGAAGCGGAAGTTGAAGCGAAAGTGGAAATTTCCCCCGGACAATCGGAAGCGAAAAAAGAGCCCGAGGAGAAAATCGGGTCGAAAAGCGAAGGAAAAAAGGAAAACAAGGGAAAAGAAAACCCGAAATGTCTTCTTTCAACTGCGAGTTTTTCGGAGAAAATCGAGAAGAAATTAAAGAGCGACAGCAACGAAAGTCCGAAGGGGGAAAAATCGAACTCGGGAAACGTGGCGACGACAGAAGTCGCGACTTTGGAAAATCGAGAAAAGGAGAAAAATACAGAAAAGGAGAAAAATACGGAAAAGGAGAAAAATACGGAAAAGGAGAAAAGTACAGAAAAGGGGAAAAATACAGAAAAGGAGAAAAGTACAGAAAAGGAGAAAAGTACAGAAAAGGAGAAAAGTACAGAAAAAGGGAAAAATACAGAAAAGGAGAGAAATGCAGAAAAGGAGAGAAATGCAGAAAAGGAGAAAAATGCAGAAAAGGGAAAAAATACAGAAAAGGAGAAAAGTACAGAAAAAGGGAAAAATACAGAAACTTCGATGACTTTAGAACAAGCGATCACCTCCCTGGGGAAACACGATCCAAAAAATCTCCTGAGTCAATTAAATTTCCGAAACAACAATCTCTCGCCCTCGAGTGAAATTTTATCAACCAACGTCTCGACATTAATGAGCCAGAACTTCAACTTCATTATCCCCGAGCTCGGACTTTTAAATTCCAAGTCTCAGGTTGGAAATTCGCAATTATCGCAATTATCGCAAAATTCGTCAAATTCTGTAAAATTTCCCACAACAACAACGACACTGGGAACAACGACACTGACAACGTCGACAAATGCAAAAACAATGGCAACAACAAAAATGACAACTTTCAATGTACAACCATCGATGAGTATCTATTCAATATCCGATAATAAAAATCCCTTCCCTCAATCGTCATCATCGTCGTCGACCTCGACCTCGACCTCGGACTTTGAAATAACGAGCATACCAATGTCATTGATGAAATCGACGAGAAAACACGAGGTGATTGCAAAGGGGACGAATTTAAATGAGATTTGCGCGAAAATTGGCACTTCGGGCTCGAAGATAAATGATATTTGTGCGAAAATCGGGGAGAATTCAAAGGAGAAGAACAAGACTGATACGCAACGGAATTTACCGGATTTATTGAAAATCACGAAGACGACGGAATTCTTGAAGCACATACCGAATATACCGAATGTTCCGATTTATACGCCGAATAATAAGGGGGATAAGGTGATAAGTGGGCAGAAATTGCAGCAACAGCAGCAGCAACAACAACAGCAGCAACATCAGCAGCAGCATCAACAACAGCAGCAGCAGCATCAACAGCAAAAAAAGCAGCATGTTGGGTACAAGACACTAAGGGATCCGCCGAAATCGTGGAATCCGACGTTGTCGAAAAATAACTATGTCGCTGTGAAGAATCAGAGTCAGTTCGATGGGAGCAGTTCGAAGCCGATTTTGTCGAAGCCGGCGAAAATATTTAAAATGAGGAATATACCGAGGTACTTGGGTAATCCGGCGTCGGGGGTTAAACCAATGTATGGAGTTAGTAACGAAAAGGAAAAGGAGGTGAGTTTTTGGTAATTTTTTTGTTTTTTAGGTTCCGTTCCGTTAGCTCAAAGTTCAACTTACGAAAAAGTATGTCAAGCAAATTAGGATATACGACACAATCTGAAACTTTGGAGTTGAGAGAAAAGTTATTATCGTTTCAATTCCGTTATTAGCTAGATAATATTTCTTAAATAATTCTAATGTGATCATTACAATTTTTTAAGTATTTAAGTTCATTGACAATTAATAAACGTCTTTGACATTATTTTTTCCAATTCTTATAAAACAAAAAATATCATTTCAATTCAATTACTATTTTCTACAATTCTTAATCAAACAAAATTCTTCTTTAAATAAATTATTTTTTAATAATTTTTGGAAAAAGTTCTTATGAGAATTTTCAAATTCAATTCTTTCTAAAAATTACAATGCTATTAGAAACTTCTTTAAAATAAAATTATTATCTCATACTTTAACTGAAATTAATTTTTAAATAAATTTTCATTACAAAAAACTACGAGAATTCAATTATTTAAATACAAATTTAAATGTAAAAATGCAAATAAATAATTTATTGAATAATTAAATGTTTCCGAAAATTAAATTCTTATTAAGAATTTTATCAACAAATTTTTAAATAAAAAAAAAAGTTTTGAAAATAATTGAATTTTATTAAAACTTTTAAAAATAATTGAATTTTTCGCGAAGAATTTTATTAGTAAAAGTTTTGAAAATAATTGAATTTTTTGCGAGGAATTTTATTATAAAAGTTTTGAAAATAATTCAATTCTTGTGAAAAATTTAATTTTTTTTTTAAATAATTCAATTCTTGTAAAGAATGCAATTAATTTTGGTAAATAATTTAATTCACTGTGAAAAATTTCTTGAACAGTTTTTAAATAATTACATTCTTGCTAAAAATATTAATATTTTTTTGAAAATAATGGAATTTTCACGAAGAATTTTATTAATTTTTAAAAATAATTGTTTTCCAGATGAGAAGAATTTTATTATTTTCTAAAAATAATTGAATTCCCGTGAATAATTTTATTATTTTTTGAAAATATTTGAATTCTGCAATGAATTTTATTAAAATTCCTGAAAATAATTGAATTTTGTCGAAGAATTTTGCTATTCATTTATAAAAATAATTTAAAATGTTGACAATGTTTATTCGATTTTTTGAAAATAATTGAATTTATACGAAGAATATTATTAATTTTGAAAATAATTGAATTCTTTTGAAAAATTTCATTATTTATGAAAATATTTTCATTCTTGAAATTAGACTTTTTTTCTTTTACAAAAATAATTGAATTCTTGTAAAGAATTTTAAAAATTAATAAAAATAATTGAATTGTTCCAAAGAATTTGATCTAAATTTTTAAAAATAATTGAATTCTTGTAACGAATTTTTTTTAATTAATTGAATTCCTGGAAAAAATTTTATAATTTGTAAAAGTATAATTTATTGAATTCTTTGTTTCATTTTATAAAAATTTAAAAGAATATTTCGAATAACTTAATGAAAATTGGATTAAAAATAATTGAATTTTTGCGATGATTTTTAATATTTATGAAAATAATAATTTAACTATTTGGTAAACAAATTTTGTCAAAATTTTAGTTAATTTTTTCCAAAGAATTTATTTTATTTATTTATTATTTTTAATAATCTAAAAAATTTCAAAGAATTGAATTAAAATTAGCATTGAAAATAATTGAATTCCTGTGAAAAATTGTAATATTTGTAAAAATAATTGAATTCATGCGAAAAATTTTATAAAAATTTTTTAAAATGATTGAATTTCTGCGAAGAATTTTAATAAGTACTTTTGAAAATAATTGAATTTTTCTGGTGAATTTTGTTGTTTATAAAAATAATTGAATTTTGCAAAAAAAAATTTATTAAAATTCCTGAAAATAATTGAATTATTGCGAAGAATTGTGTGAAAAGTTTTGAAAATAATAATTGAATTCTTTGCAAAGAATTTTATTAAGTTTCGAAAATAATATAAAATTTTTTAGAAGAATTTTGTTAAAGTTTTGAAAATAATTGAATTTCTACTATAAATTTTATTAATATTTGAAAATAATTCAATTCCTGTAAAAAATTCAATAATTTTTTTAAAATAATTTAATTCCTGTAAAAAATTCAATTAATTTTGGTAAATAATTTTTAATTCCAGTGAAGAATTTTTTAAAATGTTTTTAAATAATTGGATTCCTGATAAGAATAATAATAATTTTAGAAAATAATTGAATATTTGTGTAGAATTTTATCAGAATTGTTTTTAAATTATTGAATTCTTTTGGTAAATTTTATGAAAATAATGGATATACAAATTATTGAATTAAGAATATTTTTGGAAAATAATTGAAATTTTGCAATGAATTTTATTAAATTTTTTGAAAATAATTGAATTATATTACTTTTCAAAATAATTCAATTCTTCTGATAAATATTGTTATTTATGAAAATAATTGAAATTTTGCCATGATTTTTTATTAAAATTATTGAAAACAATTGAATTCTTGTGATGAAAATTTTTATTTTTGAAAATAATTGAATTTTGCAATGAATTTTATTCAAATTTCTAAAAATAATTGAATTTTGGCGAATTGAATTTTGCTATTAATTTATTAAAGATAATTGAAATGTTGACCACAATTTTTTTTTTTTTAGATTTTTTGAAAATAATTCAATTTATGCGAAGTATTTTAGATTTTTTAAAAATAATTGAATTCCTTTGAAAAATTTGATTATTTATGAAAATAATTGAATTTCGGCGATGAATTTTTCGTAATAATTCAATTATTTTCGTTAATAATAAAACTCATTCCTAGAATTTAATTATTTTCAAAACTTTCAATAAAATTCTTTGTAGAAATTCAATTATTTGCAAAAAATAATAAAATTATTCACAGGAATTCAATTATTTTCAGAAAATATAATAAAGTTCTTCGCAGGAAAACAATTATTTTTGAAAATTAATAAAATTCTTATTAAGAATTCAATTATTTTCAAAAATTATTATTATTCTTATCAGGAATTCAATTATTTAAAAACATTTCAAAAAATTCTTCACAAGAATTGAATATTATTTATCAAAATTAATTGAATTTTTTACGGGAATTAAATTATTTTAAAAAAATTATTGAATTTTCCACAGGAATTGAATTGCCTATTTATAAAAATAATTGAAATATTGACGGGAATTTTTTTTGTGATTTTTGAAAATAATTAAATTTTTTGAAAGAATTTTGATATTTATTAAGATAGTTGAATTCTTTTAAAGATTTGAGTTAAAATTTTCAAAATTGAAATTAATTTCGACCAGAATCGAAGCTAATTTCGACAGAATTGAAATTGTTAATTACGTGTCATACTTTTGTGTAAAGTTGGAAACTGATAAATTAGTGAAATTGTATAGGGAAATAGAATAAGGAATTGAATTAATTTACAAATAGATTTGCAAAAAAAATTTGCTGAAATAGATAAAAATACTGATTTTATTTCTAATTTTCAAATAAAGTTTAATAATTTAATTAATTATGAAATTAATAATTTAATTTCTAATAAAGTTTGAAATTTTGCCCCGTTTAGATGAAGAGCAACCTCAGCGGGAATTCAATGATGATGATGAAGATCGATCCAAAAACCCTCTCGCCAATCGTCTCGACGAGCAACTCGCCAATCGTCTCACCGCCACCCTACTCACCAAACGCTCGCTCCTATCAAAATTCCCTCTTCACTCGCGACATGTGTCGCAACAGTGGCTCACCAATCTCACCACGCAACTCACCTGTAAATATGCTCTCCACAAATCCCTTTATCCCCTCACCAACACCAAATACAAATCCCCGACTAATTTATTCCCACTTTCCGCCCCCATTTCCCGACACCTCCCGCTTCCCCAATCCCCTGATCCGCTCGCCGATCGGAATTCCGCCACCAAGTGCCTTTCACAGCAGCCTCCCGCCCTCGATCAACAAACTCTATCAACGGACGAGTTACATTCCCCAAACGAGTGGCTATCCTGTCGTGAACCAACCTCCACCCCCTCCGCCTCCCGCGGTGCAGAGAATCCCCCCCAGCTCGACGTCGAGTGCGAATTTCCCCATTGGCAAAAGTCACGAGGTCACCGTCTCGTCGAGTTCGGAAATCGCCAAGGAGAAGATCTTCAATTTGACGAAACTCGCCGGCGGGGACGAGGGCGAAAAGTCGAAAATCGCCGAAATTCGCGTCGAACTCGAGGCGAAGGTCAACGGCGACATCATCGACCTCGAGCAGGAGGAGGAGGAGAAGAAAAAGAAAATCCCCCGTTCGCCCTCAACTCTCAAGGGCGCTCTCCAAGTTCTCAAGGACCTCCAGCAAAAAGTCACCAATCAATCGAAAAATTCAAATCAATCGCCACTCGAAGAAACAAATAAACTTCACTCCGAAATTTTAACCAATTTCCAATCACAAAAATCCAACGAAAATCTAAAATCGAAAACAAATCAAGGAAATAATAGTCAATCTTCGTCGTCGTCATCATCATCATCGTCAAAGGAACCGATAATTGTGGTTCAAGACAGTCAACAGTCGAGAGAAACGAAAAATGAAAGTGAAACGGCGAGGAAAAATATTACTGCCGGGGAAAAATTGTCAACGAAAGAGAAATTGAAGGAGTCGAGTGAGAAAAATTCGAAAGAAACAAGAGGAGACGAGAGTCAAGAGGAGACGAGAGAGAATGCGAATCAACAACAGGAAAAAAGTAGAGAAAACGAAAAGGAGAAAATCGAAGAGGAGAAAGAAAGTCAAGGGAAGAAATCTACGGAAATACAGAGAAATGAGGCGGAATCGTAATTGAGATTTTTTTTTGAAATCTCTTTTTCAAGGTTAGACTATCTGTATATATCTATTTTTTATTTTTTTTCCTTTTTGTAAATAGTCACAAAGATTTAACTATTTTTTTTTGTATTATTTAAAAAAAACTCAGACGGTTATTCATTTTTTTGAAAGTAAAGATTTTTTGATTTTAAATTGGTTATTAATATTAATATATAATTGTGTTAATATTATTAATTATTAATTATTATAATATTATTATTATATTGTGACTTGATGCGATTATAATATTCAATATTCTTGTTTATTATTAAATTCAAAAATTTTACTAAAATTTTTCGCCAAAATTTCGTATTTTCAAAATTTTCAATAAAATTCCTTCGAAAAATTCAATTATTTTTGAAAATTCAGATAAAATGCTTCGAAAAATTCAATTATTTTCGAAAATTCAGATAAAATAGTTCGAAAAATTCAATTATTTTCGAAAATTCAGATATTGATATAAATTCAATTATGTTCAATAAATTTTGATGAAATTCTATAAAAAAAAAAATTATTTTCAATTATAAATTCCTTCAAAAAATTCAATTATTTTCAAAAATTCAGATAAAATTCTTTTCGAAACAATTAAATTATTTTTATGAATTGTAAAATCCTACGCAAGAATTCAATTATTTTCGCATAAATATTTTCATAAATAATAAAATTCTTCAAAGAAATTCAATTATTTTCCTAAATAATAAAATGTTTCGGAGGAATTCAATGATTTTCATTACAATTTTAATAAAAAATCTCGAAAGAATTGCAATTATTTTTAAAAATATTATTAAAATTCAATTATTTTCAACAATTCTGATAAAAAATTCTTGGAAACAATTTAATTATTTTCAATAAAATTTTTAATAAGATTCCTTCAAAAAATTCAATTATTTTTAAAAATTTAGATAAAATTCTTTGAAACAATTCAATTATTTGCAAAAAATAATTAAAATATTCATAGGAATTCATTTATTTAAAAACTTTTCAAATAATTCTTCACTGGAATTGAATTATTTACCAAAAATAATTGAATTCTTTCTAGGAATTAAATTATTTTTGCAAAAAATAATTGAATTCCTCACAGGAATTGAATTACTTTTAAATATAAATAAAATTCATAGCAAGAATTAAATTAGTTTTTAAAATATTATTTAAATTCAATTATTTTTAAGAGTTTTAGTAAAAATTCAATTATTTTCAACAAATTCTGATATAAAATTTTTTGGAAACAATTCAATTATTTTTATAAAATGTAAAAGTCTTGGCAAGAATTCAATTATTTTTTGTAAATAATAAAATTCTTCTGAGAAATTCCATGAATTTCAAAATTTTCAGTAAAAATTATTTTTAAAAAACTCCATTATTTCCAAGAGTATTGAAATAAATTCCTCAAAACAATTCAATTATTTTAAATAATTTTAATAAAAATCTTGCAAAGAATTAAATTATTTTCAATACAATTTTAATTACATTTTCTCGAAAGAATTCAATTATTGAAAAAAATGTTGATAAAATTCATGAAATAAATTCAATTATTTTCAAATATTTTTTCATAAATACTTTACAAGAATTCAATGATTTTCAGTAAATCGACAATTTAATTATTTTTAAAAATAATTCAATTCTTGAATAGAATTTTATTAAAACTATTTTAAATAATTAAATCCATGCGAAAAAATTTATTATTTCTACGAAAAACGAAATTTTATCAAAATTTAAAAAAATAATTGAAATTTTCTAAGATATCAATTAAAAATGGAATTGAAACTGAGTGAAATTCTGATAAGAATTTAATTATTTTTATAAAAATAATTAAATTTTTTACGAAAATTTTTATTTATATATTGACTTTTTGCAAAGAATTTTATTACAATTATTGAAAATAATTGGAATTCTTCATAAAATTTATGAATTCTTCATAAAATTTAATTATTTTCGCATTTTTTTAATAAATACTTTACAAGAATTTAATGATTTTCAGTACATTCATTTTAAAATAAAAAATATTTAAGAAGAAAAATTATTTTAAAAGTTAAAAAACAAAAAAGCTAACAGCAACTAACTGTGGATTTTTATTCAAAAAATTATAACATAATTTAAAATTTTTTGCTCCTTAGATTTCTCTTTGAAGCGTGTCACATATATTAATAAAATATTATAATATTAATTATATATTAATTAACAATCAAAATTAATTAGTTAATTAATATTAATATCTTTATTTAAATAATTATTAAAGACTTGAATTTTTCAAAAAAGGGAAAATTTTTTTTTATAAAATTGACGAAAGAAAAAAAAACCTTTTTGACACTATAATCAAGAAAAAAAGAAATTTTATATTAAATTCTTTTTATTTCAAACAATTTTGAAATTATTTTGGAAAAATTTTCGAAAATTGCATCATTTTTTTCTTTGTTTGAATATTTTGAAAATTTGGTTGTATATTTTATTAAAAGATGGAATAATTAATAATTTTCCGAAAAAAAAGACAACTTTTGCTAAAGGCAATATACATTTTGGAAAAATATCTAAAATAATTGAACATAATTTCAATTAATTTTTATAAAATTAGAAAAAAATTACAAATTTTCTTTTGTTTAAATAGTTGATTTGACGAAAGAGAAACAATTAATATTAAAAAAATTGTTTAAATGTTTTTTTTTAATTACGACGAATATTCAAAAAAAAATTTGAATATTAAAATTGTTTAATGTTTTTTCTTAAATCACAAATATTTAAAAATTGTTTATATTATTTAAGAAGAAAACTACGAATATTAAAAGATTCATTTAATTCTTTTAATATTTTGAAAAAATAAAAAAAGAATTGTAAATAAAAAGTTATTTTAATTTCTTTTATTTTTTCTAATTATTTTAATTAAAATTAAAAAAAAATTTTTAAATTAAAAAATGAAATAAAACAAATTTATTTTTTGAAAATTATAAATAATTTGTCTAAACAAAAGTTTCGATAAACACAATTCTCGAAAATTTTACCAAAAATTATATTAATAATAAAAAAAATTAAATAAATTATATTATTTAGAATTTTAGTTCGCAAAAAAATTGATAAATATATTTATAATATATATTTTTTTTGTGCCAATTACGAAAAAAGAAATTGAAAAAAATTTTTTTAAAAAATATTTTCGAGAAATATGCGAAGAATGAAAAATCCCAGTTAAAATGATTTTATCAATAAATTTGTTTCGAATAGTTTTTGATTTCACAAAGTGAAGTTCATGAAGAAAATATTTTTTATAAAAAAGTATTATAATATTTGGGTAAAAAATTTGACTTTTTTTTGCTACTTTTTTTTTGTGTGCGGAATAAGCGAATTTTGTGTATAAATGAGAAAAAAAAATTATATTATTAGTAGGGAAATTTTTTTATTATTTATAAAAAATAATTTTTGTTAATTGTCTTATTAATATACAACAGTTAACTGTTTATTTGTTTATAAAAAAAGGTATAATTAAAAAAAATGAGGTTAACTATTACAATTATTACAATTAATAAAATTAATAAAATTAATACAATTAATAATTATTTTACAGCCGATTTGAGACTCGAATGTTTTTTTTAATCTTTAAAGAATACAGAATTTTTTTTTTTTTGAAAAAGAGAAATGTGTGAAAAATTATTTGATTTTCAATGGTTAATTAATGATATGTAATTAATTAATTAATTAATTAATTAATTAATTAATTGTAGTAGTGTCTTGCAGAATTAGAATATTGCACAATGCCCCTCACACCCCCTGAGAAACAAATAAAATATGCATCAATAGATATCTGCTAATTATTAATGCGTTAGTTATAAAAATATTAAATTAATATAATGTTATTTAAAAAAGAATCGCATTTTTATAATTAATAGTTTGAAAAAAAAAATTCTAGTTCACAGCCTCGAATATTTTCTCAATTTATTTTTTTAGACAAGGGAAATTTTTCTAATTAGTAATTAATAATTTAGTAATTAATAATTAGTAATTAATAATTAATAATTAATATATAATTATAATATTAATTAATTATAAATGTAATTACTTTGTTTTTATTATTTATCTTTAGAAGTAATAAATAAATTCTTATTACTTTTTTTTTGAATTGTACAAAAAAAAAATTGTAAATTTCGGCGAAAGTAAAAATAAATTGATTATCGAATAAAATTAATTGAAAGAAAAAAGAAAAATATCGAAAATATTCGAGACTGACAAAAGTAGTGAAATGCCCGAGGCCTTATCATAATATTCTATTGAGTAATGTGAACACGGAACAATAAAGAGTAATTAAAAGAAAATAAAAAAAAATAATCATAAAAAAAGACACAAAAAAAAAGAAACAAAAATAATGAGAGAAAATTTTAAAAAAAGAAGTTGCAAATCTTTGCGCAAAAGTCTAGTAATTATTATAATAAATTAAGAATTGAAAACAACGCTGTGATCGTAATGCCGTTTTTTTCTCGTCTAATATATTACAAAAAAAAAAAAAAAAAAAAACGGACCGCGATATTTTCTCTCTAGTAGCTTCGAAAATTACAGAAAAAAAACCCATTTTTCCGAAATATTTTCTTATCAATTGGAAGAAGATGATTTTTCAATTTAAAAAAAATGGGAATTTTTTCCGAAAATTAGAAAAAAAGAGAGTTTGAGAAAAATGTTTTTTTTTTCTTTAAAAAAAAACAATGAAAGGAGATTATTTGTAAATAGTGTATCATGTTAAAAACAAGAAAAATTTCTATATATATATATAAAGTGATAATGGAAGAATTATTATTATTAATATAATTATATAAATATATTTATCGCTTTAAGATTGTACCAATAGTATCAAACTTCCAACTTTGACAAAAATGGGAGAAATTTTTCTTTTAAGAGCGAGAAAAAAAGAAAGAGAGAAAGAGAGAAAAAAATACAAATTCGATGAAAAATCGTGTATTTTTAATCAAGTTATATATAAAATAAAAATATATTATTAATTATTATTATTATATTAATATGTATATGGAATAGAAGATGTTTTTCTCTTTCATGCAAAAAAAAATATATATAAATACTAGAATGCACCAGAAAGAATTTGTTCTTTATTTCATTATTGGGAGAAAAAAAAGAAGTAATCCCCTTCTTTTCTCCTGCGAAAAATATTTACAATTTATTTCAATTTATTTATTTTTTTAAAATATTTTTCAGTAGATACTAAATATTTTTTTTTAATTTCTAATTTTTTTTTATTTATTTAAATTTATTTTATTTAATATTAATTAATTAATTTAATATTAATTTGTTTATTCAAATTTTTTTCATTAAAAAAGCCAAGACCTCATTTTTTATGAAAAATGTAATATTCTCCAAAAGTTTTCTAAATTATTAAAAAAAATTAAATATTCGAAAATAAATTTCTACTGATGGTGGAAATTATTTGTAAATAGTAAATACTATTAAATAATAATCAAGTTGACAATTTTTCCATGTGACGCATGGCGTCTTTTAATTTATGCAGCAAATCTTGCAATTGTTGCAGAGTACAAGTGAATTTTAAATATTTTGCCTCTCCGTGCTTTATCGTTTGCAGGCTAATCAAATAAATTGGCGTTCCATTCGTATCGGTTGCATTCGACTGAAAAGAGAATAATTTCAGTTTTTTTATTTTTTATTCTAGTATTTATTATTATTATTATTATTATTATTATTTTTATTTTTATTTTTATTTTTATTTTTATTTTTATTTTTATTTTTATTTTTATTTTTATTATTATTATTATTTTTATTCTTAGTATTTTTTTGTGCTCTGCAAGGATAGTTAATATAATTACAACTGAATTGCTTCAATTGGAAAGTTTATGCAGGGCTCGAACTCGAAATTATTTTCAATATTTCAATTCAATTATTATTTTCTAGAATTTTTATCTAAAATTCTTCTCTAAATCAATTATTTTTAAAATTATTTAAAATATTTAAATTATTTTTTTAAATCAATTATTTTCGAAAAAGTTTCTTTTTCAGAATTTGCAAATCCAATTTGTTTACAATTCAATTTTACCAAAAATTTCGATTATTCGTAAATTCTTCATTTAAATTTAGAAATAACAACTTCAAAAAAATTCAAGAAAAAATTAAAATTAAACCTTTTGAAAAAAATTAATTTTGCAGAATTTGTTAGTTAACAATTTAAAATTTTATACCTTCTCAGAATTCAATTATTTCTAAAAATTCACGCTATAATGCCTTTAATATTCAATTATTATCTAGAAAATTTTAACTGAAATTCATTTTTAAATAAATTTTTATTAAAAAATTCAACGAGACTTCAATTATTTAAATGCAAAAATAAAAAATTAATAACTTATTGAATAAATGAATGTTTCTTTGAATTGAATTCTCATAAAAAAATTTATCAACAAATTTTTAAATAATTAATTAAAAATAATTGTTTTCCTGCGAAAAATTATTATTTTTTAAAAATATTTGAATTCCTGTGAATAATTTTATTATTTATGAGAATAATAAATTCAATTCCTAAAAAGAATTTTATTATTTATGAAAATAATTGAATTACTAAAAAGAATTTTATTATTTTTGAAAATAATTGAATTACTAAAAAGAATTTTATTATTTATGAAAATAATTGAATTATTGCGAAGAAATTTATATAAAAATTTGTGAATAATTAAATTCCTGTGATATTTTTATTATTTATTAAATTTTTTTTAAATAATTGAATTCTATTGGGGAATATTATTAAAATAATAGACATTAAAAATCATTGAATTGAGGAAAATTTTAGAAAATAATTGAAATTTTGCCGAGAATTTTGTCAAAATAAAAAAAAAATAATTGAATTGGTACGAAGAATTTTATAAAAATTTTTTAAAAATAATTGAATTTTTTAGAAGAATTTTTGATAAAATTATATTTAAAATAATTGAATTCCTGTGAAAAATTTACTATTTTTTGATATTATTGAATTCTTTCGAAGAATTTAAAAAAAAATGTTTAAAAATAATTTAATTTTTCCTGAAATTCAATTAAAATTGTATTTAAAATAACTGAAATTCAGCAAAAATTTCATTATTTTCAAAAAATAATGGAATTCTTGAATTGAATTTTATTAAAAAGTTTTTTTAAGTAATTGAACTCCTGTGAAAAATTCAATTATTTTTTAAAAATAATTGTATTTTCTTGGAGAATTTTTAACAAGATTTTTAAAAATAATTGAAATTTTCGAAGAAATCAATTAAAAATAGAATTGAAACTAAGTGAAATTCTGATAAGAATTTAATTATTTATATAAAAATAGAAAGTGAAATTGAACGTGAAAGTGGAATTGAAACTTTGAAAGTGAAATTGAAAAGAGGAATACACGAAGAAAAACAATATGTACACACCTTTATGCAGTAATCCAATTTCCAATTAACATCAACGAGATGTGGAAGTCCACCTCCAATAACTTGTAATTTCCTCTGAAATTGTTCCCTATTTACATCGTAGGCTTCGCAAATTTTATTAATTTGTTGAGCATTTAGTTGTGAATCTTTTAAAGTCGCTGATAATTTCTCTTTATCAAAATGTTGTCTCCCAGCCTCGACGAATAAACTCGTTAATCCCGAGTAGGCACTTTTTACCGCATCCGGTTTCGAACCGTAAATCTGCGACAAACCTATAAACAAATATCTTTTTTTCAATTTTCAATAATTTTATTGAATAAATAAATATTTATCTCTTTATTTTGCATTTGTGAATTGCAATGAGCACCTTTAGGTTCAACATTCCCTCCACATGTGTGCAAATTCGGCTTAACGTTTAAATATTTTGCAGTGGAGACAGACCTTTAGATGTAGCGAGAGTATTGCAAAACTGGCTTTATTTGGCAATGAAAATTATTTTACTGAAAGAAAGAAAACACAAAACACATTCGCGTTTTTTTGCATTAAAAGATCAACAACTTTATTAGAAAACTCATTTATTTTTCAATGCTAAAATATTTCCCGTAAAATAAATTTTCCGTGAATTGAAAGATTGACACTTTACAGCCGGTTTCCAATAACAATTTTATATAATTATATATACACTACTAATATTTTTCATTGCAAATGAACTATAACAGAAATATTAGTTTATAACTAAAATTAATATTCCTGAAAGAATGTTCTTTTTCCACCACCAGAATAAATTTTTCTTTCTATCGAAAATAGAGAAACTAAATTTTTACATTACAATATTTAATATTATTTTCAAATTTACATTTACACAATACTTACTTTTTTCTGTAGTTTCCTCGCAAATTTGCAAAACCGCAAACTCTAGAACTTGATCAAAAGTCTCATTGTTGAGTAAATTAATACCGTGATTATTAACAAAGTTATAAATTACATTTTCGGTCATTGTTGTTATAATAACAAAATCTGACAGGTAGCAGGAAACTTTTTTTTTAAGGTTATGTCCTTTGCGTCGTTAGTCGTTAAATTTCCTACCTTTCGCGTTGAAATGAATTTTGCGGAAATCACGTGTTAGTTTCGAACATTTTTTTTCAATCCACTATTCATTTAGTATCGCAGGAACGTTATTATTCGCTTAGGAAAATATGTAGAAAAATCAAATTGAAAATTTTCTTTTTCAATTATGTGTTATTGTGTTTTAAGTATAAAAATATATGAAATGAAATCCCTACAAATTTATGTTTTACAATTTATTATACGTAAAATGTAAATAACAAGACTCGACGAATTTAAAATTAAAAAGATATTTTTTATCTGATAAGAATAAATGATACCACTAATAGAGGGATATAAATAGGTAATTTATACATGCAAAGTCCACAACTATCGTTCTTTTTTCCGTTTTTATATTCACGAATCCTTTTCAAGTTCAAGTTTTTTTTTATTATTTGGATTATAAAAATTTAATTTTTCAATTTTTTAATTTATTTTTAATTTTTTTATTAAATATTAATTAATATTATTTTCTTAATATTAATTTATTCGCATAAATTAAATACTAACAAATTATTAATTCCATTTTTTTTATATTTTAATATTAAATTTATTTGTAAAAAATATTTTTGTATTTTTGAATTTTAGTGATTAATTTATTGAAAATATTTTTGTAACTTGTTTGTTTATTTGTGAAAATAGAAAAATATTGTAAAGGCCTTTAATAATAATTATTAGCGTAAATTTAAAAGTGTTAATTGAATTTGTTTTTTTTTTTCTAGTGACAAATATTTGACGAGATTTCAAGTTTATTGTAGAAAATTTTTTTTCTAAATCTAAGGAATTTTCACTTGGAGTATATGCGAGTGGAGAGGTATAATAACCGTGACCTTAAATTATTATTAAGTCAACTACTAATACACTATTATTTTTCATTAAGATCAATTTGCGAAGAAGGAGAAGAGGGGAGAAAATGAGTAGAATAATTCTTGAAATGAAGAATGAAACGACAGAAGATAAGAAATTGAGAAATAAAATTTCAAACAGTGAAATCAGGTATTTTTTTGTTATTGTTATTGTTGCATAAAATTATGAAATTATTCGAATATTTATTTTTTTTAACGAAATATATATAAATAAATAAATAAAAATTTAGATAAAAGATTAGATTTCTTTATTTTGTTTTTTCTTATTTTTTATTTTATTATTATTATTATGCAAATTAAAAAATTTTTTACTTTCAAATCTAAATTTTTAATAACTTTTTTAACCGAAATTTAAAAAATTCACTTATTAAGTGCATAATTAATTATTATTGTTTATATTTTCACAAATTTTAATATAATTCTTCGGAAGAATTCAATTATTCTCGCAATTATTTTCAAAAATTTTAATAAAATTCTTCTTAAAATTATATTCATAAGTAATAAAATTTTTGAAAGGAATTCAATTATTTTCTAATTTCTTCATAAAATTTTTTGCAAGAATTCAATTATTTTTTTATTAAATAATATTCTTCGGAAGAATTCAATTTTTTTTAAGTAAATAATAAAACTCTTCAAAGAAATTCAATTATTTTTTATAAATAATAAAATTCTTCCTAGAAATTCAATTATCTTCATAAAAAATAAAATTCTTTTGAAAAATTTAATTATTTAAAATATTAATGAAATTCTTTGGAGGATTTCAATTATTTTCAAAACAATTTTTAATAAACTTTAAATATGAAATTTTTCATTATAATTATTAACAGATACGATTATTTTAAAAAGTTGAAAAAAATTCGTTGTTTAATTCAATTATTTTCGAAAATTTTCAATTAAAATTATTCAAAAAACTACTTTTAAAAAAAAGCACAAAGAAATTTATCAAAAGGAATTTAATTATTTACAAAAACTATAATAAATTTGTTTAAAAGAGTTAAATTTTCTATAAATAATTTAATAAATATATTTATAATTTATTTATAATTTGTAATTTTATAAATATTAATAAAATGTTAATAGTAAAATTATTAATTTTACATTTATTTAATTAATTTGAATATTTTATTTAAAAAAATTTTTTTTTTATTTTAAAAAATTAAAAAAAAAATTTTTAAATTTAAAATTTGTTTTGAATATATTTTTAATTATTTCGTAAATATACGATTTACAATCGTTAAAGAAACCAATAAAAAAAAGTTTATGTTCCTATAAAAGTGTTCTACTACTCTAAATAATAATAATGCAGCCTTTCACAATTGAAAAATTGAAGGTCATTAATTGAACAGATTTAAATATGTTTATTAATATCTGTGAAGTAGTTTCCCTTGAAAATTGTCTCATTACTTCCTGAATTTTTCATATTTATAAATTATAAATAAAAAATAAACATTACCCATCAATTTAAAATTTAGTTTTTTTTCCCTCTAAAAGTCGAATAAAGAATAAAGAAATATTGAATTCGAATTGATATTGATTTGGAAGGGAGAATTTATTTCTCTTGTCTATATTTATCAATAGTTTATTGCAACAATTGGATTATTATTTAAAAATCGCCACAAGTTTCTTTTAAGTGTCAATCTTTTTATTGAACGCGCAGAGAAACGTTATGATAGTGACGAGAGAAAATTCAATTTTCATCACGTTTTTGGAATAATAATATAATGGAAATAATAGTTAAATTTTTTTTATTAATTCTTGTGAAAAATGTTGCTTTTATTACATAAAATTTTTTCCAGTCACTTTTTGCCTGAAAAGTACAAAAAAGGTGTCACCGAAAATATCACAAGCAAAGATGCATTTTCTCAAGTGAGTATTTTTTTTCATTCAAAATAAAGAAGGAATTTTTAAATAATTTTTTTTTTTAATTTGACAATTAAAATTTTGTTTAAAATTTTTTTAAAAAGAATTTTTTTTCATTTGACAATTAATATTTTGCTTAAAATTTTTTTAAAAAGTATTTTTTTCACTTGACAATTAATATTTTGCTTTAAATTAATTAATTATTAATTTTAATAAAAAAAAAATGAGACGATTTTTTTAAATTACAGATTTTTGCAAGTTGCCTGGCCAATTGTATTGTTATTCAAGTTGGAATTCATATGGCATTCAGCACAGTTTTTATCGAGGATTTAAAACGTAGCGGAAAAATGACGATAGACAAAGACAATGAATCTTGGATAAGTGAGTAGATGAATTATTATTTTTTCAACTCTTTTGTTCAAATATTTATTTTTCTTTTCATTTTTAGTTTACACAAGAGATTTATTACAATCTCCAAAAATTTTAATTATATTTTTCAATCTTTTTTTTTTAAATTACAATTTATCAAAATTTTTAAAACAATTTTTTTACATTCTAAGGAAATTTTATTTCAATTTTACGAATCGATCATATTTTTATAAGAAACTTTTTGATTTTATTTTGCGGAACTTTTTTCATTCATCATTTTAGTGCAATTTAAAGAAAATTTCTCGAACGAAATTCAATTATTTTCAAAAAATTTTTTATAAAATTTGTTTTTAAAAATTCAATTATTTTGAATTCTTTAAAACGATTTAATTATTTTCAAAAATTTTAAGAATTTTGAATTCGCAAGAATTTAATTACTTTCACAAATAAAGAAATTTTTCGGGCAGATATTCAATTATTTTCAATATCTTGCTACTTTAATAAAATTTCTTAAAAGAATTCAATTATTTTAAACAATTTCAATAAATTTTTGAAAAATATTCAATTATTTTCAAAAAAAATTAAATTTTCATAGAAATTCAATTTTTTATTAAATTCAATTAGTTAATAAATTTCAATAATTTTGTTCAAGAATTCAATTATTTTCATAAACAATAAAATGTTTGATTAAATTCAATTATTTAAATAACTTTTTTTAAAGAATTCAATTAATTTAAACAATTTTAATAAAATTCTGCACAAGAATTCAATCATTTTCATAAATAATACAATTTTTATAGAAATTCAATTTTCGATTAAATTCAATTATTTAAACAATTTAAATAATTTAAATAATTTAAATAATTTGTTAAAGAATTCAATTATTTTAAACAATTTTAATAAAATTCTTCACAAGAATTCAATTATTTTTATAAATAATAACATTTTCATAGAAATTTTTTAAAATAATTGAATTCTTTAAAAAAAAATATTTAAATTTATTTAAACAATGTTTTGATAAAATTTTTATAAACAAATTTTATGTTATGGATTTTTTCAAAAGATTTAATTATTTTCAAAAATATTAATGAAATGTTTCGCTTAAATTTAATTTAAATTCACAAGAATTCAATTATTTTTACAAATAAATAAAATTTTCGCTTAAATTCCATTATTTTCATAAATAATCAAATTTTCCGAGAAATTCAGTTATTTTAAATACAAATTTAGAACAAATTTTAATTAAATTCTTTGCAAGAATTGAATTATTTTCATAAGTATTAAAATGTTTATAGAAATTTAATTAATTGAAATATAATTTTTATAAAATTTTTCGAAGGATTTCAATTATTTAAAATATTAATTAATACAATTTTTTTAAAGAAATCAATTATTTTTAAAAATTTTTAAAAATTTTGTTTAAAAAAATTCATTTACCATATGGAAAAATAAATAACAAGTAAGTGTTAGAAAATTTTTTTTAACAAAAATTATTGAATTTTTGAATAATTAACTTTAGAAATTATGAAAAATAATATGTTTTTGAAAAATTGTAATATTTAAAATTTTTTGAAAACTAATTCTCGAAAATAATTTCGAAAAATTGAAACAATTGGAGATTTTGTCAAATTTTAGTAAAATAAATTTTATTTGTAGAGTATTTGATTTTTTTGTTTTTAAAAATTGCTTTCAAATATTGTATTTTTGTAAAATTTTCAATAACAAATTTGGAAAATAATTGAAGTTTGCAAAAAATTGGAATTAATTCCTCATTAGAATATAGAAAAAAAAAAAATTTATAATGAAATTTTTGTTATAACTTCGAATTAAATAAGTTGTTTTTATTATTAAATTTACTGAAACGTTTTTTTTCATTGTCATATTTAATTTTTCGGTAGTTATTTTTTTTAGTCTTAAAGCTCTTTTTTTTAAATTAATGAACGAATACGAAGACTGAATTATTTTTATACAATCTTTTTAAATTTAATTTTGAAACAATTTTTTTTCCATTCCAAAGACGATTTCCTTTTGCAGAATCGATCCATATTATTTTTAGGGAACTTTCGATTTCATTTTGCGGAGCTTTCTATCACAAATGTCTCTTTCTAAACATCTGCTTCACAAAGGTATTGGTTCGAATTTTTGGGCACATTTCACCAGTTTCTTCTATTTAATTCTGCTTTTCAAACTTCTTTATTTTCTTGAGCTTAAAAATTTGTTTTCGTCTCTTCTTAACACTTTTCGTTTGTTAGACATTTACCAAAAACTCTCAGCTTTATTCAAAGAAAATTTTGCTGTTATTTTTCCACGACTTTCGCTTTCACACTTTTTCGGAGCTTTTATGACGTTTGTCTATTTTTTCTTCCGCTTCTTCTTCAATTTTTTTTATTGATGTGGATTTTTTCTACTTCTTCTTGTTGAATTTTTTTTATTGATGTGGATTTTTTCTACTTCTTCTTGTTGAATTTTTTTTATTGAAGTGGATTTTTTTTCGACACAATTTTCCAGAATCGTTACTATTCTCATTTTTTTCTTTTCTATTTTCAGCAAGTCTGATGACAATTGGTGTGCCAATTGGATCCCTATTGGTTGGACCATTAATGGATAAGTTTGGACGAAAGAAACTTTGTCTCTTCTCATGTATTCCAATGATGATTTCATGGCTGATATTAATAATGGCGAACTCGATAAATTTAATTTACATTTCGAGATTTATTGCTGGATTCTCATCAGGTTTGACGACAGTTGGATTAATATACGTCTCGGAAATTACGCATCCAAGAATACGACCAATGATGCTCTCGTGCAATTCCGTTTTCGTTTCGTTTGGAATTCTCATCACGTGCTGTCTGCCCGTGTGGCTCAATTGGCTCAACATGGCGATTGTCTTTTTAATCATCAATTGTCTAACGTTTTTCGGTCTGTTCTTCATACCGGAAAGTCCGTATTGGTACCTTTGCCTCAATAAAAAAACGCAAAAAGCTGAATTCAGGGCTGAAAGGAGTCTCCGGTGGTTGAATCGACGGGAGAAGGTAATTTTTAATCAGAGTAGATTCACTAAAAAAAATTAAATATTATTAAGATATTGTTTTTTAAAATTCTATTAAAAATAATTAAATTTCAACTAAAAAAGTTTTATCAAAACTTTTAAAAATATTTGAATTTCTGCTAACATTTTGATATTTTTGAAAATAATTGAATTCTTGGGAAAAATTTTTATCAAGATTTTCGTAAATATTTGAATTTCTGCAAAGATTTTGATTATTTAACAAAAAATATTTTAATTCTTGACAAAAAAATAAATTAAAATTTCTGAAAGTAATAATTGAAGATCTGCAAAGAATTTTATTTTTAATTTATGCTAAGAATTATATTAAATTTTTTTTAAATAATTGAATTTCTGGGAATTTTTCACAAGAATTTAATTTGTTTTTGAAAATTTTAATAAAATTCTTTCGCAAGAATTAAATTATTTTCATAAATAATAAAACTCATCGGAAGATTTCAATTATTTTTAATACAATTTTAATCAAATTCCACTAAAAATGTAAATTAAAAAAAAAAACTTATTAAAATTCGTCGAAAGAATTTCATTATTTCAAAAATTTGTTGATAAAATTCTTTATGAAAATTAAATTTTAAGAAACTTTTAGTTATTAAATAAATTATTTATTTTTATTTTTAAATAATTGAATTCTCGTAGAATTTTCTTATAAAAATTGATTTAAAAAATGGATTTCAGTTAAAATTTTAGATTTTGAAAAGGTTTCAGATTAAAATCTTTGAAAATTTGAATTTTTCATATTTTTAACTAACAATTCTTTGGAATTAATTTTTTTTTTTGAGAAACTTTAATTGCGGATTTTTTTAAAAATTATTTAAAGTTTTTAGTTTCTAATATATATTTAATTGAAGAATTTACGAATAATTGAAATTTTGTAAAATTGAATTGTAAACAGAACTGAATTTAAAAATTCGTAAAGAACTTTTTAATATCTCATCAAGAATTCAATTATCTTTACAAATAGCAAAATTTCTCGCCAAAAATTCAATTATTTTCATAAGTAAATAAAATTTCATTTGGGAATTCAATTATTTTTATGGCAGAATTTAAAATATTTTTAATACAATTTTAAATAAATTTCTCGAAAAATGCAATTATTTTTAAAAATTTGACTAAAACTTGATGAAAGAATTCAAATTTAACAAAGATTCAATTATTCAATTAATAATATAATTCGTTGCAATGATTCAATTATTTTTCAAAAATTTTTAAATAATTCTGCAAAATAATTCAATTATCTTGATAAACAAGAAAATTTTCCCCAGGAAATCTATTTTAAAGAATTTTAATAAAATTCTTTTCCAAAATTCAATTATTTTCATAAATATTAAAATTCATCACAAGAATTCAATTCTTTTTGAAAAGTAATTAGTAATAAAATACTTTGCAAAAATTAATTTCTTTTCAAAATTCTTTTTTAAATTCTCGTCAAGAATTAAATTATTTTTATAAATAGATAGGAAAATTCTTCTCGAGAATTAAATTATTGTCAAAAATGGTAATAAATTTCTTGGCGAAATTTCAATTATTTAAACAAAATATAATAAAATTTTTCCCATGAATTCAATTTGTTTCATAAATAATAAAGTTTTTGGTTCAATTCAATTATTTAAATAATTTAAATAATTTTTTTTAAGAATTCAATTATTTTCATAAATAATAAAATTTCCGCTTAAATTCAATTATTTAAATAATTTTTGTGAAGAATTAAATTATTTTCTCTAATTTTAATGAAATTCTTCACAAGAATTTAATTATTTTCATAAATATTAAAATTTTCAAAGAAATTCAATTTTCGATTAAATTCACTTATTTAAATAATTTTAATAAAATTCTTCAAAGGGTTTTGAATTATTTTCAAAAATTGTTATAAAATTGTTCAATAAAATAAATTTCAGTAAAATTTTAATTAGATTCCTTAAAAGTAATTATTGATTAAATATAAATTTTTTATTTGCATTTTATTTATATTTAAATAATTTAATTCTCGTAGAAATTTTCAATAAAAATTGATTTAAAAATGATTTTCAGTTAAAAGGTTAGATAATAATTGAATTTTAAAATTAATTTTTTTTGAAAAAGTTTAATTGAATTTTTTTAAAATATTATTTCAAGTTTTTATTTTATTTTATTTGACTCGGACTGGTTATATTTTTGTCAGTAATTGGTTCGTAATTTTTCATTGTTTGAATAGGCGTATTTAATTTTGATTTTAAGAAATGATCTTTTTCAGATATTTCAAAGTGAATTGTCACGTTTAAGGGCGATAGTCACTGATCGAAATGGAACGTCAGATGAGAAAAGTTTGCTGAAAAGTTTACAGAACTTCTGTCACGAAATCCGTCAACCAACTGCTTATAAACCATTGACGATAATTTCCATTTTACTTCTAATCCAACAGCTCTCGGGTTGTTATGTCATAATATTCTATGCGATTTCAGTATTTAAAAATATAAACTCCGGCAATAATTTGGAGCGAACTCAAGAGAATGATTCGGCAATTTATGGTGCACTCGTTTTACTTGGTGTTGTGAGATTTTTCATGAGTATTCTAACGGCGTATTTTAGTAAAATTTACGGTCGACGAATTCTTTGCATTTCCAGTGGTCTTGGCATGTCGTTCTCCATGTTTTTCTCGGCAATGTACATGTACTTGACGACGTCGTGGGACGAGAGGACGAGTTATCATCAACAATCGACAATGCTGGGACAAACGTGGATTCTGATTGTTATTATTCTGTTCTACATTTGTATGAGTGCGATTGGCTTTATGGTGATACCGTGGACATTGACTGGTGAACTGTTGCCGATTTCAATAAAAGGTTGTGCGAGTGGTTTTGTCATTGCAATCGCTTATGTTGTTATGTTCGGTGTGATGAAGACGTATCTGTATGTTCTGGACGCAATTGGAACTCAGGGGATATTCTTTTTCTTTAGTTTTATTTCAATATTGGGTACGGCATTTGTTTACGTTTTTTTACCAGAGACATTGGGCAAATCGTTTGCCGATATTGAGAAATATTTTATTGATGATAAAAAAGGTAGTGCGAAACGATTGAGAATTCCTGACAATGGGAATGAAGAGAATTTATCCGTTTGAGATAGTGTACATGATTTGGGCTTAATTGGACACTAATATGTGAAAAAATGACTGTGAGGCCATTCCTTTTATCGCAAAATTCATACATTTGCGGTAAAGAATATCGTCTGCGTTACGGGACAGGTGTGCGATTTTATCCTCTTGTGAGAAAACCACTTTCTGTCCCTCGGCGCACAATATACTATTAATTAAGCGTACATTAATTCTAGTAATATATACATTCTTTATTTATATATCAATTTTGATAAAAATGTTTCAGATAATAATAATAACAATAAACAGAAATATAAATTTTTGATAAAAAATTGTTTCAATTAATGTTAATAAATCAACATAATCTCCTTGTACAATCCATATTTATTTTATTCTCATTAATTAAAATAAGAAGTTTAACAAATGTACATTCATTTTCACAATTATAACAGTTTATAGAGAAAACTCAGTTCTAAAGTGAATTCCGGACGGCGACCTAAAAGACTCAAACTTTCGCACACTAAGAACCATACTAGTGTCGCCTCACATATTTATTAAAAAGAAAATATTACTTGTACACAATTAACTTTTTTTACTTTCAGTTTTTAAAAGATTAGGATTAAAAATACAAAACAAAGTCGACTATCCAACGCGAATTACAACAATGCAAGGACTGCAATAAGTAAACCCTAAATAGTGTTGTTCTGACAGTTGGCTAAGCCTAAAGTCATTTAAGAATTCCCAGTAAAAAAAGAAGTATTGACATAGTATTGAGTGGAGCGTTTAGGAATTGAGTGAAGCTCTGAGCCAATACGGATTCGAGTAAAAACCGTATTGGGACGTTTGACTCAATCTTTTTTTCATCCGCCGAATACGGTCTTATTTTAGCATTAAAATTAAAATCACATCAGTAGAGTACATATTATAAATTGAAAGCACAATTGTCCTGGAATGTAAAAATGCCGATTTCGATAAGAAACAGTGAATATTTGTTAAAAATTGGTAAAAGCAAAGTTTGACAAGCGCGACTGAATTTACCATGTGAATAAATGAAGTGGTAAGTTTAAATGGACTAAAAGAAATCTGCTGTTACCGACAGAAAGTTCCTAGAGAATTGTAAAACAATGAAATTTCATTGTTTTGTTGAATTTACCACAATTCTCTAGGAACTTTCTGTCGGTAAAAGTAGATTTCTTTTAGTCCATTTCGTCCATTTAAACTTACCACTTCATTTATTCACATGGTAAATTCAGTCGCGCTTGTCAAACTTTGCTTCTTTTTTTACTGGGAAGAAGATTTTCTAATAGTCTAACATTATTCTACTTCTATGAACAGTAAAATTTAGTGTCCGTAGAAAATAGTTCATGAAGATTTTGTGCCATTAGAGCCATTCTATTTTCAGTTGGAGTTGGAATATCGCGCATTTTTATCAACATTACATTCTCACCGTTAAAACGTTTATTGGTTATATCGGTTATTAAAAATTGGAATTTTTTAGTCACTGCATAAATATCCTTTCCTCCTTCTAGAACACTATTGAGATTCACAATACCTGCTTGATTTTCTATTTTAATTACCAAGAATGACGATGTATGTGTTAATTTTTGTTCCTCGTTTAAAGTGGTTATTGGTGTTAATTTTCGTGCACGATTAAAATATTTTATATCATTAAATCTTATCCTACCATGATTGTTATAGAGACTCATAATATATGCCTTCATTTCCTTAGAAATTGCTCCTGAAGCAAAAAGTTTAACTGGTGTATTTGTAAATTCCTCTTCAGCTTGTCTAAGCGCAAGTCTAGTAACAGCAGCTGCATATTGCCTCTTTGCATGTTGATTCACATTCCCCTCGAAGTGATTGCGATAATGTAAGACATAATAATCTTCGAATCGAATACGCCTTTCAGCCATTTCTAAACCTCTATAACTGTCATATGCAGCTGCCACATTTCCGTGATAAGATATACCATGTACGTCGACAATTCTTCTCATTGCTTCGTTTAAATCTATGACTCTCTGTAAATTAAGTTCATATAGAACGTCTAAAATGTACCTGTCTTGATGTACTCTCCAACTATCATAAACATATGTGTATTTCATATTTTTAAATTCATTGGCCATTACGTTGTAAGTTGGGATGATACTTTTACTGCTTGGCTTTGTGCTTAGTACGAAATTTTTTAGATAATTTTTCGCTAATTTAAAAGAACACTTTGGTGCATTCTGTACCATGTAATTGGCAGCTGCCTCAAGATTTTGCAGTCTAGGATATTTTACAACGATATTCTCAAGACGCAAATCGATAATATCCTGCTCTCTGGTACGTAGCCATAATTCTTTACTCGTACTTTTTGTGTCTAGGAAAACGTTCAAAACCTTTCCATCCTCAGCAAAAGAAGTGTCTCTTATCAAAAATAGCTGATCACTAAATGTCACATACTGATTTTGAAGCTGATGATGAAAACGTGTCAAGTCCACAAAACCATATTGAGAATCAATGTTCAAATGATAGAGTACTTCTACTTCTTGTGAATATGGATTCCAAGTTCTAAGTGAATGTAAATTTGGTTGAACATTCGACAGTAATGTCATATCATTAAAGAAAAAGTCTTTTCCTTTTAAGTTTATCAAGAAATCAATATTGTTTTGTCCTCTTATTTTCTGAAGACACCAGGTTTTGATTGGCGTTTGTGGAATAGGTATTTTATCGATTTGAAATAGGGCCAATTTATTTACAGAAGTACGTAAAACGTTGACTTTTTGTAAATTTTCTGTTCTTAGAAACAAACCACTATTTTTCCATTCCAGTAAAACATTCACATAATCTTTATATATTGGTTCTGTTAGGTAATCCTTGTAGACTGATGGTCTTAGGTTCGTTGCAGTTTGTTGCGATGTTCCAGGAATATCATCAGGGTATTCTACTTTGCGAGGCACTTCTTTTATTACTGATGGTCTTCTATGATGTTCAGGAATTACGTAATCAAATTTTTTGTGATAATATTCAGAAACTTCTGGACTTTTCACCACTTCTAGTGTTTGAGTATTTTCATGAATAATTGAATCTAAATTGTCTAGTTCTTGTATTTCTTTTTCATTGAAAATTCTCTGACCAGTTGAGGTACTTTGAATATTTGGATCAATTATGTTTTCTATAGAAGTAAGTTGACCACCACGTACGACTTCGTGAATGTTTCTATCACTTGTAAATCCTCTAATATCCTCGACATTTATTCTTTGTAATTCTTGAACATTTGTTACTTGAACGCGATCGTTTCTTAGAGGTGCTGGAATGTTTGCATCAACTGCATTACCTCCTGGAATATTTCCTTGGCTATTTCCCCCTCTGGGTACTTTATTCCATTCTATTGTATTATGATAGACGTGATAATTTTGAGTCACTTTAAAATTAGGATTATCGATTATCAAATCCTTTAATAGAGTCTCAAATCGGTGAAGAACATCGTTTTTACCCATTGTTAGTTTCGAGTTATCTACTTTACCTGATTTTGGAAAATATTGTTTGTAGAATATTTGATTACCTAATTTTTCCGATATAACGGGAATGCGACGTGAAGATCCTTCTATTTTTCTCAATTCGGCAACTTTTCCATGTGATTTTAAGCACATAGGTCCAAAAAAGTGCGAACCACCGGGATAAAAATATCTAACGCTGTCGTAAAGTCTATGTTTAGCTAGAGTCATTGGTACTAATCCTGTCTGATCGGCTATCAATTTTGCATTCTGCGAATTCTGTGACAATACAGAATTTATTGATGATGAGAATTTCTCAAGTGCAGGAATTTCTTTGAATCTTGAATGTACGTGACTGAGAAGTTTATAGAATAATTTGTAACCGCCAGTAGATAATTTGTACATAAGTTCAAATCCTGGATCTAATGTTCGAAGAGAAGCTACAACAAAGTCTTTTAAGATTTTACGACTTAAAATTTCACTTGCAATTGTTCTAAAAGCTACTTTTGTAATTTCTTTCAAAGATGTAATTAATGGCAATTTGGAAATGAGGCTAACTCTGGAAAAACTATTCGACACCATAAATAATTTTCCAACATTAGCCTGTAAGCTAGTTGTTATTTTACTTGAAAGTTTCGCTGCGAAACCAGCAACTGGAAGGAGAGTAAAAATATCTAAACTGCAACTGGTTACGGTTTCTCCAGGTGTGCCAGATTTCACATTTTCTACGCAATTGTAAAATGGTATAAACATTTTAACATAATAAAAAACTTTCTGAGAAGCTGTTAAGTCGTAATATTCCTGTTTTAGTTGCTTTATAAATTCATCTGATTTAATACTGGCAGCGTTTTCAACAAATTTTTTATAATCTTCACCGATTTTTTTGAGATTTTTATCAACATACAACTTCATGTCCCATTTATTAACAACTGCTTGCGCAAACTTGGGGTCTCTTCCGTGTGCATGAAGTAATTTCAGAGTCGTTTCATCCTTTATAATAGCGTAAACATCTCGTTTTCCGTTTTTATGAAAAATTCCAAGTAGAAGAAATACGTTGCTGTTAAGTACATAATTTTCAGGTGGAACACAATAACTGTGTATGCAAATCGGATGATGATTAGGAACCACTAATTTCTCAACCGCAGTATCTGTATTCATTTTTTCAGTGAAATTACTTTGCACTAAAATTTCTTCAATTGACTGTTTCATAATTTCATTGTACGTCTTTTTAATTTCTGTAAATTGTTCGTTATACTCTGCCTCTAAATCGGGAAGAGCCCTATGGCAACGCCTTGGAAGAAAAATTCTTACCACCCAAAGATATAAGGATTTATACATAGATACTTTAGATGAAGAGACGTCTGATAACTTGTCATATCTACAAAAAACTTTAAGCAATCTCGTGGCAAGTTGAGTACGAGTTTCAATTTTCTCGAGTTGTTTATCAAATTTGAAAACTAAACTGCTCTCAATAATTTCATCTACAAGTTCAATCATAGAGGAATTAATGGATTGAAACAATTTTTCATAAGCTTTGATCCAAAATCTATCGTTTAGAGAATTATTTTCATATTTTCGAAATTCATTTTTATAATTAAATGCGTAAAAAAATAAAGCTGGAACTGAGAACAATTCTAATACTACTTGAAAAGATGTTTCATTGAATTCTTGCATATCAAGCTCGCGAGAGATGAGAGTATATTCGTTAAATGTAAGATTATTTACCTTGTTCGACATTGACCTAAACATTTTTAAACCCACCATTGCGTAAATATAATTAACATTGATTATACTCATGTCCTCTTCTGGTTGGGGAAAAATTGGCAAAATGTGGTCCTGGTAGATTTTTTGAATTGCCAGTGGAGAAAGTTTGGAACTGTAATTTCCTGACGCACAGTATTCCTTGGTGATGTAACTTTCAGAAAGATGTCGTAGAACCATTTCTTTGAATGCCGAATAATTTACACTGTCTGCCCTGTTAATAATTTTGGCCAAATATCCATTAATATTTCCATAGTGAGAAAACAGAGCCATGCTGATGATGTACTGAAATGTTTCGTTTACGTATTTGATTTCAAGTGTTTCATTTTCTCTACCGCCGTAAAGATCACTTCCTTTCAAAACTTTCTTCAGAAGTTTGTATTTAGCTTCGGTTTCATTTTTCGATTTGCTTAGATAATCAAAGAGAGTATTTAGCACCGGTACAGATTGATATCTTTCGTCAAGTTTTATCAAATCGTTATTATAGAAGTAAATACCGAAAATATTAATGTAGTGACAAACAGATAAAAATTGAAAGTTTGTTGGATTTGTGATAAAGAGTGGTTGGCTCTCCATCATGAATGAGTTGATTTTGTTATTTATTTCATCCGCTTTCGTACAGTTGATTCTAAAACTGATAAATTGTTTCAAATTGTTTTAAATTGCTTTAAGGGAAATAGATTTGCGAACATTGTACAAGAAGATTCATACTTACAAATTAATTAGAAGCTTCAAAAATAAGATATGTTTAACAATTACTTTTTTGCTCGGTATGTTAACTATGTCGATAAAATATATTTTCTATAGGTATTTATAGTAGAAAATTACAGTTAATTTTTATTTGTTCAGATGTTGATTGGGAAATTTGTTTAACATCTATATTAGGAAATAAATTATTTAACTTTCGTAATAAGAATGCTTTATAAGTTATGAAATACTAGAATAATTTTTCTGGTTATTTTATATTAAATTCTAAGTTCAATTAAAAGGAAGACTAATGAATATATTCGCGAAATCCATTTTAAAAAAGAGCATAAGATAGAAAAGGACAGATGCTCTTTTTCAGCTTATTTTTCATAACCACGAAAACAGTTCCCGGATCTAAGCTCTTAATTTGTTTATTCAGTAGATAAATTGAACAGTAATGAATATTAATATATCTACAAATATAGAATATTGATTTACACAATTGAATTTCAAATTCGTACATATTGTGAAACATTTAAAGTGTGTACTTTTATTTTAATTTATTTTTACGGAAGTTATAGAAAATATAGTGTTTCTTATCTTATTTTTCATGTAAAAATTAAATTCTTATTTTATTTTTCATGAAAAAAAATTAGAATCTTATCTTATTTTTCATGAAAAAATGATATGCCTTCAGTAATAATTTAGAAAATAATTTGTAAAATTTTAAGTAGGATTCATTCACTTATTTTTGTAAAATAAATTCCGATTCCTGTTTCCAGAGTCAACGTGGGATGATACCGACTGAATAATGGATAATTTGGAAATATTTTATTTATTGACTGAAGATACTATTTTTGCAAGATTGTGGCTCAAATTTAATTTTATAATATATTTCTTCTAACCATTCTTTGAATTTTTTCTAATTTAGGACCCAAGGATATTTATTATTATTTTGAAGATGATTTAATGGATTGTTGTATTTATGTCTTTCTGCATTAAATTTCTCACAGTTTTGGATTTTTATAATTTTGGAGATAATTCCAATGGATTGTTGTTTATGCATTTAGATTTCCCATATTTCATGAAATAATGAAATTATTTGGTATTTTTGTTAATTTTCAAAAAAATATGTTTTTCTGATTTTTTCCTTAAATTTTGTGAATTTTCTCTAATATTGTTTTCAAAACATCCTAAATTGATGAATATTTGTGTGATATTTATGGGACATTTTTTGAATTTCCTTTTGGTATATTTTAACTAATTTATATTTTGTGAATATTCTTGGAATTCCGTGACAAATGAATATTTAAATCATTTAAATTATTTATTTTTATTAATATTATTAGTTTATTGAGTAGCCGAGTAACTTTAAAGTCGTTGCGTACGTCACGAACTAACAACATTTTGCTAGATGTGTAAACGAGATTCAAGAGATAGAAAAAGACACAAATATATCTCTGTCCTTTTTTAACTGATGCTTTGCGTTCGCGAAGCAGTTGTGAATTGACCTTAAGCACCTTTACTTTTTGGCTTTGCAAACGCGCACACTAGTGATGGGATATCGATATTAAATATCGGAACATATCGATATCTATGTCACGATAATCGATATTTTAATATCGATATTAACGTTTTGATATATCGTTACCGTTATCGATAAAATTTTTAATATCGATAATTCTAGCGCGCAACCGCGTAACGACCACACGATGTGTCACACGTTTTGAGTTTTTTTTTAATTAAGAAATTAAGGCTGGAGTCCCATGACAGCGTTTTGCGTTGCGTTTTGTAACTAGGCCATGAGTGTGAGAAAGATACAGATATAGGTTTTCTCTATTTGCACTCATTGCCTAGTTACAAAACGCAACGCAAAACGGTGCCATGGGACTTGACCCTAAGTAACTATTAAGAAGTACTAAATATAAGTACCTAATTATAAAACTCTTATATTATAAAATATTTATAACGTAAACAAAACTTTTAAACCATTTTTTACATTGATTTTTAGGCCAACGCAGAATAAAATCTTTAATAATCGTAAGCGTAACGGTTAGAATAAGTTAAAGAAGGAAAGGTATATTGTTTATCCTTCTCTAACCCATTCTATGCTTTCGGTTACGATTACGGTTCCGGTTAAAGATCTATTCTGCGTTGGCCTTTATGTGGTAAAAATAATGTAAATTTTGAGGTTATGATTGTTATCCCTGTTCTTTGAATATATGCAAGTTCGAAAGTTTTATTGAAAGCTGTCATTTTTAAAGCATTAAAGGTCATCATTTTGTTTACATAAAAATATAAAGTTTGTTTTTATTTATTTCGGTTATTACAAATAAACAGTCTTTATATACTTAAATTAAATTTTCTATGTTCATTAATTAATAATTAAACGTTTTCTTTATATATTATATCTATAAAATATACATTAATATAAAAACCTTATTTTCCTATTCTAAAATTTTTTTATTTTTTTCTTTAAAAAGAAAGTGACTTAATTTATTTACGTTCTTTATATTTATTGAAAAATAATATTAAATAAATAATTATTAATAATATCAAATACACATTCAAAAATTTCTTAGAGTTCTGCGCATGCGCGATATCGTTTTTACGATATATCGATATTTATTTTCGATAACGATATATTTTTAAATATCGATATTACAGATGCAATATCGATAAGCGTAATATCGATATCAAATTTTTTCGATATCCCATCACTAGCGCACACTATGTAAATTATTGTCAACAGTACCCTAATTTCGCATATGGGAGTGTTGTGAATATGTCGCATTTTGTGTGTGAGTGACTTTGTTTGTGTTTTTTTTTATCATCCAAATATCATGAAATATTTAATTTTTCAAAGATTCCACAATTATTAAATATGTGTGAAAATTTACGATAATGTTTATCTAAAAGAATGTGGGAAAAATTTCTTCGATTAATATGCCAAAGTTTGTAATTAAAAGATATAACCTCAATTTTATAATATATCTTATAAAATTATGAATCTTATATGAACAATTATTAATTGTTTGATTCAATTGGCAATTGTTTATGAAAAACTGCAGTGAGTACTTGTAGTGTTCTACCGCTATATTAATATATTTGTATTTCATTATTTTCCATTTTTTTCAATAGAAAGATAAACAGCGCAATTTGTTTCTTTTTTCAAATCTTCTGCACCTATTTTTTTATTTTTAATGTTTGTAATTTTCAGATTCTATGGTTGTGATATAAGAAGCAATAAAGATGACTGGATTTTTTACAGTGATCGTCACCTTTTTCGTTATTTATTTCATATTTTCCTGGTGAGTTATTAGTATTCTTGTTTTTTTTTGTTGTCATTCTTATAATATTAGATGTTATTTAATTGTTACTCGTGACTTTGCATTTTTACAAGAGAATTAAAAGTTAGAAGATTAATGTTTTTTTTATTTAATCATTTAATACGTACCTACATTAATTTTATTTTCTAAAATTTAATAAAAAAATTTTCCTTTCTTTAAATTGTAGTTTTTTTAAATTTTGTAATATTTTATTTCATTTTTTATTCATTTTATTAATTTGTTATTAATTTTATTCATTTTCTTTAATTTGATTATCTTATTTAATAATATCTTATTATCTTATTTGTTTATTTCATATTATTTATTTATAATTTTTTGTATTTCTAATTATATTTTTCAAAATAAGATAAAAAATCCACTTTTAAAATAGAGAAATAGAAATATATTTTGCAGATTTTTCAAGTTAATTGCAAATTGTTTTTTCAGGGTAATTCCGAGACTTTTGGCTTGGCACGTGAAAAGTCGTTACAAAATTGATCTTAGAGTTGGCTACATTCGTTTGCCATATTTTATTTTGCGAGATGTGAATATTACCAAAAATGGATTTACCGTGGTAAGTAATTAAAAAAAAATTGAATTTTATCACGAATTCAATTATTTTCAATAAATTTATAAATTTTCAATAATTGTATTAAAATTCTTTGCAAAAAATCAATTTATAAACAATAAAAATCTTCGTAAAAAATTCAATTATTTTTATATAAATAATAAAATTTTTATCAGGATTTCACTTATTTTCAATACAATTTTAATTAATTTCTTCGAAAAGTTCAGTTATTTTTAAAAATCTTGTAAAAATTGTACGAAAAAATCAGTTATTTTAAAGAAAATTAAATTGAAGGGAAGATTAAATTATTTTTAAACATTTTTTTAAAATTCTTCGGAAGAATTCAATAATATTAATAAATAATAGTAATTTTTTCAAATGAATTCAATTATTTTAAATTAAATTCTTCTCAAAAATACAATTATTTTTCAAAATTTTGCAAAAATTTAATTATTTGTAGAAATAATAAATTTTTTCGCAGGGATTCAAATTTTTAAAAAAGTTTTAATAAAATTCTATTCAAGGATTCAATTATTTTCAGAAATAATTAAATTAAAAACTTTTGAGAACAATTTTTTTTTTTTTTTGAGAGAAATTTTATTAAAATTATCTTGAATCTAATTGAATTTTTTCCTGAAAATTTAATTAAAATTGTATTGAAAATAATTTAATTGCTCAGAAGAATTTTCTTATTTACAAAAATAATTGAATCCTTGCGGAGGATTTTTTAAATTCAATATAAAAATAATTAAAATGTTTCAAAGAATTTTATTTGAATTTTTGAAAATGATTGGATTTTTTGAAAGAATTATATTAAAAATTATATTGAAAATAATTAAATTTCTCAGAAGAATTTTATTATTTACAAAAATAATTGAATTCTTGCAGCGAATTTTATTATTTATAAAAACAGTTGAATTCTTGCAACGAATTTTATTATTTATGAAAATAATTGAATTGTTGTAACGAATTTTATTAAATTTTTTTAAATAATTGAATTCCTGGGAACAATTTTATAATTTGTAAAAATAATTTAACTTTTTTTTTTTCATTTTATAAAAATTGAAAAGAATAATTTAAATTTTTCGAATAACTTAATTAAAAATAATTGAATTTTTGCGTTGATTTTTATTATTTATGAAAATAATAATTGAAATAAAGAAATTTTGTCAAAATTTTAGAATATAATTAATTTTTCCATAGAATTGTATTAAAATATTCAAATAATTGATTTCATTCGAAAAAATTTCTTGAAAATTGTATTTCATTTTGTGAAGATTTTCGAAAATAATTAAAAGATTTCAAAGAATTGAATTGAAATTGAATTGAAAATAATTGAATTCCTTTGAATAATTTTATTATTTACAAAAAGAATTGAATTCTTGCCAAGAATTTTACAATATTTATAAAAATAATTTAATTGTTTCGAATAATATTTTATCAAAATTATGTTGAAAATAATTTAATTTTTATTAAAACTTTTGAAAATAATATTTTTAAAAATAATTGTATTCTTTCGAGAAATTTTATTAAAATTGTATGGAAAATAATTGAATTTCTCAGAAGAATATTTTTATATTTATGAAAATAATTGAATTCCTTTGTAGAATTTTATTATTTATGAAAATGTTTAAATTCTTGTGAAGAATTTTATTATCTATTTATGAGAATAATTAAATTCTTGCGAAAAATGTTATTAAAATTTTTGAATAATAATAAACAAGAATATTTAATATCATGTACTTAATAAGTGAATACTCTAAATTTTGAATCTGTAATCATTCAAAAATTGATGTTTATTCTTAAAAATATAAAATTTTTTAATTTACAAAATAATTTGTTAGTAATATAATAAATACCTGTATAAAATAGTTATTTTTCCAATATCAATTTAAATTAAAAGAATAAAGAAATTTAATTTTGGTTTCTTTTCAGCAAATTGACGAAATTAGTATTCGCTCAAGTTTATTTAGCAGCGATGTTGCAAAATTATTAGCCGTTGTGATGAGAGACGTGAGAATAAATAAAGACGTTCCCACGATATCTCATTGTCAGAAGAACAAGGAATACAATGATCCTTTAGATTTTCGACAGAAGAAGATTCCACCAATTATCATAACATTTGTTCAGGTGAGAACAATCAGTTTGATTTATTAAAAAAAAAAGTAATTATGAAATTCCTTAACTTATTATAATTTTGATGGAAAATAATAATAATTGTTTTTTTTGTTATTTTGTTCAGTTCATGGCTGTGAATATAGAGAATTTGAGTCTTTTAATTCTCGGCAATGGTTGGTTGGCGAATGGAAGTGCGGAAAATTTGAGTCTTGATGGGAGTATTGTTCATGGAGCTAGAACTCTTTTGGCATCAGCGACAGTTGCCGGTGGTTCGATGAAATTACTGAGGCACGCATCGGATGCATGTCTCGCACAAATAAGTTTCGCTGGAAGTATCGAGGCCACTCTCAGAGCACAAGGCGAACTCTCTGTCGAAGTGAGCAAAAATTTTACTTCTCCTTTCTTCGCATGCAAAGTAAAATATTCTCCCTCCTTTTTTTAATGCGGGAAAATAAATTTTTTACCTACAATTCTATTTTTCTTTTTTTCTATTTTTTTCTATTTACAATGTTTATTTATAGTTTTCTATTTTAAAAAAGTAAAGAAAAATTAAAGTAAAACTAAGAAAAATTAAAAGAACAAATGTTCTTTTAATTTTTCTTAGTTTTACTTTAATTTTTCTTTACTTTTTACTTTTTAATTTTTTACTTTTTCAGTTCTTTTTTTCTTTACTTTTTAATTTTTTTACTTTTTTACTTTTTATTTATTTATTTAAGAAATATAACGGGACATTATTTTCACTTTTTTTCTTTCTTCGATTAATTGTTCATTTTCTTTTTTTTATTGATTATTTCCCCTTTTTTATTTTTAGTAAAATAGAAAAGCACGTGACGCGCCTAAATTAATTTTTTATTAATTACTAATTTGGCTAATTTGCAAAGAGCAAGTTTTGATTAAGTGCTTTGTTTTCCATTTTCTTTAGAAATTGTACGTTGGAATCACGCAGACCGAGGGTTCCGGAGGAGCTGGTCTCCTTCGGTTCCTGAGGGACAGAAAATCATTGTCACCAAACGCACCGCATTCTAATTTACATGAGCAATCAACTGGCGATTTGTTATCTAGAATAGCTCCAATATTACCAAAGGTACTTTCCGGCGAGCACATTTTTTCATTATTCATTTATTTATTATTAATTAATTCATTATTTATTTATTTTTCATCATTTGTCCAACCAACTTTTTAATTCATTGAAATCATAAAGTAACGTTTTATGTCAACTATGAAATCAAATGAAAATTTATATATTAAAATCAGGCTTCGCAATCATCTACTAAAACCTACTATTTATTACTTTTTTCCAATTAGCTACTATTTAGATATATTTTTTTTAAATTCAATTATTTTCGTAAATAATAAAACTCATTGCAAGAATTCAATTATTTTCAAAATATCTAATAAAATTATTCACAGGAATTCAATTATTTTCAGAAAATATTAAAATTCTTAGTAAGAATTCAATTGTTTCCAAAAAAAAAAAATTAAATTCTTCGCAGAAATTCAATTATTTTCAAGAAATAATTGAATTTTTCACAGGATTTGAATTATTTTCAAGAAATAATTGAATTTTTCACAGGAATTGAATTATTTTCAATTATTAATTAAACTATTAGTAAAAATTCAATTATTTTTAAAAACGAATTGAATTTTTCACAGAAATTCAATTATTTTCAAAACTTAATAAAATTCTCCGTACAAAATTCAATTATTTCCAAAAAAATAATGAAATTCTTCGCAGGAATTCAATTATTTTTAAAAACTAATAAAATTCTTAGTAAGAATTCAATTATTTCCAAAAAAAATAATGAAATTCTTCGCAGGAATTCAATTATTTTCAAGAAATAATTTAATTCTTCACCGGATTTGAATTATTTTCAAGAAATAATTGAATTTTTCTCAGGATTTAAACTATTTTTTTTTTAAATAATTGAATTTTTCACGGGAATTGAATTATTTTCAAAACTTTTAATAAAATAATTATAGAAAGTGAATTTAATAAAATACTTCTTATAATAAATTCAATTATTTAAAAAAAATAATAAACTTCTTCGCCTAAATTCAATTATTTTTGAAAATTAAGAAAATTCAATACAGGAATTAAGTTATTTTTAGAACTTTTAATAAAATTCTTCGCCTAAATTCAATTATTTTTGAAAGTTAAGAGAATTCAACACAGGAATTCAATTATTTTTAAAACTTTTAATAAAATTCTTCACCTAAATTCAATTATTTTTGAAAGTTAAGAGAATTCAACACAGGAATTCAATTATTTTTAAAACTTTTAATAAAATTCTTCGCAGAAATTCAATTATTTTTAATCCGATTTCAATTTAGGTATTCGAAATAATTATTCTTCTAAATTTTTAGTAAATGAAAAGAAAGAGTTTAATTTTTTACAAATTATAAAATTTTTCCCAGGTATTCAATTATTTAAAAAAATTTAATAAACTTCGTTACAAAAATTCAATTATTTTCATAAAAATAATAAAATTCGTTGCAGGAATTCAATTATTTTCATAAATAATAAAATTTTCCATGGATTTAAATTATTTTAAATAGAATTTTAATTGAATTCCAGGAAAAATTATACTATTTGTAAACATTTAATTTAAATTCTTCGAAAGAATTTAATAACATTAATTAATAGTTAATTAATTTAATAGTTAATTTTTTAAAGGAATTTAATTATTTTAAATACAACTTTTAATAAAATTTCAATTATTTTTTATATAATTCTATTTAAGAATTTGATTATTTTCAGAAATAATTAAAATGTCGTTGTATTGAAAATCATTGAATTCTTGTAAAGTATTTATGAAAAAAATTTGATAATAATTGAATTCATTTCAAGAAGTTTATCAACATTTCTTTCAATAATTGAATTCTTTCGAAAAAATGGAATTGAAATTGTATTGAAAATAATTTAATTCTTGTGAAGAATTTCATTAAAATTCTCTAAAATAATTTAATTATTTTGAAGAATTTATTTTTATTTTCTTGGAAATAAAGAAATTTTTTTTAACAATTTCTACAGAAAATTTGGAAAATAATTGAATTTTTATAAAGAATTTCTTTCAAGTTTTTAAAATAATCGTGTTTTATTATTAATTGTAATTAACGATTTTCCTATTGAATTATATTAAAATTATTCGTAGAAAATTAAAATCCTTTTAAACAATTTTATTAGAGTTTTTGTAAATAATTAATTTTTTTTAAGAATTTCATTAAATATCGTAAAAATAATGTAATTATCTGAAAATAATTTTAATTGAAACTTTTGAAAATAATTGAAATTTAGAAAGAATTTTATTAAAAGCTTTTGAGAACAATTGAATTGTTTAGAAAAATTGTATTACAATTTTTAATTAAAAATAATTGAATCTGTTAAAGAAATTTTATTAAAAATTATCTTGAATATAATTGAATTTTTTCCTATAGAAATTTTATTAAAATTGTATCTGAAAATAATTGAATTTTTCAGAATAATTTTATTATTTACAAAAATAATTGAATTCTTTCCAAGAATTTTACAAATTTACAAAAATAATTGAATTCTTCCCTAGAATTTTACAAATTTATAAAAATAATTGAATTGTTTCGAAGAATTTTTTATCAGAATTTGTTTGAAAATAATTGAATTTTTCGAAAAGTTTAGAAAATAATGATTTTTTAAAAAGAATTTCAATTAAAATTGTTGAAAATAATTGAATTTAATTAATATTTTTAAATGTTGTGGAGGATTTTACAATTCATAAAAATAATTAAATTGTTTCGAAAAGAATTTTATCTGAATTTTTGAAAATAATTAAATTTTTTAAGGAATTTTATTAAAAATTTTGAAAAATAATAATTTTTTAAAAAGAATTTCATGAAAAATTGTCGAAAATAATTGAATTTATATGAAAACTCTTGAAGATAATCGAATTTAATTAATATTTTTAAAAGTAATTATATTCTTTTTAAATTTTTTTAAAAATTTTATTGAAAATAATTGAATTGAACTACTTTTTTTAAAGCAAATTATTGAGTTTGAAACCTGTAAAATTTTAAAGTGTCTGTTAATTTTCAACTTTACGTCGCATTGAAAAATGTTACTTTTTCGAACAGAATCTCGCATTGAAATTGGGAAGTTCGTCGATAATCGCTGGACGAGAGGACGGAATGATCTCAGGATTGGAATGCACAATTGGTGGTTTACAGGTGAATTCACGCTTTCAACCTGATGGACCGCAGCTTCATCTTGCTCTCAGTTTGGATGCTCTGTCATTACGTGGACAACTTCCGATTTTGTCTCTTCGTCGGCTATCGATTGAGGCTAAAGTGAGTATTTTTTTTTCTTTAGAAACAAATTTAGCAAATAAATTTATAAATATAAATATAAATTTGGAAATTGTTCAAATTGGAATGGTGATAAATTTTTTTCCTCGACAGTTGGAAGAGGACGTTTTGGCAATAATGACGCAATTAAATTGCCTTTCGATGATTTACGATCATAAAGATTGGGAGCAAATTTTGTCGAGCAGCGCCAAAGATATTCCAACGCCGAATGTCACGATTGCCTCAAATCGAAAATTGCCTTGGATCAAATTGAAAACTGTTACCGAATTACGTGAAGGTTCATTGACCATAAAATTGCCTGATGTTCAGGAAGCTTCCTGCAGTCTGGCTTTCGTTAAGTGCTCCGTCAACAGTTTCTTCACTGAAGGTGAATTTTCTTCTATTACCATTGTCTTAATTTTCAAGTTGATTAATTATTTCACTTTTTTTCTTTCCTTCTTCGTTTATTATTTGTATTAAATTCAATTATTTGCATGAAAATCTTTGATTTTTATTAATTTTACTTTTTATTTCAAAAGTAAAAATTTTTTTTAAATTCTCATAAAAATTTCAATTATCTTCATAAATAATAAAATTCTTCTCCGATATTCAATTATTTTCAAAAATAAATTTCAATTTTAGTAAAATTCCTCGACAAAATTCAATTATTTTCAAAAATAAATTTCAAATTTCAATAAAATTCTTTGACAAAATTCAATTATTTGGAGAAATAACAAAATTCTTCAAAGGTATTGAATTATTTTTCTAAATAGTAAAATTTACTTTTCTTTCGATTTTTCGTGTATAGAGAGAGCTGACGAATGGAATGTGGAATTAATGATCGAATCGCTGTGCTGCGGTTTAAATGGCGTTGACACGAGTATTCCAGAAATGGCCCATCGCTGGGGAAATCCTTTCACAGTTGGTGTTTTTGTAGCGACCGCAAGTAAAAATGGCGTTGGCGTTGTACTCGATTCACTTCGCACCGAGTGGAGTTTGGAATTTTCCAAATTTCTCGAGCAAGGTTTCACGTAAGTGTTCTTTGTTAATTCCATTTTTGAATCAAAAGAAAAAATCATTTGAATTAAAAAAAAATGGAGAGAAAGTACGAAAAGATACAATTTTTCTTTCATTATTTAGATACTATAATCAACATCATGGAAAATCTTTGGGCCAAAAAGAAACAAATAAGTCACTTCAATTAAATTGCAAGATGTCGAATTGCAATCTTTTCTTCATCGCGGAAAACAAACGTAAGTTTTTGTCTTAATAAAATTTATAGATAAAATTAGTATTTGATTGGTAATTAATTAATGATCGAATTTAATTTCAACAGTGTCGATAATGTTGCGCTTGGATTCGGCAAATTTGGAGCACAGCGTGAAGCGTTTTGTCGGCGTTGCCGAGGGCGTTTGTGCAATAACGCTAAATAAAAATGATGCAATTAATTGCGAGCACGCGGAACAACAAAGTCATCAATTTTTCGCCGTGAGAAAATGTAAAACCGCAATTACAACCGAGGCAGTGAATATCAGTTTGGACGGAACAAATATCGCCTGGAGTCCAAATTTACATCTCCGTCTGCGACAATTGTGGCTCGAGTCGGCCGACTTTCGTTCAATTGTATTCAGAAAATCAATTGTCACCGTCGATAAAGGTGAGAAAAAAGATTTTATTTAAACTATAAAAATAGTATAAAGAATGATTAGGACTCCTTAATTTAATTTTTAAATTAAATTTCTTTAATTAATTTTTTTACTTCTTAATTAATTTTTCTCCAAATTTAATTTTCAGATAAATCAAATGTGAAACGTTCAATTGATTTATTGGCAATGAGTGGAATAACATTGGCGATTGATATTTCGCCGCGACATTATCTTGAATTAAATTCCGATCACTTGAGATGGTCGCAGGGTGAGTGGCGATTGAATTTTTTGAAAGTGTCGCTCGACATGGCGGACATTATAACAATTGAGGGATTTCAATTGACGCGTTTGGATGACAGTAAAGAGGTGCGATTGGAGAGGCAAAATAATGATGGTTTTCAACTCGATTGGAATGAAACGTGGTCGTTGGTGATTGATTCATTGAAAGCGAGATTCCCCTACGAACATGAATTCACCGAGGCAATACAAAACGAATTGTTCAGCATTCGAAAATGGCTCAAGGAACTTCATCCCAGGGATAAAATGAAGGCGGGGAAAACTCTTCCCTCCGACTTGGTTATCAAGGTAAGATTTTATTTACTAAAAGTTTTTCTTTGTTTAGATTTTTATTTACAGACAGTGAGGAAAATTCTCCAATCTCCAAGGTAGAAAATTTGGCAAGATGATGGTCGTGATTGATTGAAAATTCCATGATGTCGGTCGCGATTGGTTGAAATTTCATGATGAAAGTATTTAAAAATAAAAAATTACGGATCAATTATTACTGACAAAAATATAACCAATCCGAGTTAAATAAAACATTTTAATTAAAACTAGAAATTAAATTTCTCATAACTATAAAACATGAAGATATCGATAACTCCGAGTTTGGAGTGTTTTGACTCGGAGTCATCGCTTTCTTCATGTTTTGTAATAATTAAAGATGGCAAATTGATAAAATCATTATTTTATATAAGAAGAATTTTTTTACTCCAACTTATTCAAAATTATTTTCAACATTTCAATTCAATTACTATTTTCTAAAATTTCCAACTAAAATTCTTCTTTAAATCAATTATTTTTAATAATTTTCGAAAAAGTTTCTTTTTGACAATTTTTAAATCCATTTGTTTAGAATTCAATTTTACGAAATACAATAAACAAAATTCCGATTATTCGTAAATTCTTCAATTAAATACATTATATTAGAAAATAACAACTTCAAAAAAATTTCAAAACAAATTCAATTAAACCTTTAAAAAAAAATTAATTTCACAAATAGTTAAAATTTTAATTTTCAAAGATTTTAATTTGAAACCTTTTCAGAATTCAATTATTTCTAAAAATTCATGTTATAATGCTTTTAATATTCAATTATCTAAATTTTTAACCAAAATTCATTTTTGAATGAATTTTTATTAGAAAATTGAACTAGAATTCAATTATTGAAATACAAATGAAATGCAAATAAATAATTCATTGAATAATTGAATTCTCATGTAAAGAATTTTATCAACAAATTATTTAAATAAATAATTTTTGAATAAAAAAAAAAATAATTGAAAATAATTGAATTCATGTGAAATATTTTATTAATTTTTAAAAATAATTGAATTCCTGCGAAGAATTTTATTATTTATGAAAATAATTGAATTTTTGCGAAGAATTTTGTGAATAATTTTGATAGTAATTTAAGTTTGATTATAAATTTTATTAATATTTGAAAATAATTCAATTTCTGTGAAGAATTCAATTATTATTTGCAAGAATAATATTCAATTCCTGTAATTAATTAAATTAATTTTGGTAAATAATTCAATTCTTGTGAAGAATTTTTTGAAATGTTTTTAAATAATTGAATTCCCGATAAGAATATTAATAAGTTTTGGAAAAATAATTGAATTCTTACCAAGAATTTTATTAATTTTCAAAAATAATTGTTTTCCTGATAAGAATTTTATTATTTACTGAAAATAATTAAATTCCTGTAAATAATTTTATTATTTTTTGAAAATTATTGAATTCTTACTGACAATTTTATTAATTGTTAAAAATAATTGTTTTCCAGCTAAGAATTTTATTATTTTTTTAAAAAATTGAATTTTTTCGAAGAATTTTGTGAAAAGTTTTGGAAATAATTGATTTTTTTGCGAAGAATTTTAGTAAAACTTTTGAATGTAATTTAATGCTGACTATGAATTTTTTATTAATATTTGAAAATAATTCAATTTCTGTGAAGAATTCAATTAGTATTTGCAAAAGTATTTCAATTCCTGTAAAGAATTCAATTAATCTTGGTAAATAATTCAATTCCTGTGAAGAATTTTTTGAAATGTTTTTAAATAATTGAATTCCTGATAAGAATATTAATAATTTTTGAAAATAATTGAATTCTTATAAAGAATTTTATTAATTTTTAAAAATAATTGTATTTCTGCGAAGAATATTATTATTATTTGAAAATAATTGAATTCCTGTGAATAATTTTATTATTTTTTGCAAATAATTGAATTCCTTGTAAAAAGTTTTTTATTTTATGAATATAATGAAATGATTGCGTCGAAATTTATTAAAAATTTTTTGAATAATTGAATTCTTTTGGAAATTTTTATTAAAATAGTAAAATGTAGAAAATTATTGAATTGAGGAAAATTTTTGAAAATAATTGAAATTTTTGCCGAGAATTTTGTAAAAATTTTTTTAAATAGTTGAATTGATTTGAAGAATTTTATCAAAATTTTTAAAAATAATTGAATTCTTGCAGCGAATTTTTAGTAAAATTTTCAAAAATAATTGAATTCTTACGAAGAACTTTATTAATTTTGTCTTTAAATAATTGAATTCTAACGAAGAATTTTATAAAAATTATTTAAAATAATTGATTTTTTTTCGAAAAATTTTATGAAAATTGTGTTTGAAAATAATTAAATTCCTGTGAAAATTTTATTATTTATGAAAATAATTGAATTCTTATAAAAAATTTCCAAATTATTGAATTCATGCCAATAATTTTATCAAAAAATATGGAAATAATTGAATTTCTTCGAAGAATATTTTATTATTTATTAATGTAATTGAATTTTTAGGAAGAATTTTATTAAAATTTTTCATAATCTCAATTAAACTCTTTTGAAGAATTTTTTTCAATTTCTTTATAATAACGGAGTTTCTTTAATAATTTTAATTGAAAATTTTCAAAATAATTGAAATTTATATGAACAAAATTTTTCAAGTTTTTACAATAATTGAAATTAAACATTTAATTCGTCACTTTTATTAAAATTTTTGAGAAAATAATTGAATTATTTCGAAAAATTTCTTTAATTCATTGAATAGAATTGAATTTTTTAATAATTGTATTGAAAATAATTGAATTCCTGAGAAGAATTTTATTAATTTATGAAAAATAATTTAATTCTTACTATGAATTTTACTGACTTATAAAAATAATTGAATTGCTTCGAAGGATTTATCAAAATTTTAGAAAATAATTGGATTCTTTCGAAAAATATTATTAAAAATTAAAAAAATGAAATTTTAAAAATTGAAATCTTTCATGAAATTTTATTAAAATTGTATTAAAAATAATTAAATTTTTGACAAGAATTTTACTATTTTGAAAAGTAATTCTTTGAAGAATTTTTTTATTTTCTAAATAATTGAATTTTAGCAAGAATTTTTAACAAATTTTTGAAAATAATTGTATTTCGGAGAAGAATTTTATTAATTATAAAGATAATTGAAATTTTTATGAGAATTTTTTTTTTAAACATGATTGAATTTTCACAAAGAATTTTATTACTTTTGAAGATACTTGAATTTTTGCAATTATTTGTGACAAACACGAGGTGAAAAAAATAAAATATTTATTATTATGAATAAAATTAAATATTTATTAAATTCTGAAAGGTTCAGCGAAATAATCGGTAGATAGTAAATAACAGAAGAATAAAATTTTAACATTGAATAACAAGAAAAAAAATTATTATACAACAGTGATTGATTTCTTTTTCATTTCAAAATTTTGTAAAGAAATTTAGAAATTAATTCTACTATCGAATTGCAATAATATTATTATTCGTATTTTTCAGTTTGGACAAAGTCCGTGTAATATTTAGTATCTGTGGAAAATAGTTGATGAAGTCTCTCTGCCATTTTAACCATTCGTTTTTCCGTTGGTATTTCATTATCTCGCATTTTCATTATCAACACTTGCTGACCTAGAATATTCTTATAATACACCTCATCCAATGAGAAATGAAAATTTGACGTTACTATATGATACGGAACTTCTTCGTTTAAGGCTCGACTGAGATCTACAATACCCACTTGATTGGTCACTGTAATTTCTGTCAGCAATGGAACATGTGACGAAGCGCCGCGATTATTCAGAAATTTCACAATCTCCACATCACGCTGAGGGGAGAATTTTTTTATTGTATCAAATGAAACTAAATTTGCCCTATGGAGAGATTTAACGAGCTGTTCTGATAAGTCTTTTGTTATAAATTCACCACGATAGAGGACAATTGGATTTGCAATCCAGTTCTCGTTACATTGTCTAAGCGCGAGTCGATTAATTGCCGCCTCAAGTCGTCTAATTCCATTCATGTCGATCAGCAATATATTCTTGACGAAAGAATCCAATACGTAAAAGTCTTCGAAACGAAAAAACTTTTCGACGCTTGGTATCAGTTTATACTTTCTAAAAGTCTGTTCTATATTTTGGAAATAGATTGAATCGTATATTTCATGAATTCTTCGTATCGCTTCCGACAATTCGATAACTTGATCTATAGTTTCTTTTGATATCACATCTTGAATGTAGGGATTTCTTTCGACCTTAAAATTGTCATAGTGATGCTGAAACTCCATCACACTGAAATCGTACGCCAACATATCGTAAGATGGCACAAAAGTCGAACTACTTGGTCTTACGCTCAGAACGTAATTTGATAGAAAGTCTATAGACAGTCTCAAGGGACTAAGAGGAGCATTATCGACCAAGAAATTGGCAGCTTTCGTAATTGATTGTATTCTTGGTAAATTTATCACTTCTTCCCCAGCCATCAATTGATGAAATTCTTGACGTCGTAAGAACTGCCAATAATCCCTCGACATCTTTATATTCTGTAGCTGAACATTCAAAATCTGTTTGTTTTCAGTAAAAAATGTATCCGTTACTGTAAAGAATACGTCGTTGAATGTTACATAATTGTCTTGAAGCTTATCGTGAAAATTAGTAAAGTCCACCAAGCCGTACAGCGAATCGAAAGTCAAGTGATAACGTACTTCTGTGTGCAGGGCAAATGGATTCATTTTGTCGGTTAAAATTACAGTTGGAGGTTTATTTGATAGCAAAGTAATGTCGTTGAAGAAAAAATGCTTTCCCTTTAGGCTTCGGAAAAAATCGATGTTTCTTTGTCCTTTTGAAATTTGACTGCACCAGAGTTTAATAGGGGTCTTCACTGGGATTTCCAGTTCGGATTGAAGTAGAGCTAATCTATTAATGGATGTACGTAGAAAATTTATATTCACCGTGTCTGCTTTTATAAACGCCAGTCCATTATTTTTCCACAACATTA